AAACTGATTTAGGAAAAGCAGCATTTTAACACTCATCAAAAAACAAAAGATTTCTAATCAGCTGTCATAGGTCACTGGCTGAGTTCAGATTTTTAATTAATTCTCCCACTGTTAGCAATGGGAAACTAATATTAATTAGCATCCCAACACTTCCCAGCCCAAGTAGCTCAGGCTGGCAAATTTCCATTTATTCCACCACATACACTTTATCCTCAAGAAACTTATTAAATAGCAGAGGCTGAAAAAAGGAGAGAAATTTGTCCAGCAGGACAAAATGGCAAATGAAAATTTGAACCTGGATCTCTTGAACATTCTAGCCCGTATACCATACTTGCATGTTTCCACCATGCCTACAAGGTAATATTGGGAATGGTATAAGTGTAGCTGCGTTCCCATACTTTTGAGAAGAAGAATTGATGATGGGTATGGTGACATTTTTCAATTTGATTTGTGCTGCATCTTTCTATCGTGAAAAATGCAACTCAACACAGATTATAATTGCAAATAAAACTTGAGAAAACAATAAAAACATTAAAGCACAATTCAGAGTAAATATAGTAACCAACCCAATAACAGACCCACGTAAACACCAAAGGTCTGTTTGAATTTTTAAAAATTGTTTAGTGGGAGCAAACCTTACACAATAACTGGGATTGTACAACACAAATGCCACACTCTCTGCAAAGTGAGTTCTTTTTGTCTGTGAAGGCATGGCTGTCTGTCTTTGTGCCATGGCTTCTTGTAAAATTTTGTAGCTACCCCTGGGTGACATAACAAGCCCAAGGGGATCCCCAGGATCTACAGCATTGCTTGGCAAGAGTGGCAGAAACACTTGCCAATCTTGCCAGGTGGCTCTGATGACAGCCGCAACAACTTTGGCAGCTGTCAGCAGCTTTCCCAGTCCCCACAGCATGTTGCTGCCGCAAGCTCCACTTAGGACTTGAGAAGGCAGTGGGCAGTGAAGAGCAGCGCTACTGCCACATGTGTCCCCGCATCTACTGTTTCAGGTCAAGAAGGTCTGAAATGGCAGGCGAGTGGCAGGAAAAAGAAGCAAGCTTCACCCAGCTGTCTGAAGCTTGCTTTTCTTCCTTGCCACCACCAGTTGCATCCCTGGTTGCTGTTTTGGGCCAGTGGGGCTGAGGAAGGAGTTTCAGCCAGCTGGTTGAAGTTAGCTTACTACCCACCCCATCCTGGTTCCAGTCTGTTTCAGGTTGGGGATGAGCTGGTTTCTCCTAGGCCTTCTTCAGAGGAGACCCTGGAGCATGTGGCTTGCTGTCCTCACTTGCTATAGTACCTGCAAGAATGTAAAGGAGTAGGAATTGGTTGGATTTGGACTGGACATTCCTCTTAGTGTGTCCCAGTTGAAACCTCCTTTTTAAAGGAGCCATAATGTTTGACAATTACATGTCAAACTCTGATTCCCTAGGCTGTGTGTGCAATTTAGCCATGTACAAATCTGAGGAGGCTCAGGATAAAAGGATAAAAGTTGTGTGTCCTTGAAGACTAAATTGGGGAAACTATAAAAGCTAAGGATCATGCTGGGAAGTGAGTCTAAATTCCCTCAAACCCTATTTTTGTATAAAAAGAAAGTGATTTTTGGTGTATGGGTAATTAACAAGAACAATTATCTTTTTAATCCAATCAGTAGAATCAATAATGACCAGTATAAGTGGTGATTTTCTAACATGTTTGCCTACAGGGGGTGAATTAAATCAATGATCTATCTGTGATAGCATCCTGGAGCAGTTACCAGATTCTTAAGGTATAAGAAACTGTAAAAGTGTTTTTAAAAGCTATTTTGTTGAGGAAATTACTCCTTAATCCCTTCAGGTAAAAGTTGCCTATTGCCCTAAAGCATGAAAGGGTTACACCATTTGATGAATCATTTCTTTATCCAGTTAAATGTACAAATATTTCTTCAATTGTTTACCTTTACGATTCCTCGTGGCAGTGGCTTTTGCAAACTTTGTATAAACAGTTTTCAGTATTATTCTGAAATCTGATCGGTTCAATTTTTCCTAGGTTGTGTGTTCTGAAATCATGCATTTAAACATCTGCTTCAGTTCATAGAGCCACAAGCGCTACCTAGGCAAACAGCTGGGAAAGAGGGTGCTTGGACTGCATTTCACTTTTTCATTGGAGAGATTGCAAAGTGTGATTTGTTTAGAGCAGAGCAGAAGGTCTGCAATTGCTTACTGTACCAGGAACCCCTCTTAATGACTAACACAATTTTTTTTCATCCTCACAGACTTCTGTACATGTAAAAGGGGAAATCCATGTCCAGAAAATGGTTTCCATGTGTTGATAGTTCCTTGCTGAATAAGGGCAGCATGATTCATCTGCTGTATATCATACACAAAATCTGTTTAACACTGTGGCATCTTTCCCATTCATCTCACAATCTATGGTTCCAGTTGTTCCCTTTGTTTTGCAGATGTTTATGTTCAGGACTGCTGTAATTCTGCTTCACAGCAGTGTCTGCTAGGCATTTTCCTAAGAAGAATGTATTTGATTAAGTGCTTTTGTGGTAAAATGCTGACTTGCACAGTGCATTTCAGTTAAAAGCATATCACTAATTTTAAGTTGATGTCCTTGTTGTTTGTTGTTTTTATACTGTTTTTTAATGCCAGCTGGACAAGAGCTTTCTTATTCCAATCCCAGATTTCTACCCTATACAGCAACTGAACAGTCACTTTTCTGTGAAGTGTTTTAAGTGAAGAGCCTATTAATTGGTCTCCCCTAGAAAAGGAAAAAACTCAAAATAATTCCCAATGGGCAGCTGTTAATACTGTATTTAGATTTATCTTGCAGGAAAGAAACACCCAAATATTTCAAAAATGAGCATTGTTCTATTTGCTGTGTATTCATTGTCTACTTGTGCTTAGCTCTATTCCTATTGAAGACTGCGACCTTTCTTTTATTATAGTTAATCCTCAGCTTTATCATAGTAATCAACCATTCTAGCGAACATTGTTCTAAGACCTATCTGAGTGTAGGATACAAGTGTCATATCATCAGCATACAATATGATAGAAATTTTATACCCACTGAGTGAGGGAGAAAAAAATCTCTGTGACTTCATAAGCTGAACAATACCATTACTATGTCCAACAGAAAGCCCTGTTTAATACCTCCGTTTAACAGAAGAGGTCCATGGTGGCTCACTCTTACCCTATCTGTAAGATTAGAGTGCAGTTAGATCAATTATCTGAGTAGTCATCTATCTATAGTCCTCCAGAGCTTTTTCCATAGACTGGATCTATCGACAGAAACAAAGCTTATGCTAGGTCAATCAATGCAACATAAAGACATTTTCAAGTCAGTTGGTATACTTCTGCATACCATTCAAAATAGTACAATGGTCTATTGAATTGGTCCTCAATCTACACCCCATTGGCTGGATCTGGCCCACCATGCCCATTTATCCAGCCTGCCATAGAGGTTTTGCAAGGAGATCATTTTGGACTCGCTTGGAGAAAAGGATCTCCTTGCAAGCAAGCCGCCGCTGGGCGCTCGATCTTGCGAGCAAGCCAGTGCCTCGTCATGTGTCAGCTTGTTCGCAAGGAGATCGGTTTGGACTTGCTTGGAGAAAACAATCTCTGCACACAGCCGCCCTTGCCTTGCTACACCTGGCGCACCCTCTGCTCCGGCCCACGCCCTCTGCCTGCACCACCTTGGTGGCCCCACTATCGCCAGCACATTTCAACTGGCCCCCTGTTGAAAAAGTTTGAGGACCCCTGGTCTTTTTCATTATGACCCTTATGAAAACCTGCCCATTATGGATAAGAGTCTGGCTTATTTAAGAGATGATAAGTGTATAGGTTAGAGCAGTGATGGTGAACCTTTTAGAGACCAAATGCCCAAACTGCAACCCAAAACCCACGTATTTATCGGAAAGTGCCAACGCTACAATAAAACCTGAAAACTGAGGTTTTAGTTTCGAAAAAACACCTCACAGCTAGTCCAAGCAAATATATATATATCCTTGGCAGTGCACTGACCGGCCATGCGAAAGTTTGGATGAGTCACGGCTAATGGGTCGCGGCTTGTGACATCATCGCCTGGCGCTGCTACTCCTTTCCGAGCATGCGCATGGCCCCTATGTGTGCTGTTATCCGATGCTCGGCTGCTGGGGCGATGCTGGGGTGACTTGGCTCGTGTGCCAATAGAGAGGACTCTGTGTTCCTGCTGTGGCATGCATGCCATGGGTTTGCCACCACTGGGTTAGAGGATATATGTAGAAGGATAATAGGGTGATAATTGCCTTTTTAATGAATTGGGTAGATGATGCTTTGTTTCCAGTAGAAGGGAATGACATAAGTATTCTTAATTTAAGAGAACAATCTTATGAAAATTGGGAAACACCAGTCTAGTCTAAGATCAAGGTGCAAACCATCTATTTGTACTCTAAATCTGAAATCGTAGGCTGCACTGATGGTGCATTGTTTAGTAACTGAGTTTTCAGAAAGGGATGTGGTGGTTCAGTGGGTTAAAACACTGAGCCGCTGGGCTGGTGGATCAAAAGGTCGACAGTTGAAATCCTCAGACAGGGTGAGCTCCTGTTGCTCTGTCCCAGCTCCTGCCATCCTTGCAGTTCGAAAGCATACAAATGCAAGTAGATAAAAGGATACCACTTCGGTGGGAAGGTAACAGCATTCCATGTTCTTCGGTGTTTAGTCATGCTGGCCACATGACCACAGAAACTGTCTACAGGCAAATGCTGGCTCCCTTGGCTAGGAAACTGAGATGAGCACTGCCCCCAAGAGTCAGAAATGACTGGACTTTAATGTCATGGGGAAACCTTTACCTTTTATTCAGAATAATGTCATAAATGCCTGAGAAGTTCTGAAATCATAAGTCTGTTGTAATGCTGCTGTATTGCTTGAAAGTCAGCAAGAAACGTTTGCGGCTTGGTAAGTAGGTGGTCAGTATGTTATGTACTTAATGTAATTTATTTTCATCCTTTCTGCTTTTAAATGTAAGATGTTTTCTACCCCTAGGTATGGCAGAAACTGCCTCATTCAATTTGAGGATTTTGCTAACATAAATGCATTCCGCCTCCTGAATAAATATCGCAACCTGTACTGCACTTTCAATGATGACATTCAAGGTAATGAAATCAGCTTCTTGCACACACAGGCTACTCAGTACAGCTTGACAGAATGTCAGAGGTTATATACATAGAGCCTTTACTAATTTGATGATTGTGTAACTGCCTGTGATACTGGTATAATGCCACTTTGGTGTCATTGTAATTTTGGGGGTTTACTTTATATTTTATTTTTAAAATATATGTACTGGTACTGCAAGTCTTACCTGGATTATTACTCATACATTTCTTCTAGCTTTCAACATTTCAAGCCACTCTTGTATGGAAATCTTTGTTTTAAATATTAATAAAAATCTTATTAAATCATCTGAATTTGGCTTTTTTTTTAAACTGCAAATGTTAAATTCTTTGGTCTCCTGCTGCTTAAACAGTGAAATACTTTTGTAGCTACATTTTGGTATTTACACCTGTCTTCTATAGCATGCAGGTGATAAGACTACCTGAAGAAGAGTGGGTACTTGCAATGAAAATTTCTGTAATAGCTAGATGGATGAGTGTCTCATAAAAGAATCATAATTTGCTTATTATACATTGCTTGTTACACGTCAAGAAGCTATTGTTTGCACTTATTTTATCCACAACTTTTAGTTTAATTACATCAAAAACTGATAAGGTCCAAATTATATACGGAACTTCATGGTACTTAAAACGCCTTAGGAGTTTTAACAACAGCAACAGCAATTTTATAGTATTAGTATTATTTCTATACTACTCAATAGCCAATGCATAGGAGATTTTCATCAGGATTATGGGGAGGGATCCTGCCATGATCCTGCTAAGCTAATGACCTTCCAGAAAAGATTGAAGTAACTGTTACACCGTGCCACACAGAAGCATGTTGTGGATACTTTCTGGAATAAACCACTGAGGATACTGTGCCCCAGTGCAGCCATAGCTTCCACCTCAGGCAGAGCTTCAGGCTCAGAGGAGGAGGGGGTAGCATTTGGCTCTGCTAGGGGTAATTGGAGTTCCAGTAATTTAGCTCAGCATGGCTTATCACTGCCAGGTGTGAACAGGGAGTGAGGAGACACTGGAGGTTCATATGGCTAATACTTTTCAGCTGGAAGACTTGACCTGGACAAAGATACCTACTGATTAGTCATGGACATCATCAAGGCAAGGAAAAGGACTCTGTGGGAGAAGGGTGTTTAGAGGTCTCCCTGGGTCTGCTGTCAGTAAAAGAGTTTAGGACAGAAACACCCAGGCAGATGAAGTCACAAGCTGAAGGGCAGGTTTCCCTGCCAGGACTAAGGATTGGATAGAGATTCAGAGATGCCACTCCCCTGTATATAATCCTGGAAAGTTTCTTATAGCATTTGCAGGAGACAACAGATCACACGGTTCTATGGAAACAGGAGTATAGGTTGAAACTGTCAGTGACAACTGTATTCAGAGGGATTGATCACTTGGCTCATGGCCCAGAGAGGCAACCATAGGTTCCTTGACAGTCTAAATTTGTATATTTTTATTGCCTCTGAGAAGGTCGTGAGCTCACAAAGGGAAATAATGTGGTAAAAAAGCTTTATGGTGACTCCTGCCATGCTTTCTGGAGAATGAGACAGAATGGATAATGTGGTTAATGGGACTGGATGCTTCCAAGAAAGCAACAGGCCCTCCCCTCACCCCTATAAGTAAGCAAAACCAAAGCTGTTTTCATCCAGAAGCACTTCAAAACAAGATTGACATAGATCTAAGTAACAGGCATTTTCCAATGTAATCTGCAGCTGGAAAATTGTTGCTTCAGTTTGCAAAAAGAATGTAAGATTAGTCACTAGGTGATAATTATCTTATAGCTTTGGATCTAATGGGTGCCTTTAATAAAGGAACCACTGCTGCCTCCTTCAAGTAATAGAAACCATACAATCTCTCAGAGAAGGGTTAATGACCTCCAAGGTCCATATCTCTAAATCTGCTTTAGAAGATTTCATTAGTCAGAATGGACAAGGATCAAGGGACGTGCGCTAGGCCTAAAACTAGGCAATTGTCTATGCACTCAGGCTGTACAAGCTGAAAAGTATCTATAACAACATGACTAGATAGTATTCTAGTGCCACCCATATAGAATTGTCAAAACTGCAGCACCTGAGGCAGCCTGGGTGTGCATGATTTTATTTTCAAAATGTATAGCAAATTGGTCACAGAATTCCTTCTGTAATTGGAAAGAAATTTGCTGCTGTAGGCTGCTTTTTGGTGGAGACTAGCTTAGCTTCATTGCCACCTCCTTTCCTTGCCCTGTTTTCTAGCATGAAAAGAATGAGGGTGAAGTCTCATTTCTTTCTGACATGTGGTTTATACAACTCCTCCTCTTAAACAATGCTTAGCTGCATAGCCTTTTTTAATAGACATATTAAGTTGTGTCCTGGTTGTTTTTTGATGTAGACATGAGCCTTGTTGGAATAATATGTAACCAGTAAAGTATTAATCAAACTATACCTATCAGTTGACATTTGCTTTGCATAAAAGATTAAAAACATTCATATTCAGTTATCAGTTACTTCATCCTTAATTCTTAGCAAAACAGTATGATTTTTTTTCAATTATTTCAATTATAAGAGTCCTCTTCATAATGGAGTTACTATCGTTTTAAGGACTTATCCAAACTGAAACATACGGTAAATTTGCAGATGTAATATTTTCAGTAGATGTTTAGCATTCTTTATATTCCATTATGCCAACCTGTATAATATTCCTTTACGCAGTAGGATCAGATTAACATTTCAGTGCCATTACAATAATTCTTTAGCTATTTAAGGTAACTTGCATTGTGCCCAAAGGAAACCAGCAACTGTTAAGTGAGTCTTTAAAGGGAAGCATAATGTACGAGGGGCGTTCAATGTATTCTCGGTATCAGCACAAAGAAAAAGAAATAATAAATTGAAATAATTTTTATTTTTCAATGTAATCCTCCATAACTTCAATACACTTATTACATCTAGAAATTAACTTTTCAATTCCCTGTAAAAAATACCCTTCCTCCTTGTCTAAAATGCATTAATTGCCGCCTTGAACTCTTCATCTTTGGAAAATCGCTTTCCATGAAGATCTTTTTAAATTCAGGAATAGGTAGTAGTCACTGGGGGCCAGGTCCGGGCTCTAGGGTGGGTAGTTTATTTCTTCGAAACCACAGTCTCACAAAGCAGCCTTCGAAACATGCCCCATGTGAACGGGTGCATTGTCGTGAAGAAGCAACACACCTGCAGTCAGTTTTCCCCACCTTTTTTCTTTAATTGCTTCTCTTAAATTACGCAGAGTGGTTGTGTAAGATGCTGCATTTATGGTTTCACCTTTTTCGTGTACTCGATCAATAAAATTCCCTTTGAATCCCAAAACACTGTGGCCATGATTTTTCCGGCTGATGGAGTGACTTTGAATTTCTTCAGAGGGTCAGCACCTTTTTTATGCCACTGCATGGACTCCTGCTTACTTTCAGGGTCATAGTGATGAAGCCATTTCATCTCCAGTAACAATCCGGTCGAAAATACTCCATGGATCTTCACCACAGAGCTCTAAAAATTTCCTACAGCACTCAACTTGCACTTGTTTCTGAGGCACCATGAGCATTCGTGGCACCCATCTTGCACAGACCTTTGAAAGGTTAAGATGGTCATGAAAAATAGTAAATATGGTACCAACAGATAGGTTTGTCATCTCTGCTAACATTTTGATTTTTTATTTGGGCATCTTCCAATACAAGTTTCTCAATTTTTTTCACATTTTCTTTCATAGTGGCAGTAACCGGCCTGCCCGAGCGAGGGTCGTCTTCAATGCTTTCTCTGCCCCTTTTAAATTCACTTGACCACTTTTGAACAGTAGATAATGAAGGTGCAGAGTCCTGTTAAACGGCCACCATCTCTTTGTGAATGATTTTTTGACTTTTTCCTTGTTTTGTAAGGAACTTAATCACAGCGCGATGCTCGATTTTCTTCAACATTGTCGCATCAGTCATTATGGTCGTCTTTCACTGAGGATTACTAGGGAACTAATGATCACGCTTATTTGAAATTTTGCATGTAAACCCTCAGTGTCATTAGCTAATGAAATAATTAAATTACCCACATCAATAGCAAATAACCTGATACCGAGAATACATTGAACACCCTTCGTATAATAGCAGATTGTTAGTGCACTGACCTAATATATTGAAACAAACATTAAAGTTTGCTACATTTTGACTTTAAAAAATTAAGGCAGGATGAGTGCTCATATGCTGCAGTTAATTACAGAAGAGAATGGAGCCATCAAGAACAGATTTTTGTTTCTAAAGTTACTGTTCACCCCTAGTGATTATACAAGTTAATTTCAAATTTAATAAAATGACTTCATTGTTCATTTTTTTTCAGGAACAGCATCTGTCGCTGTTGCTGGTCTCCTTGCTGCTCTCCAGATTACTGACAACAAACTGTCAGACCACACAATACTGTTCCAGGGAGCAGGAGAGGTATAACATTGTATTATATCTATTGTCCAGTTATTTTCTGTCCTCTTATTATCATGAGCAAATATGTGAAAAATATAACTTCATTAAATCAATTCACCAAGACTGAAAGCATCTGAAATAGCAACCTTTTTGAAGCTAAGCAAATCTGTGCTTGAGCAGTGCCTCTGTCTGCCACCTTGAGATCCATGAAGGCTAGATAAACAAATGTCTGGCCAGTGCATGGAACATAGAAGGCTCCATGCCAGTTCATTTTCTTGTTACAGATTAGTTGCTGTGACAATCATAATATTTCAGGTTGTGGGCTGAAAGATTTTCCAGTACTTTGTATACTTAATGAAGATCATTTTCAAAATAACAACCACAACCCTTTTTCTGGGGTATTGTAATTAGTAGTACAGCATCTGCTTAATAGAGAATGGAAAGACTGAAAAACCATATTACACTCTTGGGACACTCTCTACTTGTATTCTAGGTACAGTGCTCATATTCAGATTATTTTGTTCAGTTATTGATCATTAGAATTCTTGTTTTCTTCTCTGCCCAGATGTCTGTGAGCATTTGTTGTTCACTTACAAAGTCGTGTTTGACACTTTGTGACCCCATGGACAACATTCCTCCAGGTTTTTCTGTCCGCTACCATCCCCCGGAGTCTACCCAAGCCCACACCCACCTCCCCAGTGACCCCATCCAGCCACCTCAACTTCTGCCATCCCCTTCTCCTTTTGCCTTCCTTTATTCCCAGCATCAGAGTCTTTTCCAATTAACCCTTCCATCTCATTAGGTGCCCAAAGTATTTGAGTTTCATCTTCAGTATCTGGCCTTTTAACAAGCAGTCAGGGTTGATCTCCTCTAAGACTGACTGATTTGATCTCCTTGCAGTCCAAGGGACTCGCAGGAGTCTTCTCCAGCACCACAAGTTAAAGACCTCATTTCTTCGGCGCTCTGCCTTCCTTATGGTCCAGCTTTCACAGCCATACATTACAACTGGGAAAACCATAGCCTTGACTATACGCACTTTTGTTGGCAGGGTGATGTCTCTGCTGTTTAGTATGCGGTCTAGATTTGCCATAGCTTTCCTCCCAAGGAGCAAGCATCTTTTAACTTCTTGGCTCCAGTCATCGTCTGTGGTGATCTTGGAGTCCAAGAAGACAAAATCTCTCACTACTTCAAATTCTTCCCCATCTATTGTGATAGGACCTTGATAGGACCTTAGTTTTCTTAATGTTGAGTTTCAAGCCAACTTTTGCACTCTCCTCTTTCACCCTTAGAAAGAAGCTCTTTAGTTCCTCTTCACTTTCTGCCATGAGAGTGGTATCATCTGCATATCTGAGGTTGTTGATATTTCTCCTGGCAATCTTAATTCCAACTTGTGATTCATCTAGCCCCGCCTTTCTCATGATGTGCTCTGCATATAAGTTAAATAGACAGCTGGACAATATACAGCCTTGCCATACTCCTTTCCCAATTTTGAACCAATCAGTGGTTCCATGTCCAGTTCTTACTGTTGCTTCTTGACCCGCATACAGGTTTCTCAGGGGACAAATAAGATGGTCTGGTACTTCCATCTCTTTAAGAACTTGCCACAATTCGTTGTGATGCACACAATCAGAGGCTTTTGAATGGTCGATGAAGCAAAAGTAGGTTTTTTTCTGATACTCCCTAGCTTTCTCCTTCATCCATTACATTTAATCTCTTGTTCCTCTGCCTCTGCGAAAACCCACTTGTAGTTCTAGTAGTTCTCAGTCCACATACTGTTGAAGCTTAGTTTGTAGGATTTTGAGCATAACTTTGCTAGCATGTCAAATGAGTGCAATGGTGCGGTAATTTGAACATTCTTTGGCATTTCCTTTCTTTGGGATTGGAATGTAAACTGATCTTTTCCAACTCTGTGGCCACTGCTGAGTTTTCCAAATTTGCTGGCATATTGAGTGTAGCATTTCAATTGCATCATCTTTTAGGATTTTGAATAGCTCAGCTGGAATACTGTCTCCTCCATTAGCTTTGTTTTTACCAAGACTTCCTAAGGCCCATTTGACTTCATACTCCAGGATGTCCAGCTTGAGGTCAGTGATAACACCATTGTGTTTATCAGGGATATTAAGGTCTTTTTTGTATAGTTCTTCCTTGTAATCTTGCCACCTCTTCTTAATCTCTTCTGCCTCTGTTAGGTCCCTGCCATTTTTGTCCTTTATCATGCCCATCTTTACAAGAACTGTTCCCTTGATATCTACCTTGTTCTTGAAGAATCTCTAGTCTTTCCCATTCTATTGTTTTCCTCTATTTCTTTGCACTGTTCATTTAAGAAGGCCTTCTTATCTCTTCTAGCTATTCTCTGGAATTCTGCATTCAGTTGGGTGTATCGTTCCCTTTCTCCCTTGCCTTAACTCCTTTCATTTTCTGTGTGGACCTGAATATTAGGGGTCCCTGAACCTACTTATTTGCATTCTTTTTGGACCCTTCCTGTCTGCAGCCTCTGAAGAGCTTTGTCATGCTTTCCATTTCCCTATCTGCGAAGTTTTTATAAACTACAAGAGCATGAGAAATAGGAACAAGACGAGTTGCTTCCTTTGAACCATACTGTTAAATGTGCATACATAGATGCCACTTCTGTCAGTGAATAGACTGAGACCTTTTATGGCTTTAATGGAATTTTCAAACATTGTTTATGTCTAGTGAAATTGTAGTCTTTTTTTTTCATTCTTTGGATTCTTGGGCCTTTAAAAAAAAAGTGTTTACATTTCAGATCTTCTGTTCAGAATTTCAGGGGAGGACTTATGTTGGGTGCCATGACACAATTATTCCAGAATATTTGTTTGAAGACATTTATTTCTTGCCCAGTGCAGCTTTCTGTGTTATAATTAACCCTATTATTACTTTCTAGCATGTCTCTGAGAGGTAACTTATTCTTGGGCTCAGATAGACTGCAGTTAGTTACCACATAAATAAACAGACCTGGAACATTTAATACACTAGGGTACTTTCTGTTAGTGGTTTGCACTAAAGCAACCCATATTTCTTCGCAAAGACTGTCAGTAGCTGCAGGTAAGCACGTTATTTTGGTTGAAGTTAGGACCATGCTTGGGGTGTTTGACATGCTTTATCTTCTTCCAGAGGAGCTTGTTCTAGCCTACAAATTCATTATGAGGAAAATACTGAGGCTTTTGTACATCAAGTTTATGTTTATTTATGTGTTTATTTACTTAAAGTTTTTATGAATCGTTCTTTAGCAGACACTCTTAGACATTGTACAAACAAGTTAGTTCATATGGATTTGTGTGGTGTCTGTCAGCAGAACAGAAATTATTTCTGGAAAGATTTTGCTGACCTCATGGCTCTTCTTGAGTCCCACAAATTTCCTGATGGTTGGGAGGGCTTCTGCAGTGGATTTGGGGTATATGAGCGGCTGCAACAGGAAAAGGAGCACAGGGAAGTTTCATTACCACATGGATTTAAGTGTGTGTTTGTGTGTTTGTGATTTCTTGATGTTATAAGATCATGTGAGCCAATCAGAAGCAGTGTTAGAACAGAGTAAGCAAAATATGAAACAGTGGGCTGCCCGTATACTAACAAGAAACTCGTCCGTGTGACCTATTGAGTGTTCTCAATAAAGTTAGAATGTGCACATGTTTTTATTTGTTGTAGCTATGCCAGTCTATGCCCTACTCCAGCACAGAGAAAGGTCCCAAAGAACTCAGGAGGGTATATTTCTGAAATAAAATAAATATGTGATTGTGTTGTATTGATGTTTCTGTAAAACATATGGTCCGCTCAGCTGGGTTGTGCAGGGTTTCTCATGGAAAAGTGGAAAAACTTGACTGAATAAGCTGGTCATAGCAATCAGAGAACTTACTGCTACTATGTTAGCTTGACTTAGGTTCCTTTTCCTGTGATACGTAGAGGCTAGAGTGGAAAAAATATTTGATTGGTATATCTGAGGGGATGCACTGAAGTGATGGAATAATGTTTGTACAATGCAGAACCACTGCCAGATATGTGTGACAGCATAGTTCTTATCAGTACTGTATTGTGAAATAATAATTACATCTGTGTATTCCTTCAAGTCATCTTATTGTTGTGGCTAAGAGGCACCAAAATAATTTGAATTACCTCTTCAGTGTCATGGACTAATTTTCTTTTCTTTTTTTACCATGTTAAGGCAGCTCTAGGGATAGCCAATCTGATTGTTATGGCCATGGAAAAGGAAGGAACACCTAAAGAAGAAGCTATCACAAAGATATGGATGGTTGATTCCAAAGGGTTAATTGTAAAGGTAATGTGCACTTTTCATTCATTATAAGGTATTATACTTCTTCTCAGCAATATTAGTAGCTGCTATCTAGATATGCTTAAGTCTTTTTTCCTTCACACTGCCATTGAGTCAGTGTTATTTGGAAATATAATTATTCTCATAATTTCCTTTGATGGTCTGCTTAAAGAAATTCATTTCTAGTGCTTTTGGCATCACTTGGACTTTTAAAGAAGGTCATCTAAAATGAAGACTAAGGGATGTGTTTGATTTTCTTTTGTATCGTCAATAAAAATGTCAGTGCATGCTAGTATGTTAAGCACTGTAAATTACTTTGTGTTTACAGTGAACATAAAGTGATTTATAAAACTAGCAAAGAAATGCTGATATAAACGATAATTTCCTGCTGATGTTTTCCTTTATGTGTGCCAGACTTCTACATAAACTTCAGCTGTGTCGCCTCAAATAACTCTATTGCATAGCAGGAGAAAGGAGACTATGTCCTACGTGCTGTGGTTTGCTATGATATCAGCAGTGGTTAGAAATTCAAAGCTGCTGAAAGACTGCATCAGTCATTCTTAGCTCATTTCTTCCACATGTGCAGTACTAAGGGCTAAGCTAGACACTTGGTTAAATATTCAGTGTACAGTTGATCTCACAATGTTTAAAAGCTTGAGTTATGCATTCAGGGCTCCAGTCTAGGTTGGACCTCTGCGCATAGGCCACAGCCACTTCCCCCTAAGTTTGTCCCCTACATGGGCTAAAAGAAAAAAAAATGCAGTTTGGGCTGAAGGAATTTCCTCCCACACTTCTTTATTTAGCTCCTGTTGGAATAAAAATGTAGGAGAATTTTAGGGTATTTTAGTGTGAGATGGTAGCTCAACTTCCCTATCTATATACAGTAGTCCCATCTGGATTGAGGTCCCACATGCTTGCTTTGCAATTAAAAAACTGTTGAGGATCAGCTACCCTCTGTGTACTTAAGCCACATCCTTGAGTTTACAAATGTTGAGCAAAACTAACAATGATGGGAAAATTTGGAGGATAGTCGTTCATATGGTCACCATAATTTGGAGATTCCTTGATGGCAAATAATAACTAGTTTAGTCCTAAGACAAAAACATGTGTATTTCAAGCGTCACTATAAAGCTATATATTCTAAAAGGCGGCAGTTTATTTAATAGTTTTGAATAATTCAAACTAACCTCCAAAAAGGTTAGTTAACAGTTGACATACTTACCTTCATGTTGTTTGTATTCAGAATGTGCTGTATTTCATTAGGAAGAAAGTCTGGGAGTGCCTTGCTATTCTAAATAATTCAAGGCTTCCGTGTCTGACAAATTGCTAAAGGATCTTGCCTTTCCTATCTCTGAATAGCTAACTGTAATTTTGGGAAATTCTTGAAAAAAAGCAGGCAAGTGTTGTTTCCAGCTTAAAATGGGGAAAGAATAATGCAGTGCAGCACAAGTAACTTCCCCTATTCTTATTGCGGATAACTAATTTCATCTTTCTGAGACACTGGAAAGTTAACAGAGCAATTTTGTGGAAACCTTGTAACCCACCAACTTAGACCTTACAAAGAACAAATTATTCCATTTGTTATAGTTTGGCATTTCATTTATTTATTTAATAGTACCTCAGAGAACAGCTGTATACCCCTTGCAGGTTAACCACAGGCATGGAAAAAGGAACAAGAGAGCAATCATAAGTTCCCCAGATCTAGAGGGCCATTTGGATTCCCATCTCTGAGATCAGAAAATAGCTCCAACTGGAAACTAGGAATTTGCTGTCAGACCACCCTCCCTTTCTTACAGCTGGTACAGAAAGAACTGCATCAGATGCTTCTCTGAAGTCCTAAAGACAACCTTTAAGAAAGGGGATTTCCAAGGGACAAGGAGGGCTAGAAACTGGCACTGCCAAGATATTAGATACCTTGGTAGCCCCTTAGTCTCCTTCCTCCCTGCTTCAAAACTCTGCTGCTTTGCATGGTAGGACAAGTGTGAATGTGACTTTTGCTTTGTGCTGTTCCCATCTTATGTAGAATGGCCTTAATCCCCAAAGTTTGGAAGGTTATAGGTAGTGTCATTGGAGCACACCTATAAAGTGTGACTTTTGTTCACAAGTTGTATAGGTATACTGATAATGCTTTCGTCCATTGTTTTGGGTCTGCTTTTTGTTGTTATTGAAAGGGGTATTGAGAATGACAATAGTAGTGCTATACAAGCGGTAAAGTGGTTTCTGTACATTTAATCACAATAACGTTAAAAATCAACAGCAAAAGAGGAAGAGAGAGGATCCAGGCAATTACTCACCTGACACTGATACTTGGAAACATTTAGAACAAACTGTTAAGCAGTCAGTCAGTGAGCATTTAGCAGGGGAATGCTGTGAGAGAGCCAGGACAAACTATTTTGCATTAAGGTACTGAGAGAATGATAAATATTTAGTAGTCTTATGAAGGGAGATTAAATGGGTTGAACGAGAAAGAGAGAAGCTGAGACTGTACATGGTTAAAACACGAAAGCAATTTTTATTTAAAATATTTTGGATTGAAATAACTATATTACGTGTGCCAGGAAGATGGGAAGTATTACGTTTAATTTTTTAATTTTTAAAAAAATCCTTAGACTTAAAATCCCAGTGACACCTACTGGAATATTTAAAACTAGTAGGTGTATTAGCCTAAAATTGGTCTACATGAGCTTACAAAAAAGTGACCAAAAGGCTTGAAAAGATGTGCATTTTCCATTCTGTTCACAAAGAAACCAGGTTCAAATATAGCAGTTCAAAGCCTTTTCTTAAAACCCATATAAGACATTGACATCATCTTTAAAGCCAGTACTTTACTCTCTAAAGAAGATTTTAGAAGAGAAGAGGGGGGTAAATGAGAGCCATCTCCCCATAAATCAAGGCTGAGTCAAGAGAAACTGGCATTCTCTAGCATATTTCAACATTTAATTGATGGGCACGTGACAGACCTACACAATGTCTTGTGGTCTTCCTGGAATGATTTGCTATTTCTGATCATTGCGTTCCATTAAATACCAAGACTGACCAGGGAAGAAAGAGAACAAATGCTATGAGGTAATTTGCAGCACAGCAGAAACCTGGGAATGTCTGTGTATGTCTATAGTAGCTTGCTTAAACTGAAAAAGTGTAATTACATTAGAACTGTTTTGAATGCCTCTTATCTGAATGCCCTTATGGAATTATACATGTCTCTACATATAAAGACTTGGGGACATGGTATCGCAGTGGGCTGTCGATTGAAAGATTGGCAATTCAAAGCTGTGCAACAGGAAGAGCTGCCTTGTCCCTAGCTCTTGTCAACCTAGCAATTGGAAAGCATATAATGTGAGTAGATACATAGGTACCACTTCAGTGGGGAGGAAGCAGTGTCCTGTGATGTCATGCTGGCCACATGACCATGTAAATGTCTTCAGACAGCGCTGGCTGATAGCCATCGAAATGAAGAAGAGCTATTTCAGCTAGCAGAGTAAAATTTCCAGGGACTCCTCTTCTTCTCTCCTACATTTAAAACAAAGTATGTACATGTGCCGAATGGAGAAAAATAGTTTGTCTCATATAGACCCTTTCCCATAAAACCTCAGAATAAAAACATGCAAGGAATCTGAATTGAATGATCTTCAATAGTACATATCATTGCCTTTTCATTGCAATGGCTATTATTATTTCAGTTTTGAACCTTAAGAGCTATTTGCCCCCTTCAGAATTCAGAACTGGGCTCTCACTGATAAATTTGCTAGGGTGAATATGGAGGGCCAAAACTTATGGAGGCAGGAAAAACATGCTTTTCCCTCAGTGTCATTTGTGGTTATCTGCGCTTTTCAGTGCAGATGATAACTGGCTTTTCTTGAGTGCTGAATGCCAGTTCTTTCCTCCCACTCAGCTTCAGCCACTGCTGAAGCAGATTCCATTTCCCACAGCTTTCAGGCCTGAGGTGATACATGTAACCCCTGTGAGTCAGAGCCCTCCTCAATCATCCAAAGGAACTTGGCTGGTTTCCAATCTCTGGGGAAAAGTCCAAAGAACTAGGATGAGAACAGCAAAAAAATAAAAAAGGATAGCCAACAGCTACTTGTTGAGGTGGGAAAGTTTAATGAGTGTGGCAGAGTAGGAACATGGTCAGCTCAATACTTGGTGCTTCTTACCCAATAATATATATGATTAGATTTCTTGTGTCTGAGTATATATGTTTTCAGACCTCCTGTTTATAAAAGCCTTGGCATTCTTACACACCCCTCTTTGAATTCCATACTATTTTCTCTGTTCAATGGTTCTGAACGGAACAAAGAAGTCTCTTGTGATGTACTTAATTAATGGGGAGGCGCAAACACCTTTCTGCTCCTTCAGAATCAGGGTGTCAAGTGCCCCCTGCCTTTAACTTACTAATCAGTGGAAGAATATAAGTTGTTTGTACTGGGACAAAGGGTTACTCATTCATAATCCATTTATGGCCATTTTATTACACTGGCACTAACAAGATGTGATATACATATTACACAAATAAAGCAGTTCATGGCAGTTTTGTACATGTATTTTTGATAGAGGATGTGAGGTTACACAAGCGAAACTGTCACAGATCTGGTGTGCACAAATATTTTACTTAGCAAATTTGAATTAGAAAACACTCTTTCTTTGGATTTGGAGAATCCAAGTGGATTGTAAGCAAATGAAGAAGGCTAAGATTGCTAGAAATTTTTAGGAGAATGTTTCCTTCAAAACGTCTGAATAACTTTTCAAAAGATGGCAAATGTTTAGTAAAATGTCTGCCTGTAATTAGAGGAAATCTAGTGCACATCCAGAATAACTGTCATATGCTGGGATCATGAGAGGTATGATCAAGCTAACTGACTTTGGTAAGGTAGAAAAGATGTATTTTGAAGAAGGGTTGAGTCCTTTCAGATAACACAGAATGAATGCAAATATATATTTTTAATCAGCTCTTTTCTTTTATTTAGGGTCGTGCTTCACTAACATTGGAGAAGCAACGGTTTGCCCAGCAGCATGACGAGATGAGAAATCTAGAAGAAATTGTTGACAAAATAAGGCCAACAGCTCTTATAGGTAACGTCTGTATTGATCTGCCTTCATCTATAGTTGTAGCTGGTAATTTAACCATCTGTCCAAGCTCTGCCATTTCATGTGATGCATTCACTGTGATTACCTATGCACTGAACAGACATAGGTTGCCGGTATCTCTTAGTAGACTGCCTCTACAAAAACCTTAGGATGGCGTGTTAACTGTTATTAAATAGCAGTCTTTTATTTGCTACATTTGAAACTGGGTGAAGTTGTAGACATTTTTGGATCATGCGCTAAGTGATAGAAGGCAGGAAGTCTTAAATGTGGGTCTATTTGGTTATACTTATTTAGCAACTCCAGGGATTATTTCTGTCTTTCTGATTTTTTGCCTTATAGTTAGAATAAGCTCTAACTTTATTCTCTCTTGACTTTTCAAAGTCTGCACTGACTGCAGTTAGAATAAAATAATCACATGTGCATGTAAGTTTGTTTACAGCAGTGAACAAAACATAGGAGAGATTATTCTGCACCCTATGCTGTATAACATGATGTGCTCCAGATGTGTGGAATTACAACTGCCATCACCTCCAACCACAGCTATGCTACTTGGAAATGATGGGAACTGTAAACCAACACATCTGGGGGGGGTATCATGTTTATTTTATATTTATACCCTTCCTTTTTACCTTTCAAGGAACTCAAGTTGACTTACATAATTCTCCTCTTCCACTCAGTCTTACCTTCACAACATCAACCCTGTGAGTAGATTGGACTGAGAGTCTGTGGCTGGCCCAAAGTCACCCAGGGATCTCCATGACTGAGTAGAGACTAGAAACCAGAGCTCTAAGTCCCAGTCCCACACTCTTAACCATTCACCCCACTTCCGTATGTTGAGGAGGGTTTCTGTATAACTTGAACATTGAATACAGAACATGAAAATAATGTATTTCTTTAGATAGCATGATTATCTGTATTGTATAAGCAAGAAAGACTGGCCAAATTTAATACTGTTCTTCCTGCTTGAATAATTAATTTTTTGAAACCTGTCCTTGCATAGCTGGGATTACTGAGTTTTCTGATATTTTCCCAAGGCTTTCATTAAATGTAAGTCTCAGCAAATGCCATATATGGAGAATTGCTAGACACTGCTCAGGAAAAGGACTTGTTATTGTTGGACCAGGATCAGAAATGATTATTTTTATATGACAATAAAAGTAGTCATAAAATATACATGAAATTATGTCCTCTAATTTATTTTACTATCAGGCTGGAAATTGTTGACATACTTACCATTAACAGTAGAAAAGCACATAAGCAATAAAACTTGAGTGAGACAGTACCTATTATTTAGACCAATTAACCTTTAAAAATATTGGAAGCCAGCTTTTGAACTGCACATTCCTTGAGAGGTCTAAGATGTCATAATGAAACACACATGCACATGTGGACGCACACACGTGGATGCACGCGTGCACACACACACACACAAAAGTAAGATTGCATGGTCAAGCTGGTGGCAATTTGGCCAGATCTGCAGCTCCTTAGGATTTAATGTCTGCTCATAAGGCTTTATTCTAAATTTAAAGTATGCTAAAAGTTATGTCAAATTTGCATCAGGGTTATAATTTTTTCCAATCCTGATTTTTCTAATTCAAAACATGGTCCACTAGAATCATATCATATCCTGTACCCTCTTCATAAAAATGAAGTAATTGTACAATGGTGCAATGACAATATATTTAAGTGCAGCTTATGCAGGAGAGTAAGGGATGCAGGTGGTGCAGTGGTTTAAACTGCTGAGCTGGTTGATCAAAAGGTTGTCAGTTCGAATCTGCACAACAGGGTGAGTTCCTGTTGCTCCGTCCCAGCTCCTGCCAACCTTGCAGTTCTAAAGCATGCAATTGCAAGTAGATAAAAAGTACCACTTTGGTGGGAAGGTAAACAGTGTTCTGTGCACCTTGGTGTTTAGTCATGCCAGCCACATGACCACGGAGACTGTCTACGGACAAACGCTGGCTCCCTCAGCTAGGATACGGAGATGAGCACTGCCCCCTAGAGTCAGACATGACTGGACTTTAATGTTAAGGGGAAACCTTTACCTTTATGCAGGTGAAGTACTGATAGCTATTAAAATAAATAATTTAATCAGAAATCTCTCTTTTCTGTGATAAAAGTGGAAGCCATAAGAAAGCTGTTATGGAAAATATATAGGCAACTGAGAAATTTGGGAGTGACCATTGTTTAAAATCATATCTTTATGTAATTGGGGTATAAATAATTTGATTTTAAAGCTCTTGAATGAGTCTTGAACATCACAACTGCAAACATGCAGATATTGTAATTGTCTGAAATACTGGTGTAATGCATTTATAGGTCTGTGTAAAAGGTTATGTTAGGAAATTTTACTGGCGTAGTTACTGGTCTTCTATTTCTAAGCACTTAGTGCTATCAAAGAAAATCAAAAGAATGACTGTATCATTAGGTCCCCTGATATTTCTGCCCAGTAAGGGATATTGCAACAGTTAATATAATATTCAGAATTCCAAAGCAAATGTTCTTCATGTCCCAGACTATTTCCTTTGCACTACAAGAAATAGCATGCCTGTTTTTAGTCTTCACTGTGATAGCTTCCATACTTTTAAGTGGGAAAATTATTACTATATTATATGAAACATCTTAGTGAAAATGAATAGAGAAATTGAAAGTTTTGTCATGATTTATAAAAATCTTCCATTCAGGAGTATAAGATAATGCAGAGTTATTTCCTTTTGGCTGACATGCCACCTTGTGTTTTATATTACCACAATGGAATTGCAAGTTAGAACCACTATGAAGATGTTTCCATGAGTACCAGCCCACTATTAAGGCTGCCCTTTCTCTGTTTCTACACTTAACCAATGTTGGGTTTTTTGCCATCTCCTCTCTGCATCATTAGCTGAAACAGGTGGGAAATGGTATTTGATATTATATGATGATAGGTGAGAGTTTTAGGTAATATTATTTTGTTACCTATATTCTGTGGATCTGCCTTCTGTACCGTAGCAGCTTCAGATAATGAAGGGTTAAGAGTCAAGTACTTTCAGGCCTATGGGCTAAATCCAGCCCATCTTCAGTCCTAACATAGCATGGCTTCTTGGCTATTGTATAGTTTCTTCCCATTTTGAAAAGTCGAAGTGATTCTGCTAATGCTTAGTTATTGGTAGTCAGGGCTACAGTATGATAGATAATAGCTTTTGTATTTTAGCCTTTCTTTTCTATCTCTGGTCCTATCCCCTTTCCTTTTTCTGTATATACCACTGAGGGCTTTGCCAAAATTCAGTTTGTCTTTTAAATTTGGAACTACTTGGAGAACATTAGTTAGTGATGTGTGAGGAAAATGGTTTAGGAGAAATTTGCTGGATTTCCTAGGCTTGGATCTCTGGACTTTGGTCAACTTTCTCTTTGCCCGAAGACTCTCACACATGTGCCTTCTGTGCAAGCAGTTTTCACACATTTGACTTGCAGACTTTGTGTACTTTGCACAAAGAATTGTGTACCTTATGCAAAGGATTATGTGCTTTGCATACTCTGTGCAGATTAAGTACTTTGCCCAAAGAAGCTGCTCTTGTTCCTGAATGTTTGTAGACTTGATCTTGGCTTGGCTTGCTTCTGGGCCAGGGTCAACTATGGGAAAGGAGTCTGGTGAGCATAAGAAAGCTAGTTTGCAGCCTGATCTTTTCATCCCTAGTATTAGCTGACTGTTACCAAAACTCTTGCAGCAGTAATTTATTTATGTTAAGTGTGGACTAAAAAGAATAAAATATATAATAGGCAGCTGTAGAAAAAATACTTTTGATGTTGTTTTGTGAGTCCTTTGCAAAACATCCTTTAGAGATAATTGTAGATTCTATAGCACTGTGTTGTATTTCTTTTTTGCATAGGAGTTGCTGCCATTGGTGGTGCATTTACAAAACAGATCATCAAGAATATGGCTTCCTTCAACAAGCGGCCAATTATTTTTGCCCTTAGTAACCCAACTAGCAAAGCAGAATGCTCTGCTGAGGACTGCTACCATCTCACTGAGGTAAGGAAAGAAAGTTAATTTGTACTTTTGTAGTTCTATTTATACTTAATGAGTTTTATTATTTTAGCTAGGTAGAATCTCCTTCTTGGATGCATACTGGAACATGATGAGGTGGTTTGAAAGTGTCAGAGAAGCCAAGAGCAATGTTGCCAGAAGGCAAACTCTCTTATTGTGCTGGCTTCCTAGCAGGGCCACCCAAGGTAGAATGTCACAGCCAAGATACATCCACTCTTTTCAAGTGTATCAATTACATTGACAGAAGAGAATGGCTATCTTTAATGGTGATGGGGGTAGACAGATTCCTGAAGAGATGCTCCTGGACAGCAGCAATAGTTGAAGGCAGCAATGAGGAAGGATCTTGCACAGACAAGGGCAGTGACACGTAAGCTAAATCTGCTAAGAACTGTGCAAAAGAAGGCATTGATGGACCACTTATTTTTTTTTATTTATATCCTGCCTTTTTCCTACAAAGGGCTCAAGGCAGCTTACATCATTCTCCTCCTCCATCTTATCCCCACAACAACAACCCTGTGAGGTAGGTTGGGCTGAGAGTCTGTGACTGGCCCAAAGTCACCTAGTTTGCTCCATGGCTGAGCGGGGACTAGAACCCAGATCGTCTGAGTCCCAATCCCGTGCTCTTAACCAATACACCATTTTCTTACCTTGAAAACCCTATGATAATCCAAAATTATACAAGAGATAGTAGCCTGGGCTGGAAGGCACTCCATTAGCTACTAGAGAAATGCAACTGGCAAGACAAATAGCACTGTTGTTAATGTCACAACTAGATCAAAGCTGAAAGGAATCAGTGGCTCACATGTGCAGAGGTGAAAGGAAATTCTGATGCTGCACAACACATACAGATAGAATGTGAATGTGAGAAGAATGAATCAAGGCAAACTGGAAGCCATAAAACAAGAAATGGAACTATTAAACATCTTAGTACGTGGTTTTGGTGAAATAAAATGAACCAGAATGAGACATTCTCAGTCAAACAAACACAAAATGTTTTACTCTGGAAATATGAAGCACAGAAAAAACAAAGTGACTCTAAGCCTGACGCAAGATGTAACACAAGCAGTAAGAAGCTATAATGCAAAGCCCAACCAAATTATACAAGCATAATTTGTGGAAAACTCTCTGTAATCCAAGTCTTCACTCCAACAATGGATGCCAGAAAACACAAAACCAAAAACTTCTATGCAAGCACCTAAAAGGAAATAGATAACACACCAAAACAAGACAAGCTGATAATTATAGGTAACTGGAATGCAAAAGTGGGAAACAAAGCAGAGTCCTATGTTATGAAATAATTCATCCTAGGGATAAGAAGCAAAGCAGGAGAATGACTCATAGAATTCTGTGAAGTCAACCATCTGTTTTTTGCAAATATATACTAAAGGCAACCAATTAGACAAGAGTACCTGATGTACAGTTGTCCAATATAGTAATAAAATATATTGCATAACTGGAAGCAGAAAAAGAAGAAACTGTTCTCTTCATGCTCAGGCAAGACCAGGAGCAAATTGTTGTAGTAACCACGAATTCTTAATATCAAAATTAAGAGTAAAGCTGAAAAAGATTGCTAAGTAGAGCATAGTGCCAAAATGCAACTTAACATTCTTCAGGAATTTAAAATCCACATAAAGAATTTGTGTTATTCAACTGAACTGACTATAAACCAGAAGAACTGTGAACTGAAACCAGAGAGACTATTAGGAAAGACTGCAAAAAATCCTGTAGCAAAAAGCCTAGATTGAAGACAGATAAGAAATGCTCACAATTGTTAACGATGGATGAGAAAAAAGAAAAAGAAACAGGGTCAGAATGCTGAATAAAAGTTTTCAGCAACTATCAGACAAAAAGAACTATTACAATGGGCAGTACGAAGAAATGGAAAAGAACAGCAAGAGGAAAAACAAGAGATCCCTTCCAGCATATCCAAGAAATCAAAGGGAAATGAAATCTAGATAGGAGGCATGCTGAAAGACAAACAATGGAACATACTATTTGAGCAGGATAAAATAAAGAGGAAGTATTCCAAACAATATATGGAAGAATGATGCAGAAGAGAAAAAAGGATGGTGGACTTTTGAAAAAAAGAAATTGTATGAGGAAGAACCTACAATATTAGTAAGTAAAGAGAAAGTTAGGTTTCAAAGTCGCATCCAAAGTAGATAGGATCTACCAAAGTAGATAGAACTATTCCAAGCCTCAGAGACTAAATTAGTTCAAATTCTAATAAGAATATGCCAACAAATAAGGAAAACAAAACAATGGCCCACAGATTACAAATGTTCCATATACATTCCAGTCCTCAAGAATGCTAGGGTGTGCAGCAATCTTTGCACCAATTGGCCTAATCTTTGCTCTAATTTCCCATGCAAGCGAGTGATGCTCAAGGTGTTGCAACAAATATTACCCTATATGGAGTGAAAAATGTCTGATGTTCAAGCTAGATTCCAAAAAGGAAGAGGTACTCAAGATTATATTGCAAATAGACATTGGCTTCTGGAGCACACTGAAGAATTTTGAAAGAAGCTCAGTGTATGCTTTATATACCACTGCAAAGCCTTTGACTGTGTGGATCACAAGAAGCTATGGATTGTCCTAAAAGAAATAGATGTGTCTTAGCATTTGATTGTCCTCAAGTGTAATCTGTATTGTGGACAAGAATCTACTGGACAGAAAATAGAGAAACAGAATGGTTTCCTATAGGCAAAGGTGTCCGACAATGGTGTTTTTTGTCTCCCTGTTTGTTCAACCTGTATGCCAAACATGCATAAAGAAAGCTGGATTAGGACCAGAGGAAGCAGAAGTGAAAATTGGTGGAAGATACATCATTAATTTAAGATATGTAGATGATACCATATTACTGGCAGAAAGCAGAAGTGAATTGAAGTGACTCCTGATGAAACTGAAAGAAGAAAGTGCAAGAGCAGAACTGCAGCTGAACAAATCAAGACTACAGAAGAATTACACAACTTTATGTCAACAGTGAAGAAATTGAAACTGAAAAATTGTACATACCTTGTCTCAGTGATAAATTCAAATAGGGACTGCAGCCACATTATTGTATTTCCAATAGCTATGTATTAGTGGACCGTGGAGGAAGTAGAGAAGAAGTAAAGTGGTGTGTTTGAAACATGGTGCTGGAGGAGAGTTTTGTGGCAACTCCAGACTAGGAGAGAGATGAACAAGTGAGTCATACATCAACTCAAACTAGAACATTCCCTGCAAAGAAAAATGGCAAAACTGTGGTTGTAATACTTGAGGCACAACATGAGAAGGCAAGATTCATTGAAGAAGAGAATCATGCTTATGGTAGTTGAAAGTAGAATTTGAAGAGGAAGACCAAATATAAGAAGGATAGATTCCATAAAGGAAGCCTCAGGCTCGAGTTTGGTTGGGTTGCATACATGCATGTGTTCACACGTGCATATATATTCAAAGCAACACTTCTAAGCCCTCATCCTTTGCAGATCAGATTTCCAAACAAAGTCCTGGTTTGTGTGAGCTATCAGCAATATCTTTCAACCAAAGTGTGGATTAATATGTGACCATCAGAGGATTGTATTTCTTGGCAGCAACTAATAGGTTGAAAAAAGATACTTTGTAATCAATATAAAATTTAGATAGCATTTTAGCTAAGTCCCCATAGGCCAAAAATGGGATTTGAATCTAACTCTATTAAATCCAATGGACTACATTACCTCTCTAACAACCTCAGAAGGAACATAAAATGTCTAAAGAAGAAGATACAAAATGACCTGCAATAGAAGGAGGAATACATAAAAGTTGTTAATAGAAAAAGATACAAAATGGCATTCAGCAGCATTTTTGCTGTTTTCCTTGCATAGAGGCATTATAAAATGGTTTGAAGTATTTATTGGAAGTTATTGAGAATATGTTGGAGGTATGTTTGGAATAGATAGGAGAAAGGCAAGGCAATTAAAGCAGAGGCGTGCTTTGGCTGCAAGAATTCAGAAAGGGGACCAGAAGCAACAGCATGTGGAAATGAGTAGTAAGATCCAGGATGCTGAATACATGAAGAGCAGGCAATTTGAGATTGATTGGGAGGGTATGGAGAGCACATATGTTTTTAGTGTTTCAGAAACCAGTATTTTGGCATAAGCTTTTGTGAATGCTGTCTGCTTCAGATAAATTTGTTGGTCTTTAAACATATACATTGTTATAAATGAAAATGTAGAATAAGTACTAAACAATCCATCTAGTTAGTTTTTCTTTCTTTTATCTAGTCTATCAATTGGAGTAACAGTAGGAATAGGATTATATATAATCAGAAACAAAAGGAAAGGGGAAAAAAAAACCTTCTGCATGTGAATTCAGATCATTTACTTTCTCTGTTGGCTCATATTTTCTCCCTACATTTTTTAGTGATTTCTAATTCTATATATAGAAACAAAAATTTAGCATGTCCTATTCACTCACTGCAAAGTCCACATCAGAGTGCAGTGCAGGAATGAAACAGGAATGCAGACATTTTAAAAGTGTAGTTATAATGGGCAGTTCCATCTGGCGACCAGAACTAAAGTTATACTGAAATACTTTGTATTCCATCAAAATATATAAAGCGGTCCATTATAATTCTACATGACGCAAGCTTAAACCATATTATTTTAAATAACTAGGCAGTGTTAGTGCTGATGTAATATACACATTTACAGTCTCTAATTTAAACAAGGATCATTTTATTTAAAATCAAATGTAATCATTAAGACTATAACCCTGTACCCACTTACCTGGGAGTAAGTCCAACTGAACTCAGTGGAGCTAATATTTAAGTAGACATGAATGCAGTTGTGAATACTATTAAAGAATTAGTGTTCCTGCATAGACACTTCTATACATACTGGACCAACTGTTTATTTGTTGCTTTCAGATATCAACAGATAACAAGTTAGTCATGGTGGGCATCTGGATGTGTATTTTTATACAACTTTTTATTCTAGGAGATACAAACTATGGTCATGAACAGAATTACAGGTTTACAGTGACAACATTGCAAACTAGACTGGCCAAATGAACAACATTTCTGCATCTTTAATTCTTGTGCAAATGATGGAATTTCTGATTCATCCTATGAAAACAGATTATTCTTTTTTATATACAAATATAAATTTAATTTTGTGGGTGACAAAAAATCAGCCACAGTTTTTGTCCCAGTATTGTGCCTTCATGTATATTCATGACTGAATTTCATTCTGAGGGTATAAGTTCCAATCCTTTTGCCCAGGCAATGGGAAGAGTCACATGAAATGGACATAATTCAAGATATTGGATTGGTATTGGTTTGGAGCTTGCCATGATACTGAGAACCTGGGATGTAATAGTTATACATACTTCCAAAGATCTTTTCATATAGCTTCTAGATAGTGTAGTTAACATATGAAAAGATGTGGATGTATATCCTGATACATTATTCTAGCCAATAATATTTTCAGATACTTTCATATATTCAAAACAATGCTTTCCTGTTTTAGGGGAATGGCATTTTTGCGAGTGGAAGTCCATTTGATCCAGTCACTCTTCCAGATGGACGCACTTTTTTTCCTGGTCAGGGAAATAATGCCTATGTGTTCCCAGGAGTTGCTCTTGGCGTTGTTTCATGTGGAATAAGACACATAAATGAAGAAATTTTCCTCACCACTGCAGAGGTATGAACTGTTCTTCATATGCCTAAATGGGTATCAGCTCTTCATATATCCTTAAAAATAGATATATCTTGCAATAAATATAGAGCTTCTTTTGCCTTCATTTGACCAGCTAAAAATATTGCTGATAGGCAGCTATATCGTGATGACTCATCTATCCTTGCATAATTTTTCAGGTGTGCAAATATCATTTTTATCTACTTTCCAGCCATGGCATTGTATATAATCCTCATGTGTGTGGGGGGGTGTGTGTTTAGAAATGCTAGGGAACTGCAGTAAGTCCTGTTAAAAGGAGCAACAGAAAAGGAAGGGAGCCAATATTCTTTCTGGATTAGCTGGGGATTCAGGTAAGTGCTGAAAAGATGGAAGGAAGTGAGAAGTGCCAGTTCAGTGCTTAAAATGAAAAGGATTACCTAGCTAACAAGGAGATACTGTAGCCTTTGCTTTTGGTTCACCTTCTTTTGCCACTTTTTCTCCTTTTGCCCATTCTTTTTAATTGACAACTTGGCAATTAGTCCCTGACAAAAATATTCAAAATAGCCAGTATGCAGTCTCACCTTCTCAAATTCCAGGTATGTTACCTATTGGTTCTCTTGGACAGCTGAAACTTAGAAGGAGAATGACCAGACAATACTGTGGATACAGAACATTTATCTTCAAAATATTTGCTACTCTCTAGAATGCTTAAGACAATCAGTTATTCTGCTGCCAGTTCCTGCAATATAACTACATCTGTTCTAGCCTTAGGATCATGGAAAAATTGATATATCCAGTGTTGGAATCAGTGTTGGAATCAATCAAGGGTAGTGTACAGCAATTTATCAAAACTTATGGTTAACATAAGCAGGCTTTCAGTTTTATTCTTTTATTATCTATGGGTTTATCCTGCCACATTTTCTATTTCTTCTGGATTCTGATTTAACTAGAAGAATGTCTAAACTTGTTTCCAGAACAAGAGCACCCCTAATTTGCCATAGCCTTCGGTCTGTTCATGTTGTACCCACCTTACCTCAATGTTAATGATTTCATTGCAAAATGCTTCAAAAATGAAATCTTAATGTGATCATATGTAAGATTGCTTTTTCCAGTATTTCATCAATATTCATGTGCAGATTAGTTACATGAAGGGAAGGGGAGATATGAATTAAATATGTAGCAAATAATGCATGCATCATTATCTTACATTTTGGAATTCATTAAAAATGCTTAGATTAATCTAATAATTGGTTTCGTATTATAAATTAGATCAACTAGTTTGGAACTCCAGTTCAGAGAGAAATTAAGATTAAGATTTTGAAGCATCTGCCAACAGAGAAACATATTGAGCTCCTCTTAGCTGCAACTAATACATTGCAATAAACCCAGGTGCCAGGCGTGACTTTTTAATGAGTGTTACTTGCATTTACACATAAACTTTAATGCAACTGTTGCTGCTGCTGTTCTATTATTCAGAAGCTGCCTGATAGCTACTGTCAATTATTTACTTGTTAGTAATTCCGCCTCTAGACAATGCAGTAAAAGTGCTACATTCAATATGCCAGCAAATTTGGAAAACTCAACAGTGGCCACAGGATTGGAAAAGGTCAGTTTATATTTCGATCCCAAAGAAGGGCAATGCCAAAGAATGTTCAAATTACCACACCATTGCACTCATTTCACATGCTAGCAAAGTGATGCTTAAAATCCTACAAGCTAGGCTCCAGCAGTATGTGGACTGAGAACTACCAGAAGTACAGGTAGGATTTTGAAGAGGGAGAAGAACTAGAGATCAAATTGCCAACATACCCTGGATCATGGAGAAAGCTAGGGAGTTCCAGAAAAACATCTACTTCTGCTTCATTGACTGTGCTAAAGCCTTTGATTGTGTGGATCACAACAAATTGTGGCAAGTTCTTAAAGAGATGGGAGTACCAGGCCATCTTATTTGTCTCTTGAGAAACCTATATGCGGGTCAAGAAGCAACAGTGAGAAGTGGACACGGAACCACTGATTGGTTCAAAATTGAGAACAGAGTTCGGCAAGGCTGTGTACTGTCGCCCTGCCTATTTAACTTATATACAGAGCACATCATGAGAAAGACAGGGCTAGATGAATCACAAGTTGGAATTAAAATTGCCAGGAGAAATTAAACAGCCTCAGATATGCAGATGATTCCACTCTAATGGCAGAAAGTGAAGAGGAACTAAAGAGCCTCTTGATGCGAGTGAAGGAGGAGAGTGCAAAAGTTGGCTTGAAACTCAGTATTAAGAAAACTAAGATCATGGCATCCGGTCCTCTCACTTCCTGGCAAATAGATGGGGAAGAAATGGAGGTAGTGAGAGATTTTATTTTCCTGGGCTCCAAGATCACCACAGATGGGGACTGCAGCCAAGAAATTGAAAGATGCTCCTGGGGAGGAAAGCTATGGCAAATCTAGACAGCATACTAAAAAGCAGAGACATCACCCTGCCAAAAAAAGTGCGTATAGTCAAGGCTATGTTTTTCCCAGTTGCAATGTATGGCTGTGAAAGCTGGACCATAAGGAAGGCTGAATGCCAAAGGATTGAGGCCTTTGAATTGTGGTGCTGGAGGAGACTCCTGCAAGTCCCCTGGACTGCCAGGTGATCAAACCAGTCAGTCCTAGAGGAGATCAACCCTGACTGCTCTTTATAAGGCCAGATACTGAAGATGAAACTCAAATACTCTGGCCATCTTATGAGAAGGAAGGACTCCCTGGAGAAGAGCTGAATGCTGGGAACAATAGATGGCAAAGGAAGAAGGGGACGGCAGAGGATGAGATGGCTAGATGGAGTCACTGAAGCACTTGGTGTGAGCTTAAGTGGACTCTGGAGGTTGGTGGAAGACAGGAAGGCCTGGAGGAATGTTGTCCATGGGGTTGCGATGGGTTGAACACGACTTCGCGACTAACAACAATTCCATCTCTTGATTCAATCAATTATATTTGACAAAAGCTTATATTACCCTTCAAAATGTCAACATAGAAGTAGGGTTTTTTTTCCATATAGAACCTGATGTGGTAATTCTTCAAGACTGGTTAATGATTTCAGTCAACTACTAAAAAGTTTTCTATAAAACAATGTAAAATATTCCAATATTGGTAAATAACAGAAATTTCAGTCTTAAGGTTCCCATCTGCTTCCTCTTACATTTTCTTGAAGAAAGAAAAGTGTGAAGATTATGAAGTACAATGAATTTCATCTGAAGGAAAGTAATTGTTTCCAGCAAGTAATTTGTTGTCAGGTGTCCTACCTTAATTTGTTTATAAATAGTTGTATGATTTATCTGTACGAAATTGCATTGACAGTCTTTCTAAACTAGGTGTTTAAATATGCCAGCAGGACGTCTTTCCTCAGGTAAATCTCACCTTCCATGCATAAAAATCCAGTTTCTATCCATTGCTTTTGACTGGTTAAGATGGGCAATAATCCACTACATAGGAACTTGGTTTATTTTATCCTCCTTGCCTAAAACCTTCCCCTGTAATTTCAGTTGGACATGGTATCTTCATTCTGTGTCCTAAACAGCTATGTATATTTTAAAAGCAGTGCCTTTTAAATTCAAGATGTTTTCATTTGGTTTGGAGAAGTTATTTATGTATAATTTATAAAATTCTTCGGTAACTCCCTAAATGAAAGGTGGGGCATGCACTGGACTCTGAGGCATCTCAAATGTCAAATTTGAAAGGAAGTCAGCAAAAACTGGTTTCCTTCACAGGCAATTTTAGCAGCAAAAAAGAAAAAGTACTAGAAAAGTGGAAGATACTTTGAAATAACCTCTTAGAACAGATATTTTCTAATTCTGGCTACATTCAGTGTACAGTTTGCCATCTAGCTAAGTGTGCTGTCTCATTAAAGACTGCTGTTTTGTGCACACTTACCTGGGAATAGGTTCTGTGAAACACAGTGTACCGAACTTCAAGTAGACATAGAACTCTGACTGTACCTGTTCCCAGTGTGACTCAGTGACAGCCATAAGACTGGTTGCAGTCATGTTGTGGAAATAAAATGTCAAGGAGACAGCAGCACATTCACATCTTGAATGGGTTTGACTAGCTGTGTCTAATGCATGAAAAAGAAAGCACTTGTACTTCATCACACAAAGAACTCAGAGAATTCACTGCCATTTTTAAAGGATTTGATAATTCATAGAATATAGTTCTGCCAACTTATGTTAGCCATTCCAAGACAAACAGTTTCTCCACCATGGTGCCCTGCAGCTATTTTGTGCTTGTCCCTAATCATTGGCCATGCTGGGTTGTGCAAATGGGGATTGTAGTCCAAGACATTTGGAGGGCACCATGTTGAAGGAGGTGTTGAAGTGGGATTGATAGGCCTAATTTTAATTTAGCAACCTCTGAAAGCAAGCAATGGGAAGTGGCATTAGCTACACTAACATAGCTAAAAGGCCTGATTTAGGTTCCTTTAGGGTAGAACGAAGTGGTATTGGATCCAGCAGATCCAGAGCAGCCTATTTGCCCGTGTCAAGAATGGTTCATTGCTACTGCTGGTGGGAACAGTAGTGTGCCATCTGAAGAGATTTTCTGCAGATGGAACCGGCTATCAGAATTAATGGAGCATCTGTGTCACATGATGCCTTTTCTCTCCAACCAGCTAGTCTGTGCATTAGGATGCTCAGCCCATTTTATCCAATAATAAAATGGAGTTTGCTTCTGTAATACTAATTATAAACATATTTTATGGGAATAAAACCATTTGGTTGTAGAAAAGAATTATGTATTATTCATTCATTCATTTAAAGCTTTTATAAACTGTCCTATTACTAGCATCTTGGGATGTTTACACCAATGATCATCTATACAGTTTTTGTCACTCATGAAATGTCTTTAAAAATTAAAAAAAGGATATTGTTAACCCTGGTTGTACCCAGTTGGTATGCTCATGCTGGCCCAGATGCTGATGCCAGACCAGTTTGCCATGGCCTTCACTACATGCTACCCTCTGTGGGGTCATCTGAGGATCTCCTGGACTGTGACTCTGATGTCCAGCCCTAATTACACCATTGAGGAAAACTGCTTTCAGAGTGGAAAGAAGATTTTCAGAAACAGTTTGTGATCCAGAATGGACGCATCTACTAATAAAAGAGGAAGCAAAGTCAGTAATTCAGCTTACCTATCATTAACTTCATACCCAGTATTCTTTGCTGCTGCCTCTAAAGATTTTTGTAATACGCAGATTATAATGCAAGAAAGATAAGAAAAACCTCTTAAATTCAGATATTCTCATCATTCAACTTTCTCAATAGGTAGGCAACATACTTATGTTGAATTGTAATATATACTGCCAGTGATATACTTTCCACACTTGATGCCTAAGCAGAACTTAATTGCATCCTATTACAGGTCATGTTGGAATATAATTACTTTCTCATCAATGTGTAAATTTAACAAAGCTTCCTAGTCAATAAGCAATCAGGATAAGCAATAGCTACTGATTTGCCACAAGAAAAATCAAACGGCAATAGGACTATACCTCCTTTTCTTAACTACTTTGGCTCCCTCTTGTGGGTTCTATTTTACAAAAATGGATAAATTATGGTAAAAATGACTGCAAAACGTTTAACATTTTTCTGCTTTTAAAAAATAGGACCTGTAATCTTGTTTGTGTTTTAACCATGAAAAGGTGTAAACCTCCAAGTGCTACATAGTGTTTTTTCTGAGCGAAAATTCTCTGTGTGGGTGCTGATGGACTACATTTTTAGGTAGCAAAGATCTCAAAAGCAGTATGCCAAGGAATGGTAAGAACAATAACAGCGAATGGAAATCAGGATCACTTATCCTATTGGGAAGGGATAGATCTATAGAAATGTTTTTAGCTCACAGGAGTTTGTGATGCTCTTGTGCAGCTGTTCTCTTGCACTTAGCTCCTAGCATTTCTTGTACCATTATATAAAGTGTATCATCACTACTTTCTCCAAAGACAAAGTGGCTTCTCCATTGCAGCCATCGACTTACTCTCCAAGGACCTTAGAATCACTTAGACATGGCATAAAAGTAAAATAGGTAGGAACCTTTCCTTTTATAGGCTTATTCATCAGGAAGAGTCAAGCATTCCAGTGGACACTGCTTCCAAGGATATTCCAGAGTTACTGTGTGCGTCCTCATCTTCATGTGCCATATCAGATATTTTTAATAACATAAAAATTTTTTTCTATTGAGTGCAAAATTCATTTCTTTCAGGTTGATGAGCACAGTTCTGCTTGGCTTCTCCTATGCTATATTCCACTACTGTGATACTTCCTTACTAGAGCAAGGATTTCAAAAATTCATAAATTAATTCATGTGTACACAATTGTCTGAAAGGGATAAAAGCTAGTTTTAGGGCTGGCTTCACATGTGAATGGGCCCTGGACCAACTGCCCTCTGGCAAGCCCACCCTTCTGTTGGTGGACCTTGGTAGGCCTGCCTGGTGGCAGCATTAGTCAACAGTAACAGTATTGATTTGTGATGGTTAGCCATTTAAATTTCCCATAATGCCCTGGAGCAACACTGGGTCAGGGGCATTGCAAGAAATTAAAATGGTGTCTGAGAGCTGGGCTGAAGAAAAATGAAGGTGTGACAGGGCAGATGTCAGTAATAGGTCATGCTGGAGCACTGGAATCTGACACCCACCATGGTTAACTTGTCATAGAAGAGTAGTCACATAAATCCAGTTTCTGTATTCTTACAGTGGCAAGTGTTTTCCAAGTAAGACTTCATTACAGCATGAGAGCTTAACAGTAAATGCCTTGTGCTTTGTTTCTAGGTTATAAGTCAACAAGTATCACAGAGACATTTAGAAGAGGGTCGTTTGTATCCACCTTTAGCTTCGATTCAAGATGTCTCTCTGAAGATTGCTGTAAAAGTAAGTGTAGCTTGCAGTTCCTGATTAAGAATAGGCCAAATACATTTTGTTAAATGCAGGTAACACATTGATGACATTTTTGCTAAAAGTTTGAAAATATCCTCACACAGCAAAATAAAGCAGTAGAAAAATACTATGGAATGGTTTCTGCAACCTACATTATGCCATCTACTGTTCACTTTCATGGAGTTAGTTTGATGCGAGTTTCTTTTTCTCCTCAATACTGCTGAAAAGGATTTTGCCTGTGCAAAGTTTCTTTCCCTTCAACAGACCTATTCATTAGATTTATATCCTCCAAGGACCTCAAGATGGCATTTATTGTTCTTCCTATACCTCACTATATCCTCATAATAACCCTATGAAGTGGGCTAGGTTGAGAGCTGGTGAATTTGCCACAGCCTGCTCAGTGAATGTCATCCCAATTGGGCAGTTGAATCTGGCCTGCCTTCCTTCTTAATCAGCACTGTAATGACTCTCTACTTAACATACATTTTGCTTAAACAGAAGAATAGCAGTTTAAAAGGAAATGTTAATGAAAAAAGGGCACTGGAGAAAAGGATTGGTCTTCTTCTCCCAGCACTATTGTTTTAATCCAAATTGGCTAAAACGTAGATATAGCAAATCCAATCATACTTTATTCTCTTTCTCTCTCATTTCTTTTTTAATGCCTGTAAGTGTGCCAATTCTTACTTTTATTGCTACATCGGACATAGATGATCTCATATAAAGATCAGCCTTTGTTCTCAGCAAGCCTATAAAGAATTGATTCTTTCAGGTTCATGTGGTAATTGATTCCAAATGGATGTAGTCAGAATTGGCATATTTCATCTGTCTTCAGGTTGATAATGTGTGTATCTTACTGATGTCAAAACACATGTGTGCAGATTCTCATTCTGAAATCCAGTATTCTTAGTGTGGCAAAACCTCTCCACAACTCTAAAAAGCTTTCTTTTTATAGCATTTACTTGCATTTACACACAAACTTTAATGCAACTGTTGCTGCTGCTGTTCTATTATTCGGAAGCTGCCTGATAGCTACCGTCAATTATTTACTTGTTAGTAATTCCACCTCTAGACAATGCAGTAAAAGTGCTATACCCAATATGCCAGCAAATTTGGAAAACTCAACAGTGGCCACAGGATTGGAAAAGGTCAGTTTATATTCCGATCCCAAAGAAGGGCAATGCCAAAGAATGTTCAAATTACCACACCGTTGCACTCATTTCACATGCTAGCAAAGTGATGCTCAAAATCCTACAAGCTAGGCTCCAGCAGTATGTGGACTGAGAACTACCAGAAATACAGGCAGGATTTCGAAGAGGGAGAAGAACTAGAGATCAAATTGCCAACATACCCTGGATCATGGAGAAAGCTAGGGAGTTCCAGAAAAACATCTACTTCTGCTTCATTGACTGTGCTAAAGCCTTTGATTATGTGGATCACAACAAATTGTGACAAGTTCTTAAAGAGATGGGAGTACCAGACCATCTTATTTGTCTCTTGAGAAATCTATATTTTATTTATTTATTTATTAAACCATTTTTATGCCGCCCCATTCGCCGAAGCCTCGGGGCGGCTTACAACAAAAAATTAAAATAACATTTTAAAATATATACAATAAAATACAAATATATAATATAAAACATACACTATAAAACAAGCCGCCCTGGCCAAATAAAATTCAATAATATTAACATTTAAAATACTGCTTAAATAAAAAGGTCTTCGCCTGGCGCCGAAAAACAAGTAACGACGGCGCCAGGCGGACCTCTCTGGGGAGCGCATTCCATAACTTAGGCGCCACCGCTGAGAAAGCCCTCCTCCGAGTAACCACCCTCCTAACTTCTTCCATGGAGGGCTCCCGGAGAAGGGCCTCTCCCGCCGATCTCAGGGGGCGGCTGGGCATATAAGGATGTCAAGAAGCGGGTCAAGAAGCAACAGTGAGAAGTGGACAGGGAACCACTGATTGGTTCAAAATTGAGAACAGAGTTTGGCAAGGCTGTATACTGTCGCTCTGCCTATTCAAATTATATTCAGAGCACATCATGAGAAAGGTGGGGCTAGATTAATCACAAGTTGGAATTAAGATTGCTGGGAGAAATATCAACAACCTCAGATATGCAGGTGATTCCACTCTAATGGCAGAAAGTGAAGAGGGACTAAAGAGCCTCTTGATGTGGATGAAGGAGGAGAGTGCAAAAGTTGGTTTGAAACGCAGTATTAAGATAACTATGATCATGGCATCCGAGCCTCTCACTTCCTGGCAAATAGATGGGGAAGAAATGGAGGTAGTGAGAGATTTTATTTTCCTGGACTCCAAGATCACCACAGATGGGGACTGCAGCCAAGAAATTAAAAGACACTTGCTCTTGTGGAGGAAAGCTATGGCAAATCTAGACAGCATACTAAAAAGCAGAGACATCACCCTGCCAACAAAAGTGTGTATAGTCAAGGCTATGGTTTTCCCAGTTGCAATGTATGGCTGTGAAAGCTGGACCATAAGGAAGGCTGAGCACCGAAGAACTGAGAACTTTGAATTGTGGTGCTGGAGGAGACTCCTGCGAGTCCCTTGGAATGCAAGGTGATCAAACCAGTCAGTCCTGGAGATCAACTCTGGCTGCTCGTTAGAAGGCCAGATACAGATACTTTGGCCACCTAATGAGAAGGAAGGTCCCACTGGAGTAGAGCCTAATGCTGGGAACAATTGACGGCAAAAGGAGAAGGGGACAGCAGGGGATGAGGTGGCTGGATGGAGTCACGGAAGCAGTCAGCGTGAGCTTAAGTGGACTCTGGGGGATGGTGGAGGACAGGAAGGCCTGGAGGAATGTTGTTCATGGGGTCGCGATGGGTTGGACATGACTTCGCAACTAAACACGTACCCTCCAAACCACCTGGGGACTCTGCTGATCCTGCTTTGAATGGGGGGAATTGAAGGGGCGTCCCCTAAAATACTTTTTTTCACACTTTCTTGAGGTTTTAAGGCGTTCCCTTATATACCTTTGGGAAAGGCGGAGGTCATCCTGGAGCCACATGAACACTTGTAATACGCACATGCCCCATGAGGATTCTGCTGCAAAGTTGCTTTCCACATCCTACCTTATTTTTAGTGGTAGGATGGGCTTAGTGGTAGGCTTCAAAGTTGCAATTTGCAATGGACACTTCTGCATCCCATGATTCTGCAGTGTCCTCTGGTATACCACAGGAGGACTGGGATGGGGAGTAGGTACACACCCCCTGCTGTGTCTGATCATCTGTCAAGCACAGATGAATTTTCACCACAGTGCATGGTTAAAAACCCCAAGGTTAACAAGTAACGTGAACCTTTGTGTTAACAAACACAGGTTTGTCACTGAATGTGTTCTTAACAGGAACTTACAATTAATTTTATGTCTGGGAAACCATATTATTTGGCCCACAGTGGGGAAGGATTACTCTTCCCCTTGTGGGCCAGGAATATCAAGGCCTCAGCTGAAGTCATGTGCTTTCCAGGTGAAGAACTACTTGGAGCAATTCCAGGTGCACTCTCAGCTAGTGCTTCCAACAGCTGGCTCCTTGAAATGCAGGAAAAAGGCATCCGCGCCTTTGTTCCTCAGGGTGGAGGAGGGTCAGACCTCACCTGAGGCTGGGTGGGCCGGCCAAAATTGGCCTACAGGCCAGTTCCATATTCTTGATCTCAGAGTTTGAGACTACAGTTCTGTGCACATTTCCTTATGAATGAATCACTGAATGTGTTGGCATATAAATCATAGAATTGTAGAATAGTAGGGTTGGAAGGGACCAAGGCCATCAGGTCCAATCCCCTAAATCTGGTTTCTTTTAACTTAAGTCAGTTATTCCATGTCCTGCACTATGGAATGGACAAGAAGAGATCTTGTCCCTCCTCCTCATGGCAGCCTTTCAGGTACTTGTATACTAGTGTCATACCATCCCTGAGTCTTCTCTTCCTGAGAATGATTATGTCTAGTTCTCTGTCTTTCCTCATAGAAAGACCGAGAACTTTTCCTCCAGGGCTTTGCCTCTAGTCCCTGAATCATCCTCATTGCCCTTTTCTGTACCCTTTCTAGCTTTTCTGAATCATTTAAAATCTTTTTAAAATGGAATGGAACTAAGTTATCTCCTAGTTTTTGTTCTGTCTTTTCAACATAGTTTTTGGCACCAAAAAAGTGTCAGAACACATTACATTCATATTTTGAGGAAAAACATTTAACAATTAGCATTGACAAAAATATTCATATATACATGAAAAATTTATGCAGATTTAAACATCAGGCAGATTTATGAGTGAATATAGACAAACTAAAACAGGCTGATCCATCCTTCCAAGTAAACATGTATAAGCTTTTGTTTAGTCTAAATGTATTGTCCTGTGACCCAATACCACTAGCAATGCCATATTAATGTATTGAAATAGTCCGATATTAGAATAATACTAAAACTGTGAAAACATTCTAACATCCAAGGCCCAGATAGTATCATAAATCCAGTCTGCCCATAATTTATTACCTCATATATACATAATAGTATTTCTGACCTTTAATACTGAGCAGTGAAATGAATATGGATAATTGATTGTGATTGCTGTAAGATGGTAGCAGAAGTTATCTCGAAATACATGTCAGTGATCCTCTCCAGAAAATTGGTTACATGTTTTCTTTCCCAGTTCATAGTTTCATTAGGTAGTTGATGAAAATCTGGTACCCGGTGTTAAATTTTGAACATATAGCATTATATATCATGCTGCCTCTTGATGCAAAATGTTAACAATGGGGGACTTGTCTTGTTTTCTCAGATTGTGGAGGAAGCCTACAGTAACAACACAGCTTCTTTCTACCCTGAGCCAGAAGACAAGGAAGCATTCATCCGCTCCCAGATGTATAGCACTGACTATGAAAGCTTCCTGACAGACTCTTACACCTGGCCCAAAGAAGCCATGAAAATACAAACTGGAAACTTCTAATCAGAGAACAGCACTGAAACAATAAGATGCACTAGTTTTCATCTTTTGTTAAATCAGAAAACTCAGCTCTGTTAGAACTCAGGATATTCTTGTCTTCCTTTTTAATAATGCGGAACACTTTTGAAAACGATGAAACTTTGGTTAACAATGTCAAGTTCTTCTATAACTATAAGATTATTAACTATATCTAATTATGCTAAATCACACAAAATAAAAATAAGTAATTTAGACATGAGGCTTTCTTTATATTTCTTTGACATATGTACAAAGTTACAGTTATATTTTTCAATTAGGTTCAGAAAACCCAAGTTGCAAAGCAATATATCAACATTATAATTTAGTATGTGATCCATCTATTTAACATTTTGTAACAGGAACAATAGAAATAGCATGATAAAAAAAATCAAATCCCTCTAACTGAGGCCACTCTCATCAGAACAAATTTCCCTAGTCAAGGAAAATCACTTGGATAAACTAGCAAAGCATGAACAAGAGAGACTTCAGGGAGTTGACAGGTCTTGGAAGTTCAATAATGCTTGAACATTCTATTCTACTTCCACACTGGCAGAATTGGAATGTTTACTTCCCTTTCATCATGAAAGCCACCATTTATTTCAAGGACATAGAAGAACATGCTGCTTGTAGTTCATTATCCTATTTCCTACAGTTGCCAGCTTAATTTTTGCACTATATTTATTTAAAACTTTTCTATACTGTCCCATCACAGATGTCTTGGGACGGTTTACAACACCATTAATAAAATAGCATAAAAACAGAAATAAGAGTAGAAGTAGCACAGCATCAGATGCTAAGTATAAAACCACCAATTAAAAAAATTAGCAATTGAAATTTTGGGAGAATAAAAAGGATTTTGCCTGATGCCAAAAGCAAAGAAGCGTTGGTGCCAGGTGAACTTCACTGGGGAGAGTGTTCCACAGTCGGGGTGCCACTGCCGAGAAGACCCTCCTCCAGGTAGTCACCCTCCTGATCTCTTTCAAGGATGGCTGGAGAAGCCCCTTTGCTGCTTCTGTCTGTATTGCTCATTCTTGGGGAATGTTATTTAACTATTTAATCACCATTTCCCAAACCAATAATTTGATCAATCAATATACTAATCACATTTGAATACACAGCCACTTAGGTTAGAATCCATCCCTTGTTCAACACTTCTTTCTCAATTTCTTTCCTATATCTATGAAATTAACCAAGGTTATTTTTCTCTACTATTAGACAGATTTTGTTTCTTGTTTGGGAAGTAAACTTTACACATCCGTGTTGATGGATGGTACTGCAAGGGAGAAGCTTGGAAAAGGGAAACCCAGGAGGAGGTGGTGGTCACCAAGAGAGCAGTGCAGCCCAGAGGGGATGATAGACAAGGATGGCTGGGATTGGCTAGATGGTGATGCCCCTTCTGCAGCTGGTGCTTACACAGCAGCAATAACTACTGGCTCTGTCCGACTGCAAAAGCAGGTGTTAGCGCACATGAAATTGGCAAATTTGGGAGGGGAATGTAACACACGCACCATATAAATTTTCAAACATACTGACTCACATGTGCAACAATTCTTATATAAAAGATTTTTACTGTTGTTCTTTTATGCAAGACTGGACCAACAAATTCATAACATGGCAAGTTAATTATTGTTTCTACTGGAATAAGTTCACATAGCCTTACTACTGATAGAGCCCTCTCTCTTCCTTTCTTTCAAATTGGATCCATGTGTTCCAGTAATCATCCAAAGGTCCAAGACTCAAGTAAACCACCTGAAACTGAATCTAAATAGGAATATGTTAATAATGGCTGGCCCTTCAAATGGAGAGCAATGAACACTGACACCATGGCAGCTTCCCCAGGAGGAATTACTCTGGAATTAATGCAGTACCTGGAGTATGATGATGCAGTGACAACTGTAGACCATTTTCACCCACTTTAATAGGCAAAAACGCTGCAATGTTTTCTGTTATGTTTAAGGATATTGCTCATAATGCTTGGCCAAACAACTGTGTGCTGGGTTGGCCTGAAACAATGCCATTGGCAGTGCCCAAATACAGAGGCTGGGTATTAAGAAATATCACGTGGGCTCTACTCAGATTCCTAGATGTTGATTTCCCTCCCCTTAAGTGGTTTGGGAGCTACATAGTGCAAAGATTCTGCCCTTCTGTTCTGACAACAGCATTTCAGCATAACCACAAGAAATCCTCGTGCACCTTTTTAAAAATAGCCTTGTTTGGGGCAAACAAACCTTTCATAGAGTGTGTAACTGTGAAACTACAGCTTGTACTCCTGACATTTTTAGTTAGTGCTGCTGGGAATGACACACTTAAGACCGTTTGGCTTAAGCGAGCTGCCTGCCAGGATTTAATTTAGGCACACCATTGGTTTGACCCCATGAGAATCCGTTTCCAATCAGACACAATTTTAGCACTTTTGCTCCAGCTTCAATATATAATGCTATATAAACTTTAGTATACAACCATTCTACTATTCAAAGATTCTAAGCATTCTTTTTAAAGTCACTATATCCATAGCATACCTCAGCATTATGGGGATAGATTGTTTCATTTCTATTAGCCGACAAGAAAACATAATTTATTTGTTAATTGTCAGAACATTTACCTTCAATACCAAACAAGATCTGAAATATATGTTCACTTTGATGTGCCTTAAGGAATTCTAGGAACTGACCAAGGTCCATGTGATAGTCATTCCTCAGTCCATAATCACCATGGGCTTGAAACTGTAAATCTTCAAAAGTATGAAAAAGATGTAGATTATCTCCATTTCCCTCAGTCTCAACACTTTCAACATGCTTGCAGGAAATGTGTTTCCAGTTAGGGTATCTAACAACATGCCAAAACTCCTCACAGTTTTCTTTGATACCTTCCACACAAATGATCCCCGGCTTCCCAGTTAGGCAGAAACCAGTTAGATTTAATTTCTTTGCACAATCAAAAATCTTTTTCCTTAGTTCTTGTCTATATATGTGGTGACTGTAAATCCACATCCGGGTAAATAAAGTTTTAACTACTTTTTTGTTTGGCTCTCTTTCACAGTGGACTTTGCTATTTTTCAAATATGGAGTGCTGTTGTCTCTTAACCACTGTACAGCTGCAAATATACAAAGTTCTCCAGTCTCCAAAGATGTTATATAAGAAGTGATATCCTTGTTGAGCTGCAATTGCTGCTTCCTGTCTAAAGCATCAGATCTCGCAAAAAGCTGTGGTGGCATTTGAGGGTAGTCCTGTGGCAAAGTGACCTGCAAATTTATTTGTACCTAAAATTAAAGAGAGATGAATACAGGAATTCAGTATTCAGAAACTTTGTTTACACACTACTGATTATAACACCTGGTAATACACCAAATGAATGAAGGAAACTTAATTCTACATATATTAACTAAAACAGTAATTTTAGGCAAAGCTAGGACCAGTTCATAAAGCTGACTATAGGCTCCTGCTAGCCCACTGACATATAAACTAGAAGTATAAACTAGAACAACACACCTTACATTAGCACACAGAGTTGCAGAGGGTCCAAAACATGACCACTGGGATACTGGGTCAGTATCCGCCTACAGTATCTCCTCTCTTTTGACCTCACATGCTTAGCTACAACTCTGTGATGACTGCATAGAGGCCCTGGCCGACCCATTCATAGATCCTTCTTTCTATAGTGATTCCCTGATGCAGGGATCCACAAGAGCCCTGCTCTGCTCATGGATCTCCTTCCATTTTCCCCATCTATACCTTCAGGGGAAAGGGAATGTCTTTACCATCCTTACAATAAACATGAGATAGAAAGCTCCAGATACAGAAACTGGCTGCTGTGCTTATCCCTCTCAGAAGGTGGGGGAAAACAGCATCTGCAAACAGGGTTGCGGGGGGGGGGGGGGGATTTTCCTTCTTCCAGAATGGGCAAAGGGTGCCTTGCTGCTGTATACAGATCACTCTCTGTGGTTCATTATCACTTTGTTGCAGTCAAGCAATGCCCATTTCATTTTGTTAATTCTATTTTTTCTGCCTTTCTATATAAGAGATAATCAAGACGGCTCCCAAACTGTAACACAGTAATAAACCGCATTAACCAATGAACTCAAATAGAGTGGCATATAAAAGTAACAGCAATTACCTGTAAGAGCCAATAACAGAGAACAATATCCTCAAAATGCCTGCTGGACTGGGCAGAGTTCATTGTCCTTCTAAAAGCAAACTGTGATGGGCCCAGGCACATACTGCTGGAGATGTTGCTCTAGGTTTTGAATGACACAATTAAAAAGGGCCCTTTTCTCATAGCTAAGTACAGAACTTCTAAATTTGAGATACCAGGGAAGAGGACTTCTGAAATGGAATGTTCTCATGCAAGCTCTGAAGGGAGACAATACTGAGATAGTCTGGTCTCTGGCCATTTAAGGTTTTAAGTCAAATCCAGTAGCTTAAGTTGATCCTAGAAATAAAGTGGCATTCGGTGACTATGATAAAGGAATGGTGGAACTCAGTCTGATTTGCTGAGAGCACCATTTTGAAAATGGACTCCTGTCTGTGAAAGTGACAAAAAGGACTGCAGCAAAAACTAAGTATTGTGGCACCTAAGAATAGCCTTCAGGAAATTCTGAACCTATATAAATTTTCAGGTTGTTCTCAAGGCCAGCTCCACTAATAGCACATTATAATAATCAATAGGTTACTAATATATGAATGTCTGAGGCCATGTCCAACTATGAGTGCACAGTACAGTATATTACTTCAAGTTAAATGTTCAGTGAGATACAAATAATATCACAAACACTTAACGTCAAGGTAAAATATTAAAATTAATCAAAAGAAAATAAAGTAAAACATCTGAACAGAATGTTGTAAGCCGCCCTGAGGCTTTGTTGCGATGGGGGCGGCATAGAAATGTTTTAAATAAATAAATAAATAAATTAAAAAAAATGATCTCACCTTTGGTTCATCGATAGTAACAACCACTGAATATTCAATTGGATGTGGAATATTTTCACTTGCATTGTTCAAGTACTTCTGAACATTTGGCAAAGTATTTTCATCTTGAAGAGTTATTTCTCCTTTATTAGGAAACATAGAAAAAAGCATTTCTAATTCTTCCATTTGAAGCTGAATATTTTCTTTTATGATGCCAGACATTGCTATAGATATGAAGACAGCCACCTGGATACAGGAAACATAAAATAAGTATTGTTCTTCTGCCTACCAATATTCTACCATCACTAAAAAAGTTAGGTAGAATTGTCAATAAAGTCAGACTAGACAAAATGAAAACTTTTTGATCAAGTGAAGCACTCATTTACATTTTTTTCTTTTTTTGGAGATTAAAAAAGCAAGTTTATAAGCTTAAAACAGATTTATGTCTTGCAATCTAAGAAGTTCAAAGAGGCATGAATAAAATCAAGGCCACACATAGATGGGTCTGCATCTAATATTATGAAACATATGTATCACAATGGATGTAGAAATCCATACAAGAGCAAAAGCTACTAAGGACCTGAAGCTACTCAAGGTGATCCATGCACTCAGTCTTGTACTGGTTCTAGTATTACAAGCATGAATGATGATTTAAGGGCCAGCCTCCACAGCTGAAATCATATCCATGTGAAGTATCACAGGGAATCTGTTTGCACAGAAATGCGATCATATCCAATGCTTTACTCAAGGTGGGGCGTTGGTGTGCCACTTTCCCTACCCTCTCACTGGATGGCTAATGACAGTTTTTGTCTGGTACCTAGCAAGGGCCAGCTTGGGAAGACTCGCTCGCACAAAGGCTGAATGACTTCCAGCCACTTAGCATTGCTACCTGCCTAAAACATCCTCAGAAAGACAGTGGCCAAAGGCTGGTACCAAAGGGTTTTGACCATTGGACTGATGCTCAGGAAGGACTGCACTCAGAAATGCTGAGAAGGACAGAACAGAGAAAGTCTAGACTAGGAAGCTCGTTACTAACAGTATTATTGTATCACATTTACACCTCATCTTTCTTCTTTTTGTAGGGACCCCACGGTGGCTGACAAGGCTTTCCTCTCCATTTCATCTTTACAAGAACAACCCTGTGAGGTAGGTTAGGCTGAGTGTGTGTGACTGGCCCGAAGTCACCAAGTGAGCGCCACAGCTGAGCAGGGACTAGAACCTGGGTCTCTTGGGTCCCCAGTCCAACACTCTAATTGCTACAGCGCACTGGCTCGCATCTCAAGCTCATGCTCCAGCTCATGAAGAACCCCACCAGTGGCTCAAGATAATTCTGCTGTTTTGCCTTTTGTAACTGCAGGTCAACATGAATGCCTAAGTATATGAAGGCGGACAGGTGGAAGGCAAACAAGCCATCCTACACCACATAAGCGTTTTCCAGGGGTACTGCACACTTTGGATTGTGGCAACTGCCATTCATGGGTTGCCCCTCACTAAACCCAACAGAGAGAAGCAACCCTCATGAAATAGACAGTGGAAGAGCAGAAACTGGCTGGCAGCTGCAGAAAAAGAGCTTTAGCTGTGGATATTATTACTTCAGTAGACGCTGAAGCAGCTTGTTGTAAGCCGCCCCAAGGCTTCGGCGAATGGGGCGGCATAAAAATGTTTTAATAAATAAAATAAAAATAAATATCCCTTCCCTTTAAAGGGTGTTTGTTTACAAGTGTGGTACAAAACTGGAAAATGAAATAGATAAGCACACTAGCGAGAAAGCATATGAACATGCGTGGCATAGCAGACGGGTGATTTTGTGGTCCTGACAAAACCTTTCCCAAAGGTTTTTAATTTTTGAAAGTCCACGTTTTCCCGTGCGCATGAGGCTAAGAAAAATGCAGGGAAAGTGTGCTATCTCTCTGGAAGCCCTGAAGTGGAAGATGAAATTGATAAGGCATTGACAAGAGGAGGAAACTCCAGCAGCTGTTCGGACAGCAGTCGGAACTTCTTGCGCCCCCAGCCTAAGCAAGCCCCGCCCCACGCCGGCCACCAAGCAAGCACGGAGAGCCCGCGGCAAAAGCCGTCAGACTTTCCCTTGCCTGCTCCCCCACCTTGCAGAACGCGGCGCGCGGCCGGCGGCGACGGGCTCGCGCCTTCTGGGAGAGAGAAGCGAAAGGCGCGCTCACGGGGGCTGCCCCCGGAACACCCCGCATGCGCCCGGCCCGCGGGAATCACCCACTTGAACTGCAACACCCGCAACAGCTGCCCCGGCTTACGCAGCAGTCACGTGGCTCAAAGAAGGGCGCTCTGTCGTCCCTGAGCATGCGCCGACGATTACGGCCAGTTGGTGGCGGTAATGGAACTCCCGACCCCGCCTCCTGGTTCCCCCTCACCCCCGCCGCCGCCGCTGCTTCTGTCGCATAAGAAATGCATCCGCAGGAGACGGGCATCTTCCAAGCAGCTTGTTCAAGAAAACGAGAAAGGAACTGGCAATTTCAACCGTGCCGTTCCCGAAGAAGTCCGTGGCCCGACTGCATCGTAATCTTGTTTTCGGTGCAAGGACACAATCGTATGCCTGTTTGGTTTTTTCAAAAAGGCCTAAAACTCCCAGCATTCCCCAGCCTTTCTGACTGGGGAAGCTGCAGGATCTTCTTCCGTTTAACTATGCAAAGAGTTAAACGTTAATAATTCCTTATTTTGTTCGGAAGCATGATGCCTTTGTTTAAAAGGAACTTGCTTTCAGGCTGCAATAAACGTGGAGGAAGGAGCAAGCCCCAGTGAACACAACGAACTTTACTTCGGATTGCTCTGCAGGCAGTCCAGTGTTCCTTCCCGAGCCCCACTGCGATATTCATAGCCAGCCTGTTATAAGCTACCTGCCTCCGGTAATCAAAAGCATCTTACCATTTCGGACTACCCAGCCTTATTCCAGAGGCAGGCTGATCCCGTTTTTCCTGTTCAAGGCTACAATCCCATACACTGCTCGAGTAAGGCCCACTGACCTCAATGGGACGTTCTTATGAGTAAGCATGTCCGAGGCTTGCCTCTCGAGCCCCACTCGTTGGTCGGCAATGCGCCCCCTCTCGCCAAGGAGTGCTTCTCGAAAGCGCCTGCTTACTCTGGCGCGCGCGTCTGCAAAGCGAGCGAGCGAGAATGGGGCGGGCGCAAGCGCAGCCGGGGGCGGAGGAGCGGCCCCCCCGGAGCGGCCGGCCTGCGCGCAACGCCCCGGCGCTGCCCCCTGCGCTGCCGGCGCGTGATTGGTGCGAGGGGCGAGGCCGGCCCGGCGCGCCCCCTCGAGCGGAGCCCGGAAGGGCGTGTGGGGCGCCTACCCGAGCGAGCCACGTCCGCCGCAGGAGCGCCAGGGAGCGGTGCAGGTACGTGGCCGGGCGCCGGGCTGCGCCGGTGCCGTGGCTGCCCGGCGGCCCGTCTGCCTGCCCCGCGAGGAGCCTGAGCCTCGGGTGCTTTTTGCGGCCGGGCTCCCTTTCCCCTCTAGGCTTAAATAGGTGGTTGTGGTGGGAGGCGGGGGGTTGCCTCGTGTTTCCTTCGCTGCGGTTTCTTGGCGGCTGCATCTCTGGGCAACCTGCCGATTGTCAGGAGAGGCTTCTGCGCTACTTTTTCTTTTGCCCGGTTGGTTATCCAATGAATGGGGCTCTGTAATTGGCGTGTGTCTGACCGTGATGGTACCGTCTTGCGTTAGGGCTTGGACTTCTGTACCTGCCCCGCCCAGCTCGCATGGTATAGCGCCGAAAGAGTTGGAATATGGGTGGGTCAGTCGGATCCTTGCTCGGTGGCCTTGGGCCAGTCTCGCGCTCTTTTGCCCCCACCGACTTCACAGGTTGGAAGGGAAGGGAGGAAACGTGTATGCATGTATGTATGTGAAGTTTTTACATGCCGTCCAATACAAAAATCTATGTAGCCCTGAACAGAAGGAAGTTTGGGATGAAACTGTAACACACAAATACTAAAGAAGAAGAAGTAAAACACAAATATCTGAATTAATTTCTTTTAAATTGCAGTATTCATTAGCATAAAAATATCTTTTTGAGGTAAGTGATGCAAAAATGGATAAGCAATCTGTGTTTATTTGGAGCATCTCTTATTGTTGTTGCCACAAGGTTGTGCCATGGACAACATTCCTCCTGGCTCTCCTGTCCTCCACCATCCCTCGGAGTCCACCCAAGCCCACACCCACTGCCCCAGTGACCCCATCTGGAGCCCCCTCATTCTCTACCATTCCCTTCTTCTTTTGTCATCAGTTGTTCCCAGCATCAGGGTCTTCTCCAGTGAGTCCTTCCTTCTCATTATGTGGCCAAAGTATTTCAGTATCTGGCCTTCTAAAGAGCAGTCAGGGTTGATCTCCTCTTGGACTGACTGGTTTGATCTCTTTGCAGTCCAAGGGACTCACAGGAGTCTTCTCCAGCACCACAATTCAAAGGCCTCAGTTCTTCAGTGCTCAGCCTTCCTTACAGTCCAACTCTCACAGCCATACATTACAACTGGGAAAACCATAGCTTTGACTATACACACTTTTGCTGGCAGGGTGATGTCTCTGCTTTTTAGTATGCTGTCCAGGTTTGCCATAGCTTTCCTTCCAAGGAGCAAGTGTCTTTTAATTTCTTGGCTGCAGTCACTGTCTGCAGTGATCTTGGAGCCCAAGAAAATAAAATTTGTCACTGCTTTGATTTCTTCCCCATCTATTTGCCAGGAAGTGGGAGGACTGGATACCATGATCTTAGTTTTCTTAATGTTGAGTTTCAAGCCAACTTTTGTGCTCTCTCCTTCACTCGCATCAAGAGGCTCTTTAGTTCCTCTTCACTTTCTACCATTAGGAGCCTCTCTATATAGCCCCTTATACAAATATAGCCCAGGGAAATTTACAGTAAGACAATGCAATTGCATACCATTGCATGAATAATGCTACAAAACATGCACATAATAAAAGCAAAGGTATGAGAATTAGTATATTAGCTGTTGAAGAACAAATGTGGTAGAGCATAAAAATGAAAGTGTACATGCAAAGTTGAGCTGAAATGGTGTAATTGTTAATTCAGTATAATTTTTGTAAACAGATTATTGCTTTGCTGACAATGGTATTTTTAAACAGCCTCTCTTCTCTGTGTAATTCAAATTTTGATTCTGGTGTAAAACAAGGGTTGCTTTTGTTGCCCTCTCTGCAGAGGGTTTTGGGGCATAATTATCATTTAAAATATGCTCTTCTGATACTAAGAGCATATTCTTCTGATACTAAGAAGATATGCTCTTCTGATTCTAAGTGTAGTAGCAGTGCCATCACTTTGGCTTGCATTTATTTTACTTCAGAAATTTTATTTCAGAAATGGATTTTGAAGCTGTTACAAAGTATTCGAAACTTCATGCCAAGCCTCCAGGACTTTCCCTTCAGTATGGAACAGCTGGATTTCGTACCAAGGCAGAAAACCTCAATCACACGATGTTTCGGATGGGCTTGCTAGCCGTTTTGAGGTCGAAGCAGACAAAATCCACCATTGGTGTGATGGTTACAGCCTCTCACAATCCTGAAGTAAGAGGATGCATATGTCAGATAACAGAGAAAGGGTCTGACTCACAAATGGAGAGGGGCCCTTTGCAAGCTCTATTTGTAGAATCACAGAGTTGAAAGAGATCCATGGGGTCTCTGCTCTGAAGCAAAGTAGTTTGTGTTTCAGGAAGCCTGTGGCATCAGTGCCTCTGAAATGGGAGACCGTGGGTTAAATCGTGTGTCATGGAATACAACTTACTACCTCACTACCCCTGCAGACCCTTGTTGCCCCTAGATCTGCTCTAGAAGGGGGTATGGGGGGAGGGGAAGTGGAATCCATTTCACTCACAGTTTCCATTCTGCTGGCAAAGGGGCACTGGACCCACTCTCATGCCTTAAACATCCCTACCTTAAACTTGGGGGGGGGGGGGCAGTCCAAATACATTGACTTCAATAGGACTTCAATGCACTCACTGTGCTCAGCCTAGGAATTTTTTCTGACTCTGAATTCTTCTTTCCTGAACTTACATCACAAACCTATCTGGGTTTACTTGGAAGTAAGTCCCATTAAGTTCCATGATCCTTATTTGGGAGCAAGGAGGAATGTGCATGTTAATTTGTATGTGTTTGTTAATTTGCAGTTTTTGATACCCTTTAACTGTTCTGCGGGGTACTCCACCTGTCTGCTTTAGCTTTAAGCCTTCAGAGCATATTAAGCTTATTTTTTAAGCTCAACATCAGTTGTGGACTCTCTTTCAGCCCAAGGGCTGAATTTCATTCTGAAAACACTCTCAGGGGCCACCTTCTAGGGACTGGTGGGACCAAAGCAAAAGCAGGTAAGACAAACATATCAGCATGGTTTAGCTTGGAGCTCTCCTGCTACTAGCTAAGCTTTGAAAGAGGCATTGCAGCCTCGTAAAATGGGGAGCACACTGCACCAAAGCTGGGACCTACCCAAGAATTGGTGGGGAGAAATGAGGTGGATCCAGGGAAAGGGTTGTGTCCTTCTGAGGAGTTCTTTGGGGCTAGATTGGGGCCCGCTGTGGTTGGATTTGGTCCCCATGTCTGAGGTTCTGCACCCTGGCTTTAGGTGATATTTTGTCTTTTCCCAAGGGAGATAATGGTGTGAAGTTGATTGATCCATTGGGTGAAATGCTGGCACCAGCCTGGGAAGAACATGCTAACCACTTGGCAAATGCAGAAGAGCAAGAATTACACCATGTGCTGGCTGACATCTGTCAGAAGGAAGCAGTTAACCTACAGGTTGATGCTTTTATTGTTGTTGGCCGAGACACCAGGTAAGCTATAAACTGCTATATGTCTTGGACAAGAATAGGTAATACACACATTTGCTAGTGCCTGTCAGTGCCAGAAGGACTTGCATGGAGGAGCCATATTCAACTTTCTTTATACTTCCTTTAGAGAAATAGCTAATATATATTTGGCAGGGACATCATAGGTCATCTAGTCCAATCTCCTGCTACTTCAGATAATCTGCCGACACAGCACCCTTGGCAGCTGTCCAGCTGCCCACATCTGATGAAGGAACCCACAGACTTCCAAGGCAGGTCTCTCCTACCATCACGCAGCTCATGCTGTCAGGAAGTTCTTCGTCACGTTTAGCCTACATCCTCTTTCGCATCATTAGAACGTCATTGTCCTGGTTTGGCCATCTGGAGTGACAGAGAGCAAATTTGCTCCATCGGGCATGGAGCACCCTTTCTAGTTCTTAAAGGTGGCTTTCGTATCACGTCTTCCTTGTCTCCTCACCAGCCTAGATCCACTGTGTTCCTTCAGCATTTCTTCTCCGGTCATGGCCTTGGCGTAGTAAATTATGCAGCCCAGTATATTGCTTAGGGATGTCATTATACCTAGCAGTATAGGAGTATCACAAATAAATAGTATTTGCAGCATGACTCTTGCTTTGCGATGAAAGAATTGGTTATTCTAATGCTTTCAGGTAATTCTGGATTAAAATATAATGATGGGTTACATTGTCTGTTGGACTCCAGCTAGGTTTGTTGCAACAAAAGTGAAAGAATGCCTCTTTTCTGAGATAGAGAAATAGGTAGCAGGGTCAAAGCAATAAATAGCCTTTGGTGTTCCTATCTGTCAGAAGAGCAGAGGTTGCAACTAAAGCATCTGTAGTACCATTAAGTCATAAAAGAACCATAAATTTGGGGAGGAGATCAGATAAAGGACTAAGGAAGAGTGTCTCCAATTGTAACTAGAGGAGATCTGTTTTGGGAAACACACAAATACGAATACTATGTGGCAGAAGGAATAATTCTTCTGTTATCAGCATGGCTGTACTTTGCTATGGGATTCCACAATATTGCTATAATCTTCTTTTGAACTCAAATCTTCTGAAGAAGGCTGGGTTTTAGTATTCCTGTTTAGACCTAGTTGATTTGACTACAGCTGCAATAGAAGGCATTTTTATGGCACCGGCAAACTAGGAAATGGGCTCTAAATAAACAAAAGGAGAATAAATATGTTAAACATATTAACCTTAAGGTATAAAATAGCAGTCCAGGGGACATGGAAGCAAAGTTCCTTCACCCAGAAGAAGAGCAGGCTGCATAAGCCCTAAATTTTCAAAGGTGCCCTGTTTGAATCTGTGCATGTGTAAATGAACCAGGTATTTTTCAGCTGATATTTATACAGTGAAAGAAAGAAACGCATGAAAGACAGTGTTCCCTGAATACAGAAAGATCCTATATTGGGAGACTTAGCCCCGATTTTCTGCCCTGAGATGACATTATATCTCAACGTAAATAAGTTGGTGATCAAAGGCTGCCTTCATGCAAAAAGCACACACTGAACAAATGTTGTGTATGCCCCAGGGCATCGTTTGCGACTGTTGCTGCCACCTCCTTGAACTGAGTGGATCTGGGTCTGGTGAGGGTCCAGATGGGGAACCTGGATCTCTCCGCTTAAATTCCATGATGGAAGAAATGCAGACTAGTAATAGAATGTATTGCAATAGAATGCATTGTATTATTTCAGTGCTTTTTATTTAAACAATATTAAATGATATATGCTTTTTATTTAAATGACCTTTTTATTTAAGCAATATTTTAATTGTTAATTGTTGATTGTATTTATTGGTTTTTATATCTGTGCCTAGATGTCTCCAGATTTTTAAGGTTAATTGTATGATGTTTATTTGTTTTGTAAGCCGCCCCGAGGCTTTTTGCGAATGGGGTGGCATAAAAATGTTCTAAATAAATAAAAGAAACAAATAAATTTATAAATAAATAAATTTATTTCATGGGTGAGGATGAGGCCTCTTCCCTTGTTCGCTCTTACCATGGGGAAGCTTGTGTATTTGCATAGCATGTCAACCAAAGCCACTTGTCTCTGTGTTTTGCATCCAGACCTAGCAGCAAGAAGCTTTCGCAGTCGGTCATTGATGGGGTGTCTGCCCTTGGAGGTCAATACCATGGTATGTCCCTACCTTCCAAACAGGGACCATTTTTCCTTCTGGTTCAGAGAAGCCGATATGGGGAGAAGCCATAACTCGGTGCTGAGTCGGGAGGGACATTGCTCCGTGCATGCAGAAGGTTTCTGGTGACATTTGAGGCTAGGGCTGGCGAGCCTCTGAAAGACTGGAGGCCTGAGCAGCAGGGACAATTCCTTGCTCGGCAGGCCGAGCTCCAGCTCTGTGCAAGGCACCCTCCATTCTTGATGAAAGCATGTGCTGCTTTTTGTGCTCCTCCTCTTCATTTCCCTTAGCTGAGAGTATATAGTGCACTGAAATATGTCTTTGCGGCTGAGTAGTTTTAATCCTTGATTACTGTGATTTTTCACCCCCCCCCCCCGCCCCCAGACTATGGCTTAGTAACAACACCGCAGCTGCACTACATGGTTTGCTGTCGAAACACTCATGGTGACTATGGGACTGCGACAGTGGAAGGCTACTATCAGAAACTCTCCAAGGCTTTTGTGGAACTTATAAAGCAGGTGAAATCTGCATTTCTTCGAGTTACCCGAGCTTGCCCTGCTACTTAAACCTCTGAGATGAGTGGCTCTATGCCACGTTCCCCAAAAGGCTTTAAACAGCACCTCTCACAAACACGCGATGTCATCAGTAGTTGGGGATTGTGGGAGCTAATGAACCTTCAGATAAGATGATCTGCGGCCCTGGATCGAGGGCCAGCGCTCTGTGGGAGCGTTGCTTATGGGCAAGGAGCGGGGCAGTAAGTGTGCATTGTGAGCTGGCATTGATGTGATCCTCTGTAATGTTTGGCTGCACACTTGTGCATTAACACTTGACAGGGCTCCTGGCTCGACAAAGCAGAGTAGGATGTGAGTTCTGTGGAAATCAGGGTACTGCACTCTGAAATAAACGTGATTAGGAGCAAGATTTTAGTGGCACATCCATGCTCATGATGGATGGAAGCAGTTTATAACTTCAAGGAATAAGGCAATTTGCTTTTAGAAAAAGAGGCAAAAGTAGCAACAAAGGAGGCACACAGAAAAAGGGAGGCCTACAGCTGTCGCTCATAAAATGGAAATCATCTGTTGTAGCTTCTGTAGCAATTGCCGACGGCACAGCCCAGCAGGAAATGTGTCTTGCTCCTGAGGGAAAGTCAATTCTGTTTACACTTGCTTGGGAGTAAGCGCCATTTGACTCAGTGGAATTGAATCCTGAGTTGATAGGTGAAGGATCGTGTGGTAAATGTTGAAAGGTATTGGGCTGGGCATATCACATTTGGTTTCTTTGAGTGTCAGGTGGGACCTGCCCCTTCAGTCTCCCATTTGCTCTCTGTCTGGCTGCCTGCTTCAGAGTCTGTGTCGTCGTCGTTTCTGAGCCTCTGGCAGGCGTTCAGGAGGGCCACCTTTTTCGTTCCTCTCGGCAGGCTACCAGCCAGCGGGACGGCCACATGTGCCTGAAGGTGGACTGTGCCAATGGCATAGGGGCTCTGAAACTGAAAGAGATGCAGCGCTTCCTTCCGCCGTGCTTTGTGATGCACCTAGACAACGATGGAGCAAAAGGCCAGCTCAATCACCTGTGTGGTGCGGATTTTGTGAAGGTCCATCAAAAGCCTCCTGTGGGTATGTAGTCGGGAGTGTGCTGTGTAAGCCCTTTCGATGGTTCCTTCAGAAATGCGGATTGAGTTTGCTCCAACTTGAAGAGAGGAGGAGGAACTTCTGATCTCAAAACATCATTATTTTGTGGTGAGGATGTGTCCTGGTACCTGAGAGATCCAAGTTCTGGTCCCCACTGAACCATGAAGCTCACTGGCTGATTTGGAGCCAGTCATGGACTCGCAGCGTAACCTACCTCACAGGATTGTTGTTATGAGGATCAAATGGAGAGGGAGAAGTACTTGTAAGCCACTTTTGTTTCCTTGCAAGAAGAGGAGAGGTGGGGTATACATGTAAAAACAACCACCAATATAATGAAATAAAACTCTTTAGTCTTAAAGGTAAGTCTAGGTGAAGTCCCAGCTGCTTCTGGACTTTGGGTGGGATAACAGTTCTAGACCCCACAGGAGCTTGCTCTAGTACTTGATGGTCTCCTTGATGAAGCCCAGCTTGTCTCAGGGCAAATAGAAACTTCCTTTGGGGGCAGAGCTGTTTGAAAATGTTCGCTTGGATACTTCAGCACATCAAAGTGAAGGTTTCCATGATAGTCATTTAACACCGAAATTGCCCAAGTGTAATAGATTTTAAAGAAATATCCTTTTTTGCTAGAATACGTTAGAATTTTAAAACTCTCAGTGTACTATATACATGGCATTTCCCATTTACCTTCAATTTCTTCAGGTTTTCCCCAAAATAACTTTTTATCTCCTACTATTGTATCTACTACTAATCTCCGTTCCCTCTGATCAATATTTGGAAACAGCCTTAGTATGGAATTTGTGTCAAGATGATTTCTCCATGCCTGTATCTAAGCCCAGCACTTGGGGTGCCATTGACAGAGTCATGGAGAGCACAGAAGCTAGCAAAGAAGGAGCAGACATTCACATTAGATCACCAGCATTCTGGCTTCTTAAGAAATCCCGATTTTTACATGCAAGTGGGAAACTCAAAACTGATGTCTTGCATTGCAAGATGTCTAATGAAATAAACAGCTCACTTCTGGGTAGTGATCATCCTGCATTGAAGCTGCAGGCCCATCTCAAAGGTATTAAAAGCCTGGAATCTTTCAGCACCAATGTTTTTCCAGCTAGCAGGACCATTCTGATTTGTCACTGTTTGCTAGGTCTAGAAATGAAGCCTGGTGAGAGATGCTGCTCCTTTGATGGCGATGCGGACCGAATTGTTTATTACCACACTGACGCTGCTGGCCATTTTCATCTTCTTGATGGAGATAAAATAGCAACTCTGATTAGCACTTTTCTTAAAGAACTTTTGGTCAAGGTAATAGAATTCCTTTGGTTATTGGTATTACTCTATTTTATGGTATGGTTAAAATCTTGCTTGTTCTACTAAAAAGTGTATACATTCATGTATATTCTGTTTCTGCAAATAGAATACTGTGATGAGTACTTAGCTCTTTTCCTTCTGAAGCAAAGAAGCTTTCCCTCTGCTACTGTAGTAGTTCTTTATTTTCTTCATTAAACTTCTGTACCACCCAATAGCTGAAACTCTCTGGGCAGTACACAACATTTCCCAGGGAGGACCATGATTCAATAAAAACAGCTGTAAATATTATATATAACAGAAAATATAAAGATAGTTTTAACATGTTAAAACAATTTACCAGCAAAAAAATCTTTAATACAGAACTGTGCTATCAAAGAAGGGGTCCTCAAACTTTTTCAACAGGGGGCTAGTTGAAAGGTGGTGGCGACTGGTGTGGGCAGGTGAGAAATGGGGGCCTGGCATCGTCGCGCGTGCACGAGGCGGCATCAGGCGTGCGTGGCGGCGGCTTGCTTGCTTGCTCGGAGATCTCCGAGCGAGCGCACGAGCCACCACCTCCCTGCCTATGCTGCAAAGCAGCAGTGAGCGCACGTGTGCAAGGGAGATGGGCAGTGGCGGCAGCTTGCTCGCTCGCTCGCTCGCTCGCTCGGAGATCTCCCAACAGTCCAAAACCATCTCTGAGTGAGCAAGTCACCACCTCCCGCCCGCGTGGCGAGGCGGCAGCGTGTGCGGGCTGCGGTGCAGGCCAAATAAATGGGCACGGCAGGCCAGATCCGTCCTGTGGGCCATAGTTTGAGGACCCATGTATTACAGAGACTGGAGGTAAAAACGTTAAATGCCTTTAGTACAGCACAAAATATTGAGGGGTTGAAGTCCAACCTTACTCGCCGGCAACCAGGAGTTCCGTATCAGTGAATGAGCAAGCCCACTGAGGGAGACCCCAGCTTTGCACCTTTGATGTCAAGCACATCCTCAGTAACCAATCAGTGCTAGAAGTTGATCTCATTTTTTTTTGTCTTTGTTTTATATTTATGGCTTACAACCATCCTTGCTGATGTCAACAAGTAAATAACTGTTTCCAGATCTTTGGAAAAGAACTGTGGATTTCACATAGTAAACATTTTGCATAATGAATGGTTCCAATGGCCATTCATAGCTAGCCGTATCCTTGACAGTACTGGCAGATTTCCTCCCAAAAATTGTTACTCTTAGGGCAAGTCCAAAAAGTGTGAACTTAATCTGCTTAAGCCAGTTGGCCTGGCTGCAAATATCACTTTGGTCAGTGGTCTTACAGGAAGGTGTATATAGAAATGTAGTTGTAACTGTTGCTGTGAAATGATGAAAACAATTTTTTAAAAATTGAAACACTATGGGAACTTTTCAAAATGAAATGAATTATGTGTTTGATCATGTATGTATAATATGAATAATTCCCTGAACAGTTCTTCTGCATAGCTTTATCTTGTAATATCACGGTCAGTAAACAGTTACAATAAAAATGAATTTAGAACAGAAATAAATGTATTTATTATGTTTCTGTACCACTAAATAGGCACATCTCTTTTGGTAATTCACAAAATAAGATCTAAAAGCATAGAAAACAATAGCATAACAAAGCATAATATTAAAATATTTACAAAGTTAAAACAGAATAAATCTAAAGCCAATCAACGGCAGTGATTGGTTAGAATTTTTAAAGGCTTTAGGTAGCCAGCAAGAAAATTCTTCAGACTTTGGAATATTTGACATGTTGAGTGCAGGGTATGCCAGCCCTGAAGTGATGGTGACAGGAGACATGCATGCCTTCACCCAGTTTGTCCTGCTTTCAGTGTGAGAGAAATAAAGCTCAGGTGACTTCCTATTGTAACTTTCTACTGTAAGTGGCTTCCTACTGTAAAATGTTGCTGTGCACAAAAATGTTGCTGTGCACAATGCAGTACTGTAGTGAAGGTGTATGTCCGACTGTGAAAATGTCTTTTTCTATTTCCCCCAGGCTGGCCAAACCTTAACATTTGCAGTTGTGCAAACAGCCTATGCCAACGGGAGCTCTACACGTTACTTAGAAGAAACCATGAAGGTATGTGTTCTGGGCAGCCATCACTGGCTTTCCTGCTTAAACGTTACTTGTAAGCAATCTGAGTCTAATCATAAATGCTTCTCAAGGCTCTGGAAAACAAATGTAGAAACAAGGTCGCCACACATACAATGCAGGTGAACTTTTTGGTAACTGAGAATTATGTGCAATGCCCTAGCCAGAGTAGGAAAAGTTCCCGAATTTATTTTTTGTCCAGTATCGGTTCAGTTGCTAAGATTATAACTGGATTCAGAGGACTGGGTTATATGGAGATTGGCTTTGTAAAATGACTGCATATAAAGGGTTGTGTTTCTGCCAGCGGAAAGGAAACAGCTGGCCGAATGGTGCCATGGCACCCTCACCCAAGTCTGCCCCAGGGAACTGGGGGACAAGGGGAAGTCATGTTCCATGGGCAGATGTCTCATGCATGATATCGGGCTTAGGCAGTTGCTTCTCAAGTGGGCATTCCTGTGGTCTCATGACAGATGTCCACATGTTTTCTGGTGGGGTGTGATTTGTAGCTTTGGGTCTTGGGGTCTGCGGGGGTTAGTTACTCGGCACTGAATGGCTGCTCCATATTCTGTAAGGCAGGGACTGAGTTCAGACCGCATAATAACGCACTCTTGGGTGTTGTTGAAACGTGTTGTTGTGCGTCCTGAACCCAGCTGAGATAACAAACTATGGTGAGCAACCCACAGTTCACAACACAACAGCAAATCATGGGTTCTCCTCAAGGGTTGTTCATAATTAATGTGTTCATGGCTTGTGAATTCAGCTGGACTCAGAAAACATCGCCCACACTGCAGCAGGCAGGCCTGAGTCAGCATCCCCTGTGAGTGATTGTGATGGAGCAACTTTCTAAATTTACTGGATATCTTTCCAGAGTTCTTTGCTCTGTCTCGGTAGCAGCAGCTCTGCTGTAGTGTCTTTCTCAGCTTTGGTCAAGCAGCCAGTAGCTCAGACTTGTTCCTTGCAAACCTCCCTCTCACCCCAAAAGATGCTTCCTCTCACAAAATGGCACACTGGGCACTAGTCCCAGGCTCCTCACTCACAGAGTTCATCATAGCTACAGGCCTTGGCTTCTAAGGGCAACACTTTAGGTCCTATCAAAGGTGACTTCCTGCACATCTTCTCCTAGGTTCCTGTCTACTGTGCCAAAACTGGAGTGAAGCACCTGCATCATAAGGCCCAGGAATTTGACATTGGTGTTTATTTTGAAGCAAATGGACATGGCACAGTAAGTACTTACTTAACCAATTTATCGACCATCTTCAAGTGGATTCCAGGGTGGTGTACAACAGAGTAAATACGTTAGTGACCCAAATGGATAAATAAAGGGCTGAAGTCAGCCTTTGTCTCATTGCAAGGAGACTCACTGAGATCAGAGGGATTTAAGTACTTCATGCCTAGGCTTTCATCTAATTTATTTAATTTGATCCAGCAATATTTGGGCTTGTGATTTTCCTCTTCTCCTCTTTTATCTACTTCATTCCCAAACTCAAATCTTAAAGAGTAAAACAAAAGCAGCTCATTATGTTCCTAGCTTAACAAGTAAGAATATTTTACCTACTACAGTCACGTTTACTGATCTCTTCCCCTCATGTCTCTTGTATTTTTAGAATGGTGGCTCTGTGTATCGCAGGCGTGGATGGCATGTGGCCCTCCAGCCATTGTTGGGCTGCAGCTCCCATCAGTCCTGGCCAGTGAGCATAGCCAAGAGTGCGGAGTGATGGCAGTTTCAGCCTAACATCTGGGGAGGCTAAACATGACACACCCCTGATGTATCAAGTTGATCCCATGCCACAGTTCTTTGACATAGTTAAAATCCTAGGATGAGTTCCAGGCTCTAATTTGTTGTTGATTATGAGCCCTGAATACCAAGCCCAGGGAAAGTCTAGAGCAGGGATCCTCAAACTTTTTGCACAGGGGGCCAGTTGAAAGGTGCTGGTGGTGGGCACGGGCCGGCAAGGCGGTGTCAGCAGCGTGTGCGGTGAGGTGGGGGCGGGCGAGGTGGGGGCACGTGGTGAGGCAGCGGCTTGCTCACTCGGAGGTCATTTTCTCCGAGTGAGCCTAAAATGATCTCTGCGCAAGCAAGTTGCTGCCTCCCACCCACAGGGGGCATGCAGAGCCCTCTCAGTCGGCACGTGAGCCAAGTCGCCCCAGCATCGCCCCAGCAGCCGAGCATCGGATAAGAGCACACATAGGGGCCATGCGCATGCTCAGAAAGGAGTAGTGGCGCCAGGCAATGACGTTATGAGCCGCATGACCAGTCAGTGCGCTGCCAAGTGTGTGTATTTGCTTGGACTGGCTGTGAGTTGTTTTTTCTAAACTAAAACCCCAGTTTCCAGGTTTTATTACAGTGTTGGCACTTTGCAGTAAATAAGTGGCTTTTGGGTTGCAGTTTGGGCACTCGGTCTCTAAAAGGTTCTCCATCATTGGTCTAGAAGAAGGTCAGGGCTGCTCCAGGCTCTGTTCTGAGCTTCCCAGACATTGCAGGCTCCAGCTTGGGGGAAGGGCATTGGACTGCATGGAGCTTTGCTCCAATCCTTGCAACTTTTTTTGTTTAAGGCAGTCCCCCCCCCCCCCCCCGTTTTTTGGGTCCTCCAGTTTTTTGGGAGACACTCCCACCATTAGTGTTCAAAGGTGCTGGAAGCTGTTGCTCAAAACAGGTGGGAGAAGCTGGTTTTGGGACAGAATGCTTTGTCTTTCAGGGGGCACGACTAAAGCTTAGCACCCTGGGTTGGAGCCCAGCTTCCTCTTATGTAAAGCAAACCCATTGAAATCAGTGTTGTTTAAGTTAGCCACGAACAGCTCGACTTTCATAGATTTGAATGGATCAAGTATGACTAGGTCCTAATCCAGCCAGTTCCCTTGACTCCCTGCCCCTGTGTTGCAGTGAAAATTGGATGTGTCTCAGTTGTTGTGTCTTTTGGGGAGGAAAGGTTGGACGGGCAGCCTTGCTTTCCAAACCACAGTGATGCAGTCGGAAGAAACATATTCCATACATGAAGCACCTTCTTTTTGGGGAACCACAAGATGAAAGAGATGGTGGCCATGTTTTGTCCCTTCTGATTACTGAGCATGTTTTTCTTTCCAGGTACTGTTTAGTAAAGCTGCAGAAAAGAAGATTAGATGCCAGGCTAAAGAGGAAAAAGACATTGAAAAAAGAGAAGCTGCAAAGATGCTTGAAAACACAATTGACTTAATAAATCAGGTAGACATGTTGACGCAGAACTAAACTTTGCATGTAAAGGTGTTCAAAGTTGTTACAAAGCATCTCCTATGTGAGTGTAGTACATAGAGGCAGAGTCAGCCATGACTATCTGCTGCCATTGATTTCAGTGGGCCTACCCTAATATCTGGATTCATGCAAATTATGCTTTCAAAGTTAATGATATCGCATCAGGTAGTAAGTGTAATCCTAGTTATGATTTTGTGATGGGAAAAGGATGCTCTGCATCTGTCACTGGATGTGCTGTCCACCTGGACCCTCTAGACTTCGTTGGGATTATTATTAATATTATTTGCCCTGCCAATCTCCTTGCCATCATGCTGTAGGAGGGGAGATTGCGAAAGCATGTAAACCACAAGAGTCACTGTAGCTCATTCTCCATAGTGTAAGCCATGGTTTATTGTGCCATCAGAAAAAGACTTTGCATGTAACAGCAGACCGTGGTTTAATTAATCATGATTTGTTAGATTGTATGTTGTTCCATGCAAACCTAGCATTGTAGGTTAGAATTGGTTCTTTAGCATGAAGAACCCATGAAGAGAACCCATAGTTTATTGTTGGGTTGTGAACTGGATTACTTAAACCTTGTGTTGTTAATTCCATCTTAACATTAGAATTAATGTTAGAATTAACATCAGAACCAAGACTCATGGGCTATACATAGTTTTTTCAACAGGGCGCAGAGGCAGTGGGCAAGAGCCCACACGCAAGCCTCTTGACATGCCACCACTGCACTGCCCCAAAGGCAGTTGTGAAGGAGGAGGAAAGCTGCCCTGAAACAGGAAAGCATGGTTTGTTTAATCAACCGCCAGATAAATGCTGTGTACAGCAACAAGCCATGGCTTCAGTAAACTATGAGTTAATATTCCATGTGAACCATGCCAAATGGTCATCGATTCCTTTTAGACTTCCTGCAGAATTGCTTGTTTCTGCAGAAGAAATTGCAGAAGAAATGGTGGCCCTGCACATGGACTCAACCCTTTAACGGACAGTTTTAAAGCTCACTGAATGTGAGAATCTGGTTTATGTAATTGGTATTGAAGCTGCCTCTACAGAGTGGTTTTCTTTATTCTCATTTTCATATATACTAGACTATTGGTGATGCTATCTCGGATATGCTTGTGATAGAAGTGATCTTGGCTCTGAAGAACTTCACAATATCGCAGTGGGATGCCATGTACACAGATCTTCCTAACCGGCAACTCAAAGTGAAGGTTAGTGGGAAAGCAAAACCGAACAGAAATAGCGGCGGCGGCAATGAATCATTGCAGGGTAGCTTGCCCCCTACCTTGCCTGCAAGTGCCAAGTCCAGTGTTGTGGCACACCCAAGGGGGCTTTTCTTACTTGCAGGTTCTCCATCTTCCTGGTTAGCCGGACAGCAGTTGTGATGCTGGGCACGTTGTCACATTCTTGCTAGATGGCCAGAAACTGTGGATTTCAGGCAGCCCAACTTTGGTACTTTCTGAATGCACAGCCAGCTTCAGGTGTTTGGCTCTTGCTGGCTGGTCTGCTAGCATTGCTTGCAAGTTGTTGGAGATAATCTGGAGTCAATCACTGCAGAAAGCTGTACCTTCTTGAAAAGGGCCTTCTATTACTTCACTGCCTAGGATGTCCCTACTGGAGATGGGTTATAACTTGGGTGGTGCATACATGGGTAATTAGATCAAGCTATCATTCATACTTTTAATTGTGCTCTGTAATTATAACCCATCAGCTTTTAGTTCGTCCCTGCTTTGGAACAAGACAGTGTATTCAAGACAGTTCCCCCAAACTTTACACATGCAGAATCTGTAACCTTGGGGCAGATTATCATCCAATTCTGTCTCATCTTCCCAACATATAGTTGGGAAGATGAGACAGCAAAACCACACCTTCTGCTAAGATCACGTGAATCTGCTATTGCTGTAGTTTTACAAAATGCATCAGTCCGATTAGAGTTACAGTGGGCCAGATTGTATCACTTGCTTTGACTTGGGACTGGTAGGTTGCTGACAGACGAGTTATTGACACTACGGATGCTGAAAGAAAGGCAGTGACACCCCTTGGGCTGCAGGAGGAAATTGACAACCTCGTAAAGAAGTTTAAATCAGCTCGGAGTTTTGTTCGTCCATCTGGAACAGAAGATGTCGTCAGAGTCTATGCTGAAGCAGACACCCAGGTAAGAGCCAAAGTAACTGAGGTTTAATGCAATATGGTTGAGATAGATTTTGCATGCATACCCTGGATCCCTTTTCTTTCAATTTCAAGGTGGTTTTTATAACCTTGCAACCCTTATTGTTCAAATTACATAGACATGGTTCAGCACTAGATGGTTCACAGATTCAGTTCAACTTCCATTCTGTCCCAACCTACCTGTTACCAACTTACTTTCGTCTTAGGTTTGTTCTTTGAGGGAGCGGGACAAGGAGATAATTCTGTTGTTTCTGCACTCCCTCTTGCTTCATCTTTCAACTCTCTGAGTGATTTTGAGCTTAGATACAGGAATGGGGTATAAAAGGGCCTGTAAAAGATATCTGTATACTTTTCTGCCTCTTTTTCCTGCTTTAAGCACAGATTGAAAAAAGCAAGAGGGAGCAGGGAGAGGCGGGCAGGTGGAAGAGATCTTATGCCCTTTTGCCTGCCAAGTGGCAAAACATGGCTCAGGGAAGAAAATGGTGAGGCAGAAGAGAGTGTTTATTAGAAATCTCTGCTCATGATTCAATATCCCCCTCTGATGTTGTGCCCTGAGCATTCCTTTAACAATGTGCTGCTTAAATGCAAAAAGCAGGGACTGGGGAGCTGATCATTGCCAGGCTTGTGGCGGGTGGGAGGAGGGAGTTTAGTCTTCTGACTCTGCTGCTATCCTGAAAGATGCCCACTTATTTCAGTTTTTTCCTCTTCTCACCTCCAGGAGAACACAGATAAACTTGCACACGAAGTCAGCCTGGTTGTCTACCACTTAGCAGGGGGAGTTGGAGAACCACCCAAGCCTGTTGCTTCATGAAGCACCATTGTTCAAACTGGACATAGCTCCTCTCCATTTCTTTTTGCTATTTCTTCATCTTTGCCAAATCAAATTTTACTAGCTGAAACTCATCAGTTTTTCATCAAAGCTGCTTTAGAAGTGGATTGCCACTGTCTCTTAAGTTGCACTAAAAGTCAGTACTGAAGTCTTAACTCTGAATAATTTTCAGATACACACTGATGATTAAATTGTGACAAGCACACTTTTTGGCAACAGCAGTGGCTTCTATTTGAAAAAACTTTTTACTGCTTGTTCCTTGGAAGTGCTCATCGGACCATTGCTGTTTCCTGATCTTGGGAAAACAGGGATGTTCCTGTTCTTCTTATGTTTGGATTGTGTCCTCAGTTCTTTCTTTGGCACATAAACACCTGAGCTACCATCCACAGAAGGAGCTGGGCTTGCTTCATTTGGTCAAGGACCACTTTTATGCTGAGCAAGCAGTAGGGAGCTGCATGTTCAGAAGGTTTGGCCAGGACCAAGTTTAGGTAATCTTCACTGCAGCTTCTTTTTTTACTTGCTTAATTTCTGCTGAATTTCACTTTTAATGTTATAGCATTTTTGTTTCCAACGGATTCATCTTTTATTCATTTATTTCTATTGTATTTTAATATTCCACTCTCCAAAATAGCTCCTAGTTGCCCATTTGCAGTAGTGTCATGATGTATCTTTGATCAGATTGGTAGGATTTCCAACATGTTTATATTCAGAAAAGGAATCGGAATCTTCTTAAGGAAGCTTAAGAATCTTATGAACTTAAGAGGGCGTCTTGTCTCTTTGTGGCAGCAGCAGGCAATTTTATGGCTGTCAAAGAGGGTACAGGCAACCCCGTGCCACAGGAGGCTAACCTAGCGTTCCTCTGTGCCAAATAGCCTCGTGAGAGAGCACACACTGACCTATTTCTCAGAGAGGGGGCACTTGGAGATTCCAGCAATACAGGTGGTGAGGTGGGCCATTTTGCTTCAGATTCATGAGGATTCCTTGAAGGATGGCCAGCTGCATCTCCTACTGCATTGCTAGTGCTGAAGAGCCATTTGCTGGACTCTTTTTGATAAACTTGAGGCCCACTCATCACTGCCATCTGACAGTAGGTCAAGATGATGGCTTCTTTTTATGGGGCCACATACTACCTGAAAACACACCATGACTGTGCCCATCGCTCTTTCTTTCATAAAAACACCTCTGCCCTGAATTGAATGGGTGCGATTGCTCAGAGGTTCCTCTGCCCTTCCTCCCCCATAGCAGTCTGAGGGAGAACAGGGAATGTATTGTATCTGCTATGTGACTTTTCACTGTATCCAGATGTGCATCAGAGCAGGACATAAACTTATCACCCCTGTTATTGGCTGAATGTGTAGGGGGGGAGTGAGGAAAAAACAGAGCCCTTAAAACTGCTTGTGTGTAGCTTTGCTTGAAAGCCACTAAGTGCCATGATTCATATGCCTTGCTTCTAATGATCAAACCAGCACTAATATTATAATAAATCTCAATATTTCTTACATGATTTCATCATTTTCTAAGCAAAAATCATGGAGTTTTGGGGTTATAAGCATAAATGCAAAGGTGTTTGCTACATGCTATGAGTTACACACAGGTGTAGCATTCAGAATCTTGGCACCTGCCCAAAAGTGAGGAGCCCCAGTTGCCATGGCAGGAAAGAAAATGTCTGGCGCCTTGACTCTGAGAGCAATGCTGATTGAATCTAAGCAGAAGGCCCTAGAAGTGACGAAGGACGCTTGCATTACTTAATTTTTTCCATACTGCTAGCCCACCCCATGACTGGAAAAGCATTCCCCTTTAAAATGAGGCATAGGCACCCAGACAGAAAAACCAAGCACAGCTAGCAAAAATGTGCAACTTGTATTGTAGATTTTCTCAGACAGATCTCAAGATGACAAAAACAAAAAGTACCATAAATATTAGGCACCATAATCAATATGAGCCAGTGATATTTCAACTTGATTCAGGCCACATCAAGAACTTATTTACAGGTATTTAAATTAAATACATCCTGAAGTATACATTACATACAAAGTATGAAAAAGGAAACTATACACTCTGGAAGGATGGAGTGATTTCATTAGAAGTTAAAGTTACATAAACGTTTTGCCATTCATACCTCATGTCTTAATGACCCCTTCCAGAAAGTCCTTCTCTACCATCTCCTCAATCTTCTGCCTTGCTTTGCTGGCAAATGTCTTTTGGTTTTCCATTTTGATGTCCTTGTTGGGGAAAGAAGTCGGGTAAAGCATGGGGCTCCCTGAATGGCCGATGCTCCTGCTTGTGACTTTGCTGTTAAAGACTTGGCTCAGGACATTGAAGAATGGCAGAAGCTGCTCCATGCTGCGGATGGCGCAGATGGTCAGGAGCAAGTGACCAGGTTCCCAGTTCAGTATCTTCCCTGAGCTATCTTCCTCTGGGTTTTTCTGCAAGTACAAAGACAAGTAGCAAGATCCAGCTACCGTACCGTATTTTGCCGGGAGATCTGAATCAAGAGATACGGCTTCACATGCTTTGTCTGGTCAAAAAAACTCACCCCATTTCTGGTAGCTCCTAGTATGCAAGAAGCACAAGGCAGCTTGGAACTAATTTGTATCTTTCAACATAAACAGTGTTTTTATCTGCAGTCGTGAATGTACTTGCTCAGTTCTTACGCTGTATTATATTTAATGTACCTCAGTTCAAGCGCCTGAAACTATTCCAAGAGAGATTGCAGAAGTTGTTTCAAGTAAATTCCATTGCTTCGTTTATCTAGAGCAGGCGAGGGAGCCTTTGACCCACAGTGCTTCTGTATTCCAGCACATTAGAGTTCTCCCCAAGCTCTTGTCTCTGATCAGCTACTGATCAGACACAACCAGTTTACTGCCACAGTGAGTAGGGCCAGTGGATAAAACTGCCAATCATTCAATCTGAGTTCTGCTTTTTTCTAAGTAGAGTTGGGTTTGGTATTTGGGATACAGTTTGAAAGTGCTGCTAAAGTATTCATTCCTGCTTATTTTGTGAAGGTTTTAAGGTTTCTGTTAGAATCACTTATTGGGCCTGTCTACCAATGGAATTCATCCTTTGAAACCATTTTTGAATTGGAACCCAGCTTTTAGATTGTACAATAAGTGAGCCCAATTTTTTTTCCAAAGTATCATAAAGTATCAAGGGTGGACAAAAATAAAAGCTCCTCAAAGCAGTGATATAAAAGTGAACAGATGAACTAAAAATACAACCCTGGTTCCCGATGATTACTCCTCCCAATCTGCCAAGTTGCAGCTTTTATAGCTTTGGTAGAACCTTACCTTAAACACACTGACTGAAAAGAGAAATATGCATATATGTAGGTGCCTGAATGTATTTTCAAGGGCGGAAAAATCTGAGGCTTTAGAACTTTGTCCTTTTGCCAAGACATGGCTAATTGTAATGAAGGTTAACCTCACACTGAATGTCACAGCTACAAGAAAAACAAACATATACGCACACACACATCCCTTTTTCCTGGTGGATTAGGGTCTGAAAGTATGATTGATGAAAATTACACTTCACCTAAGCTGGTTTTCTTTAAAATTTGCAGGTTAGTAATCACACAACTAAGTTATAACAACTGAAAAGAGACAAAAAGGTAAAATACCTTTGCTCTTTTTCGAAGCAATTTTGCTAGTCGTACCACATATGGTTTGAATTCCCTTTGGTGTGTGCCTTGTCTTCGCACCTCCAACCCTGAATCATCTGAAGCTTCAGGAATAAAGGCCCACCGATACCTGTTAAAGAAAAATGGAGTAAAGTCACCATGGAAATGCCTCTTGCCTGTCTAAGCAAGATAGTTTTAGTTAGAATATTAGTTCCTGCTCTTCTGAAAATATTTTTATCCAAATACACAATAGCCAACCAGTTGCTTACAGGAAGCAGAAATACTTTCCTGCTCATAATCCCTGGGGACTGGTCCATAGAGGCATCCTGCCTCATGCTGAAGGTACCATACAGCCATGAGGATTAGTTGCCATTGACCGCCTTAAAAGTTTTTCTAATTTCTAATTAGCTTTCTAAGTTCTCTAATTTCAGTTTATCCAGGTGGAAATCCGTAACAAAACCTTCTTGTAGTGAATTTCAAAGCACCACATGAAGAATGCTTTCCTTTTATCCATCCTAATGTGAAGCCATGAGAAACCTCTTCACAAATTTGTGCCCGCACCAGAGGGGCTTTTCTCCCGGCTTACTATTACAGCAACACAAACACCAAGAGGCCACAAAAAGCGGCCCTTGTTATAGATACAGTCAACTCTATCCAACGCACACCTGGATTTTTGCTTAGAACAATTTACTTACATTTGAAACTGGGGAAGATTCTCAGAGGGCAAAGCCAAGGCTAAATCCAGAAATTTGCAAGCTGATAAATAAAGGTTGAGCCACCTCTGGCTGTTGTAGGAGGTGGAGAAGCCGTTGCCTCCTGTGTATGTAGTCTCTAGACCGGCAACTGATGGGCCTGAAGTCCTGCAATTCAAATGCAATGGCTCTACAGGATATTCTTCATTAGTTATACCTGCTCTTCACAAATCAATTCTGGCAACTTAGAGAGGCTTATGCTATAGAGAAACTATTCTATATTACCTTTCAGGGTGCTACATGAATAATTATATTAAGGAGATTTTAGAGTATATATTGTATCTGCCATTTAAAAGCAATGTAGCCTGAACAGCAGTAGCAACATTCTATGACCCTTTTTGGCACACCACACAAAATGGCATTTCAACACATCCCTGAACTGTCAGGTGTGTTTAGCAGATGGACATGGCTGTCAGGCAGGGCCAGCACTCGGAGACCCCCAGGAGGGCCACATCCCAACAGGCAGTCCGGTGGCCTCCTTGCCTTGCTGCCACTTTGCACGCACTCTGAGCAATGGAGCAGGAAGTGACCCAAGGAAAAGAAGCACCACCTTCCCCTCTCGGTGGTGTCAGCGGGGCCCAGATGGAGGAGGGAGTGAATGAGCAGCAGCAGCAACCAGAGCAAGGAGGCAGGCACAGCTCCAGCCCTCCCTTACGAAACGTTTACTGGCAAGAGAAGTGGCACACAGATGCATTTCTGACTCACATGAATGCTTTAAAGAAAGCACCTATGCAGTCTTGCAGATGATATATTAAAATGGCATAAAGATGCCTTTGCCTATGATTTGGTGGTGGTGGGGAGTGGAGGGCAGTCAAAACAGGCTGATCAGCAATAGCAAGCCATTGACCAAATATTTTATAACTGCTGCACCGTAAAGTAGTTTTCTCAGGACAAAATTAGGTAACACCCAAAAACAAACAGAAAGCTGTGCAATGCCTTCCCAGTGTTTTGGAACAGCAGTGATGGTGCACCCCCTACCCGTTCCTTCTGTAGCTATCAGCAATCATCACAGTAAGTACATATGTTTACTAATGATTTAGTGTGTTATTTTTACCATGCAAAGTTTTGCCTGAGCAACTCGATGTTTGTAAAATGATGGAATAGAACATATGGCATGATATGAGATGAATAGTTTGTTTATTGGTGTTTGTTATTAGCACAAAGTATGTTTCTTTTTTTATAGATGGACTGAAAAGATTTCTTCTAAATGAGTAGCATAGAATAATGTTCACCTAAAATAAATCAGAATACCAACCACTGGTATTTCATCTACTATGCAAACAGGTAGATGAACAAAAAGCAACTGACTTTACCTTGAGATATCTTCATCCGCTGTGAGTTCTTGTTCCATAAGTAAAAATACTTGGACCTGAAGGTCAAAATGCCACATTATAAAAACATTCTTCATAAACTGGCATAAAGGATCCTGTTGTTTTGTTCAAAATGGCAGAGGGAACAAAGCTTCACCCACGAGGAAACAAAATAGAAGTCAACTTTCAGATCAACTACCAGCTGTCAAAGCCCCATCCTACTCCCAGAGCACCATGAAAAAGGCTTCTGTGGACGTCACTCCATGCAGCAGCAGCAGCTCATACATGAATCATGAATGATTATGAGGTGGGGGGCAAAGACTTGGGTCTTCACTTACTGGCTGATGACTGGGGGGGAAAGGTTCATGCAAGCAACCCCAGACATGTAATTGCAGCTGTACGCATGTGACACAGAATGCAGGTGGGTAGTTTATCCCACCTTATAAACTATGTATTTATTTCTTGCAGAAACTTTAGTTGTTGTGCAGGTGGGTTGAACTGGCCTGTATATAATGTTTAGACTGCTCAAACACTTTGTACAGCTTAACATTCCTACCATTCTTGTAAACAAAAACAAAACAAAAAAAATCCCTCTGCTTACATTTATTAAGCCACCTATAACCAAAACTAACAATGGACATGGTTGCGTGTTCATTAAATTAATCTCCTGGCTTCTTTCTAAGTGTGATACTTTGTTCTTTTAAGGATTTGTAATGACTCTGAAGGAAGGGGCAGGATATATAGGAACACCATCTATCCGTCTGAACTAAAAGTTCTTCCAGAGCAACACTAGACTGCATCCAAGCAAACTCTTAAAAAAAAAAAAAAAGCCTGCCCTAAGACTTTTAGGATCACAAGTAAACTGCAGCAAAGGAAAGAAGGAGATCATACAAGGCTGTAAAATTTGCACTCGGAGGAAAGTTAGGCTGGGAGCAACAGTACTCACAACAGAAAACGTAACCCTGCATTGAATCCACCACATGGGAATGTGTGTTGGGAACCCTGAACCATGCTGTGCAGTACAGTCCACATTTGACCTAACTGCAGCTAACATCTCTGATGAAACAGTTTGTACAAATATTAGGACATGGTTAGCTCTTCTAAGAAAAGTTACGATGCACCACAAAATCCTGATTCCCAACAGGAACTCACCAGTTCTGTGATCATGGTGGGCCAAAGTGAGGTAAGGTGCTGTGGAGACATTCTCAGAAGCAAAACTCGAAAAAACAGGAACACTTGCGAGTGAAGGGTGGGCACTTGGGGCAGACGGAGGCTTTCCACCAGCCGTTCTGAAATGGTGGAAAGAGAAGAATCCATCAGCTCAGAAGTTTCTACTGATTAGGAAGGGCACATTCTAAGAAGAAGGTGACGGCAGAGGATGAGGTGGCTGGATGGAGTCACTGAAGCATTTAGTGTGAGCTTAAGTGGACTCAGGGGGATGGGTGGAGGACAGGAAGGCCTGGAGGAATGTTGTCCATGGGGTCACGATGGGTCGGATACTTCATGACTAACAACATTCTGGACGAAGAAATGTTTCACTGATTAATCATGTGGGGGCTGAATGATTGATTCAATTTCCTTTGTGCATATATGTACAGACACACACATACAAATCCCACATGTGGCACACATAATGGGGAGGGTTTCAGGAACACAGGCTTCATTGCACACTTATCATAATGGATCCACTGAACCCAAGAGGAATGCACTGACTGAAATCTCATGGGTATCAGTGGGTCTGATCTAAGTATGTTTCAAGTGTACTACCAGATACAGAACAACAAAGTCAACAGTACACATTAATAAAACATTGTGTCTACTTTGTTGTGCTGGGTAACTGTTGAACATGAGGAGCTGGAGTAGCCCATAATTTCCAAGCACTAAGAGATCATTATAGGACACACATGATTTTGCCCAGCCCTGCATAAACAATGTCCTTGACCTCTCCTTCCCTCCTGGCAGGTTCTCCAGTCAGATCTGGAGCATGTGGGAGAGGATGCAGGGGAGAGAGTGTCCATTCAACTGGTGGAGAGTCAGATACAGCATAACTGTCCCTGAAGAAATGGATGGCTTTATTTACCTTGAATATCCGGAAGGTATTTCTGGTATTGGTCCACTTCACTGCTAAAAATGGCAAAGGCCAGCCTCTTCAGGAGCATAGCCCGCTGTTCAAGCTCAACATCCCGGTTAGCAAACAGATTGAGTGAACTGCTCTGAGCTACAGCCACGCGAGCTGGAAAAGGAACAAGGCAATGGTGAAGAGGCTTTTACTGAAGACGAACCTCTTGACTGAAAGATCATTTAATGTTATCAAAGTCACTAGTCAGAATGGCCTTCTGCACTTTATGCACATATGCTAGATAAAGGTTCCACTCCAAGGATACTACTGAAGACACACATATGTAAGAGGGTATTTAAGATTTGTGTGTGTGACTCAGTTATCTTGTAGCATAAATATGGCACCACAAGTATTTCAGCAACCTGCAGTTTTGCTCGGTAATACTCCATCTGTATTTTTATGATTGCACTGAGAGTGGCCCAGAGAGCCTCTGGCTATGGGGCGGCATACAAATGCAATAAATAAATAATACTCTAGGTCAAGCATTTGTTTTGAAAAAACATCTTTGGTTTAGTGATTTTCAACAACTTTTAAACGGGAATCATAAAATCTTTCTATATTATACTCTTTTGTAAATTACAGGGAAACTAAATTGTGTACAGCAGCAAAAAAAAAAAAAAAAGGCAATTGTTGAAGCAATGATGGTGAGAATCCAAACTTCAGTTGCATTAAAAGGAATAAAAAGGAATAAAAATCAAGTTAGAGGAGACATAATCCGCAGAAGGGTGTTCCTACATCTTTGCTACCTGTCATCATACAGCTCCTGTTTAACTGAAGTCCTGGACCAAGCAGTGGGCTGAAAATGTCATCTTATAGGTCCCTTCCACCTCTACAATTCTTGGAGGCGTAAGCCTTGACGATACCACTAGTTAGCAAGGTGGGGAGGCAAAGGAGAGCACCACCATGGATGTGAAAAGATGTGGTAAGAGGGATTAGATGCAAGAGGAACCTCTGTAGGAAATGGGCACTGGGGCAAGTAGACAAAAGGGTATACCAGGAGGAGGAGGCCCGTTGCAGAAGGATTCTCAGCAAGGCTAAAGCTGATACGAGCTAAGATTTGCAAAGCAACAAAAAGGGCTTCTATCAACATGTAGGCAGCATTAGACTCTGGTGTGCCCACAACTGGAGTATTGTGTTCAGTTCTGGGCTCCACATTACAGGAAGGATATAGCCAGGTTGGAGTCAGTGCAGCGCAGGGCCACAAGGATGGTGGTTGGATTGCAGGGAAAACCATATTGTGTGAGACTGAGGGAGCTGGGTCTTTTCAGCCTGGAGGGATTTGTTGGCGACATACTGGCATGTGACGGGGTGTCACATGGAGGTGGGTAGAGACCTGATCTCCCCTGCAGAGGAGGGCAGAACGCATTACAATAGAGCAAAGGGAACCAAGGTTCAATTTGGATGCCTGACTGTTAGGACCCCACAGGTATGGAATGGGCTTCCACGGGAGGTGGTTGAAGCCCCATTGGTGAGGGTGTTCAAGGATGCACTGGACATGCTCATGGTAGGCATGCCATGAGCAGAGCTGGCTGGTGCCGGGGTCAGACTAGCTGGCCCGGGAGGTCCCTTCTGACTTGTTCTGTTTCTATGATTCCTTCTGGCACAGCTGAGGTGCAGGATCAACCATGATTGATTAATTAGCCAACATTATTAGCAATTTCCAAACTTGTAAACATGTGTGGATTTTAAAGCAAGGACTCACTCATCAAGTCTCTAAATGTGGTTTTGTCGTGTGTCATCAAATTATCCATAATTGCTCTCCAACTAAAAAAGAAGGAAACAGATATTGTGATTTTTTTTAAAACGCAGTATTCTACTTTTGTTTAAATAAAAGAACAGCAGGAGATGCTCCATTCAAAATCCTGCAACATACTGGCATGATTGTGATTGTCTTAGAATCCAACGTGCAGATTCTGCAGCAGTCTAGCTTTTCCTGAATTGCACTGATTCTGTGGACTTGCAGTCTGTTTTTATTTTTTTCTGTAATGTATGCAGATTTAATATTAAGGAAGTATTACAATAAAAATATCCAACAACAACCAAAATATACATTTCCCAATCGACTAATGTGTGAAAACATGCATTCTGGAGTAAATTGTGTACCTTGGGGGATCTGTGCATTTTTGGGAGTGCAAATTTGTGCATGTGATATGAAATTTGTGCCAAATCCGATTCTATCAATGAGCCAGGTAAAGGAATGAGAGCTGCCTAACAATTTGTATAATGCAAATGGAACGGAGTTTTCATCGCTAATAGCAGCCTTCCCCAACTTGTGGCCTTACAGATGTGTTAGGTTACAACTTCCACGGTGGAGGGGTGATGGGAGTTGTAGTCCAACACATCTGGAAAGCACTGGGCTGTAGCTGAGTGGGGGTGGGGCATCTCAGAAGGCCCCAAGGTCAGTTGAAGGAGGGCTGGGAAAAGAGGCTTGTCTGAGGGCCACGCAAGCCCCTGCCAGCCAGTGGAGACAATTTTGAGGCAGATGGACACTAAGTCTATAGGACAGTTTCTGACAAAGCTGCAGCCTGAAGGGGACCTGTGCAAGAGTGGGGCTTTGAGTTATTTGCAGAATGGAGACTTCTGCTTATTTCCGTCACTGAGAAGCCTTTCATTTATTTGCCAGGCAACAGTATTTCAAAAAGCAACAGAAAGCCTTACTGATTAACACAAGAAGCATCCATTTGAAAGAAACTGGGATCCATGAAGAGGTCAAAAGCTTCCTTCTTCCACGCTCTCCTTGTATACTGATAACCGCTCAGACTGCTCAACAGCTGGACACAGGCTCGGTAACTGGGGGCATTGTGGGCACTGGGAGAAGGAAAATTCACCAAGTTTGAGATGACTGAAAACACTGCGCTTTAACATTCATATGACAAACAGTCCAGAATGCTTTAAAAGCATTCAAAATGATTGTAACTGCTATTGGTGTGCGAATCTGTGTCCGCTCTTGCCTGCTGCATCCATCTAAAACCCACTGCTGAAGATTGGGGAACCCTGCAGAGTTGAATTTGGCAGAGTGACAGCATGAACCCCAGTGTGGGGGACGTGAACTGCAGCACACCCCATCCTCTGTGCAGTCTCTGTCACATTGTGTTCCCTTCCAATGCACCTTTTAAAAACAGAAATAAGGCTGGAAGCATTGAGTTTGCTGCCAAAATTCTGTAGCAAACCACTATGAAGAATTGCAAAGGACAGATTTAGCTTGGAAACACGCCACTGTAGCAGCAACAAATTTAGGGCTCCCCCCCCCCACTAAGGGCAGGAGTGTGGCCTGAAGCAGGGCCACAGAAGGGGACAATATCCTTAAGCTGCCCATATTTGGACACCCTGAAATGAAAGAAGTACAGTCCCTGTATTAAAGGAAGCACTGAGATTTGTGTCTTGTTCATTCAAACAGCTCTGTGACGGGACAGCTTGGTCTTTCTGCCACAATAACTAATCTAGGTAAAAGTTAGAGAATCCATGATGAACTACACTTCAGCACAAGGAAATGTTATTGTAATAAACAGTGTAAATCTGTGTGGTTCAAACGACGTTTACTTCATGTTACTAGCTAAGTCAGCAGAGCCAGCCAGCCACTTATAGAATTCCTGCCATGGGCAAATGTTACAAAACATGCACTTTGTTAATATACAAATGGGTTACTTGGATGGTAATGCTTCCAGAAGCAATTGGTCGAGTTATTATGATATCAGGGAACTTCCTAAGTGTGGAAGAGACAGAGCTATTCTTTAAAACAAACACTCGTGTAATAGATGTTTTACGCTTGTAGTATGGTGAGATGCAAAATGTCTCAGAAAAGGACTGATTTTAATCAGCAGTGCTGTGCATGAATACAAAGACTGTACTTCTCTTTGTACTTGGAACATTACATGGATGTATGGATTCATTTTGACTAGCATAAGAAATTGGCAGTAAAAACAGCAGGAGCAACTCCAGAAAAACTAATTTGCGGAGCAAAGGGCTGGCAAAACTAGTGGGAGAAGGAGTTAATCCATGCTGCACAGGACCTTAATGTACTGTGACTGAATGCTGGAGTCACAGATGGGATACTGGGGAGAATTTGGAAGAGTGCCCACTAGCTCTTGGGACACCTCAGGGTTATTCCTGAAAAACAGAACTGATGGTCATTGCTTTTGACAACACTGGCTTGTGAGTGTTTTTCTCGTGCTGTCCAAGACTGCACAGAGTGTACTGCAAGCAAATTCTAACAGTTGCATCACCCAAACCATGTTATACTTATGCCAAATCCCACGTGTAATTGCAAAGGTACCTGTGATTGCGAAGGTAAGGCACAACATAGTGCATTATATTTACAAGAAGTGGAATAACTCTCTCTTTTTCATCGCTGTAGAAAACCATGTCTAAAAGATGAGCCAAAACCTAAAAGACAAACAAAAAATTTGAAAATGTTAATGATTTCTCTTATAAATATACCCAGGAGTTCTGTTTAAGGTAGGGACAACGTGTAATTCTCCAGTTGTTGTTGGACAGCAACTCTGGTCAAGAAAGCCAATGGTGAGGGATGATGGAAGTTGTAGTCTAAAATCTGGAAGACCACATGTCCCCTGTTCCTGACTTAAAGGATCTGAAAATATGCATCTGTTAAATATCTTTAACTATTTTTCAAAGGATAACTGTCAGGTTTCCAACTATGTTCATTCTCAGAACAGCAGAATAAAACATTATTTGACAAGTTTTGTTTCTGAAAGACAATGATTGTTTCAAGGAATCCACAAGATTTAAATATATGATGGACAATACAAAAATTTTGACAGATGGCAATTTGTATACCTATTGCAGGAATTATCTTGGCACTAACCCAAATCAGCCACTAACATAAATCTTGGCCACAGGGAGCACACAAATTTGAAAACATTATCATCATATCTGTGGAGTAGAAACCATGTTCTTGTGTAAATGCTTTTGATAAAAATACTGGCTGTGTTTGGACAGGCTATGGTTGAGCAAGACATGCACAAGCCTAGCGTCCCTGCTGTCTTCTCCTCAGCTTTTGCTAAGTTGTTTGACCTGTAGTCCAGAGTGCGGTTAGTTTCAAACAAATCATTTTCACACTAGGGTTTCCAAGTATTGCATTTCTGAAACTAACAATAGTTTTAACCACAGTTCTAAATGGAGATGGCAAACAACAAATAGCCAAAGTGGAAGAAAAAAAAAATCTGAACTTCTCTTAATCACAGGGGGAGGCAAATTTATCAGTACGATTTCCCTTACAGACAAAGAATATATCTAAAAAATTTATCCAAAAACTTATGCATGGATATCAGCCACCTCAAGTTCTCTTCTCTATTCTTTCTGGAGATCTGTTTTGCGTCCATAATAAGGGTAAACATGAATAACTAATGTGCAAGTACAATCCTTTGTCTATCAGTACTAGGTCTGAATGCCAATAGTACTCAAGATATCTTTCCTTAGCAAGGAACACTTCTAACTTGGAAAGTCCCATTTGCTACCAAAATGACCGCAGAATTGTACTAACATAATGGTGTTCAATTTTCCGCGTAGTCAACGACATTATATATTAAAACAATGAGCTGTGAATAAGGTCTATGGAAAAGGAAAAAAACTTACCTCTGAGAGCAGTGTTAAGGCATGAACACTATACACTGATGGAGTTATGCTTGAGGTTTCCAGAGCTGGAGATAACATATCTAAGAAAATTTTAAAAATGAAGAGGAAGATCTATTTGGAATATGCATATTGTGTGTGTCAATATCTGAAGCCATTCAATGAGATTTAATACTGACAGAAAAACAAACCAGTTTGCATTGGGATATACATCACTGGTGCCAAGTCTACCAACTTCATCTATGCATGTCAAAAATCGAATCACCTAAACTTTGACTAGAGAGGTGAAATGTTTTTGTATCAACTATGTATATTTTGCATTTCTGCAGAGCAATGAGAACATATGAAATAAATAATTCAGAAGTTGTGTAATGTTTTCACATACAATGGATGCTTATGGCTCAACTATATTAAGAGATTATTATATAACAAAATAATTTTGTTCTCAGAAAGAGATACCATTTATACCATGGGTGTCTGTGGGCAAAATTCCATTTCAGACAAATTGAACTAAAATTGGAAAACAGGGACACAGATTCCGCCCAGTGCCTGTGAAATAGCTGGGGCTGCATTCATGGATTCTTTCCTATCAAGTAACAGTTCTGCCAATTAGTTATTTGGCATCTAGGTGGAGGCACTTGGATTTTTTAAAGGCTCAGTCAGCATAACTTGAAGTGCTGAACGGGCAAGGGAATCACACAGAAGGACCCATCTGCCCACATGTGGAAGGGGTGGCCTTTAGTTGGATTTATTAGGAATTTTGTTCTAGTGTTACAATCAATCAATTCTGTAAACTGATCGGGTATTTTGGATATATAGGGGGAGAAACAAAATCACCTTCAACATCAGACTCCAAGTTGTTTCCATCAACCATTATCTTGGGAGAAGGCTTAACCTCTAAATTTCTTCTTAGCCATGTGGTCTGTTCCAAGGATGAGCCAGCAATTGCCCCAATGGCATCCACTATTTTATGAGTTACATCCTGACAGGGAAGAAAATGCCCACAAACAACAGAAAGCGTATCGTGCATAAGAAAAAGAAATTATCTATTTATATACATGAACAATATGTACAATTAATAAAGCCACGCCATTGTATAGAATGGCATAATGGTGGGACCGATAGCATTCACAGCTCTCCCTTCTAAATACAACAAAGCTATTATTGAAGAACATTAAGGCTTCAAATGGAACAATGATTTAAGGTGCCAGAAACTCTCTGAAGAAAATAAAATGCAAAATTATTCTGATGTGGTGAAAACTTAATTAATTCAGAATTAATGCAATGTGATTCTGATATAGTGATGGATTTGTTCCACAATTTAAAAAAAATTGCTAAGAAACGCTGAGTAGCTTTTTCATTGAAGACAACAATGACCTGGAAGCTTGAACTACAAGTGGCCACACAGAGCGGCTTGCGGATCAATGTCTCATGCATGCAATGCTGCAAAAGGGCATCCTAAACACATTTTCCTTCACATGCTTTCCCTGCAGGGGCTTTTTTTTTTTAAGTAAGACGCCTGGTGTCTATAGAATGGATTAAGATGCAGCACTGCTAGTGGAGAGAAATTAAGCTGCTGTTTATGCCTCTTCTGTCATTTTTTTTACCCAAGTACTTTGTGACTTCCCATTTTAGTCAGTTTCACCCAGACTGGCTGAAGTTCCCTCTTCTAATAAATTTCAACAGTACTCCAACCACCACTAGGTTTGTGACAAGTCACTACAGCATTGCGCATGAAAGTTCAGCTGGTGTGAGGAAACTCACTGTTTAAGGTGTTAAACAAACAAACAAGCAAGCAAGCAAGCAAGCAAACAGACAAGTCGGTAAGCTCTAGTTCTCACTGCAATGAGACACCTGTTGCTGGACTGCAACAATCTGGAATACCAATAAAGGTTCATCATGTGTTTCCCCAAGCAAAAAAATTGTCCACATTGAAAACTACACTTCAGGAGAAAGATAAGACCTGTAAATTTGATAGGTGCCTTTGTCTCAAGCAGCATTCAGTCATGAGCACATGAATTCCCCAAGTGCAGTCTGAGATGGTTCAGGCCGGACACACATCTACCACCTTGGGCAGAACTAGGTTTAAATGCTTCAGGATTATAACAGCGGCACACAGAAGCTGCGTGTGCATGCATCCTGAGGACTTCTTTTTAAAAGGGGGAAATATTTCTGGAATAAAAGAATATCACTGAGGTAGCTTTAGGAATGTTCCTTCAGGAACACACACAGTGAAGGGCATTCATGGTTGGTGGGATGAGCGGATGGAGAAAATGAAATTTCAGTTTGGAGGACTAGGAAAGCATTTTCCTACAAGATATATTCTTGCCATTATACTTTTTAAATCCCTTGAAAATGGAGACACTTGATCACTTTTAAAATGATTACACATTAGATTATAATGTGGATTTTTTTTCTTGAATCAGTGACATGTACTCCTGCAAGTGAGTTAATGGTGATACATACAATGCAGGAGTAGAGCGGAGGGGACATCGCTACAGCTAAGCAACACATTCATCAAGGCCACAGAATAAACAAGCCTGAAAATATGGAAAAATTAAGGGTCTAGTAATCTCACTGAAATTACTGAGATGGGAGGATATTGCTGAGACATAGTGATCCTTTCTGAAGAAGTCAATTCATTGTAATGAACACTGAATCAGGCTGGGATTGGATAGTATTAGAAAAATTAAATCACTGTTTCTGTTGTCCTTGGGAAGCAACCCAGGTAAAATCAAAGCAATAAAACAGGCTTACAAAAAAGACACAGTAGTGCTGAACAAAACATTGCAATCAGATTGACAATCAAATGTTTCTAACAGAGCACAGATGCACTCAGAAGTAATTGATAATATAAATTTCTTACCTGAAGATCTCTCTGGTCTTTCTTATTATCCAAATTTGGGTTTTTCATAATAAACTCATTTAAAACACTTTAAAAAAAGCAAACAAGCAATAAACTTTCATATAGAAGTTTGCATAAAATTGGAAAATTAACTATATGGAACTATCGGATGCAATTTATAAATCCAGTGAACAAACAATTTAAGACCAGAGGGCAGCAATAGATGGGATTCTAGGAAGCTCAAGGAAGAAAGTGCTCAATGCTTTCTATATAGAACTTGGAACAGAATCACTTCCTGTTTTGACTGCTGCTCTCATGTTCTATTAGAAAGTGCTCTCATGTGCCTTTTGATAAAGACAGTTGCCTCTAGAGAAAAATTACTACCCTAAAAAAAGTTTTGAAATGCTTCACATTCTTTAATAAAGATCAATCTGTACTATTTTCAACTGTTTCCCTTTCTGCCACTCTGAGCTCTTAAAGTGCAGGTTCAAATTCACCTCCTGGACTTTTGGTAGAGCTTGCCCTGAATGAGCACTATGGTGAAGCCAGGGCTTGCCTACTGACAGCTATGTAAAGGCTATGCTCTTGTTCCTCATAAAGCATTAGTATAGGCATCAAGAATTATTATAATTATTGACACCCATCCTGCCAGTCACTCACAGGAGAAACACCAGCCAGTGCTTCAACCAGGGACTGGATATAGCATTGCTGATAACATCTGGCCTGGAGAGCATGTGCCACACCTCCACTCAGGTATGGCTTGACATCCCTGTCCAAGGGACATTATCTCCAACATAGACTGTGGGCAGAAGACTGAAACCCTTGCCAAGTGTGAGTTTGCCTGAAGACATCAGATCGATATTTTTTTCCAGAATCAAAATGGATATTTCCTATTCATCATCAAAAGATAGGAATTTTCAAGAATTCAAAGATGCTTCCTATTTTCCAAAAGGTTAAAACCTGGCTCATGAAAACAAAATGGCTCACCCAAGTATTAGAAATTGCCCTGGAGCTGGAAGGCCAAGTTGTATGGAATCCTTCAGAAGAAGCAACAGGGAGGCCCAGCTGTCTACTATGTTGGACACGGGGATTCTGCAAGGAAAAAAGAGCAAGCTAAGTGTGCACAGAGGCTTGTCACATTTCTTCATAATGCAGTTTAGCTAACTTTGCAATAATGGGGCCATCCTCACAGAATAGTCTAGTGTTCTATAAATGTTATCATTATTTTATCTTGTAACCCACTTTGGGGTTGTTATTTTAAAATGAATAATGGTAGAGAAATCCCCTGAAATAAATATAGGACAATGGTGTAATCTAAAATCTTAGGTCATGGCCCGACCATTATTTAATCTTAGGTCATGGCCCGACCACTGTGAAAATATCTCTAGAAAAAAATGTATGCCCAACTGTCAGGGAGAAATCTTGTCAATTTCCAAACTTGAGAGTCTTATTTTTGAAGGCTCAAATGCAATTCCTTCTGTGCCACGAACACACAACTTTAATGCAAATGTTCTACACAAGTACCCTTTTAAAAATATTTTAAAGCACAAATTCAGATGGAAATAATGCCTAGAAGGGGAAAAAAGCTATGCTGATGGGAGCGTGTTCAGAATTGTAGGTCTTTTTTTCATTTAAACTTGCATAAGATTGTGCACTCACTGTCACATAAATCAGTTATAACCTTGCTGCCTTACCTCTGAATGTAAGCGAAGAAAAACTGCAACATGCAGACTTCCAGAGAAAGATGCTTCTAGAAAGTTTTTAAAAATATACATTGTGTTAAAAGAGAAAGGATGGTTTGCAGGGACCTATTCAGAAATCACAAGATTAATGCAAACCTTGGTGAAATGAAAAAATGCTTACTTGGCAGTATATTTTCAGGGAGTCCTATAACCTGGAGGCAAATGTTAAAGGAACTCTTAAAGATCTTTCCTTACTTTCTAACCCTTAAGTGAAGCCTGCAATACTGGTTATAGTAATCTACAAAGAGGGGAGCTATATTTAGAACTTAGCCTATCTTAAAAGGTATTATTCCTAAAATTTAGGAGAGACAGGCAATGGGAATTTATACCCACCAAGAGAAGAAACTTCAAAAATGCATAACACAAACACAGCCATATCAACATTTCAGTATCTTTTAAATTCAGCACTGTCATCTATTTCCATTCCAAAATACTCAAAATCAAATGAATACCTCCACAACTCCCTCTTTAGTGTCATCAAAACAAACACTGAATTCAAGTATCTATAAAGTGGCAGTAATCCAACACTTTTGACATAATATAGGTTTTTTAAAAACTAGAAGTTGTTATTAATAATTTCTAACACAGCATAATAATTTTTGTGTCCCAAAAAAAAGTTTGAAGATTTTAAGCTTTGGTTTAACTCCCAATAGTGCTGCTGTCCCCATACCTTGTCCTTGGCTATTGCAGGGGGCTGCTTTAACACTTCTTTCACCGTCTGCATCACAGTCTCCGTTCTCATCACACTAATAGAACGAACCAACTCCACTAGCAGAAGCTGTTCTTCACTGGCACTCGGAATAACCTGGAAAATGGTATTATGTATTGTTACTGATTGTACCAGTGTTGAGCCGTGATTTCAAAATTACCTGCGCAATTTTGCCTGCAAGGCTGTACCTACTTAGTGGAGAGTAAGACCCATTGAACACAGAGGGACTTACTTCTCAGTTGAGGAGTACAGGATAGTACTGTTAGCAGCCTAAAGTTTTCCAATACTAGAGAATATGAAGGAATCAAGCTATGAAGCCAGAACCTGGCTAACTGCTCTATCATCAGCAGTTATTTAAAGTGGTCGGAGCCTATGGACAGTCCAAAGGGAAGAGGTACTTTGGCAAAGCAGCCTGGAAGCGTACGGATCCAGGCAGTAGCTGAAGCCCTATTCAGGCATTATGTAGTGGTGAAACTCACCATGCAAGCAGGAATGGGGCCATGTCAAGTGGCCCTCTTCTGGACATCATGTCACAACACAGCTCCTCCCACACATAACTACCCCCCCCCGATAACAGTGACAACGTAGCGCCTCCCTCAGGGATTCACACCTTCAGTGCAAACACCTGCAATGGGGAGCCCTGTGCACACATGTTGACACACGGGCTTCCATGTGCTTCAGAACCCTGCATGATGCACATTCCCCACTTCAGGCATTCGCATTGTTCATATGAGCACCTATGGGAGCAGGTGCACTATGACCTGATGACTGGGGCAAGGCTAATTTGTGTGCCATAGCTCCTGTCCCCCACGGAAAATTTTAATGTTTTACGAGAGCATTCAAATAAGGGCCAAATCTCTTACAACATCAGATCGGTGAAACAGGCCGCTGGATTGGCAGACTCATCACTTGTCTGTCTTGAGGGGACAAGTGTCCGTTTAATCTGGCACCAAAATCCTCCATCTGAACACACTGAAAAGATGGGAGCCTTTTAAACTGAAGCATGCTCAAATGACTACATCAGCTAACATACCTTAGTTCTTGAGGTATTTTTGTGTTGTCGCCTCTCATTCCACACAAATGCAATAGCTGCCATAAAATGAACGCCATGGTTCATTGAGATTGGACCTAGCAATTCAAGAATCTGCTGCCTCAGATTCTGAAATTCATAAAAGAATAGGCTCATTTTCAAATCATATATCCAGAACATTATGCTGTTGTCACCTGAGAGTAATTCCAGGATATGTAACCTGAACAATTCTGCTTTTGGAGGTTTGGAATAGCATGTTATGCTATGTGCTAGCATTCATGGAGTTTTCAGTTCTTTACAGTTTTGAAGGATCGGTTAAGTGATGTGCTGTTTTTGGTGAACATAAGAAAAGCCATGCCGGCTCAGACCAAAGGTCCATCTATCCAGCATTCTGGCAAACCAGCTGTCTACAGGATCCCTCAAGCAGGATGGGTGCAAGACCTCGCCTGCCCAAACTCCTCAGCAACTGGTGCATGCAGGCATGTCACCTCTTCCCTTGCCTTGTGAAGAAGGTAGCAATTAGCCACCAGTAACCACTGTTAGCTTCTTCTTCCAATCCATTTTTAAAGCCACTCAGATGGGTGGCCATCACCACTTCCTGTGGCAGCAAGTTCCATAGAACAACTATATGTTGTATAAAGAAATACTTCCCTCTTGTTTGGCCTAAACCTTCCCCCAAACAGCTTCATAGAATGTTCCATGAGTGTTACAGGAGAGGGAGAAAAGTCAAGTTGGTGCTTCTGGTCCAAAGACTTTAAATGCTAACAAGAAATGAGTCACAGAAGAGATCTGAAACATTTAAAATGCAATTAACAAATGTAAAACCTGTTTCTTTGTCATTGCTCTACTTTAAGTATAATAGATTTCCTTCTACCTAACGTTCATTCTTGAAAACCCTTCTTTTATTATCTGGAATTAAATGCTTGAGATACGTATCAGGCAACAATGATCTAAAATGAAACAGGACCTGCAAGGGATACTTTGCCTTTACAAACAGAAGGTTAATAAAATATGTGGATATTCTAGTATCAGTGAGAAAGGCTGGAGATGGTGAATTTTTACCGGCAACTGAGAGTTAGAATTTGTTTTCAGTTAACCAATGAAGTTAGTGAACACTGATGTTGGGCTGATTTTGAACTATTAATGTCTGGTATACACAGTGCTGAGACAGAGAGGTCTGGGCAACATTTGCCGCTCCTCTAAATAGTTAACACTAATGTGGCCCAAGAAATTTTGATACTAAGGCAATCAAGATATTTTCCTCCCAGTGTAACATTTTGGGGTCCCTTCAAAAATCTAAGATTCCATTTATCATTAGTGATTCTTTGCTTACTGTGTCAGTGGTTTACTAAGCAATCTGTTCTGTTGCATTTCAATCTAGTTTGACAAATTCACACACACACCCTCTGATCATCTGACCTTTGTTGATCCAAGATTAATAGTGGTAACAGATGCAGCAGCTGCAACAGCTGTTTTCTCTGAAGAGTCTGCCTGGTGCAGAATGCTCCACAGAAGAGTCACAGATGACATAATCATGTGAAGGATGGACAAGATCCCATTGCGTGCTTCCAACATGTGCTTCTGATCTACATTGACCAGGAGCTGGCACCAATAAAGAAGAAAATACAACCAATGATTCTCATGATTTTGATGAACAGAAATGTCCCTTAGTCTCCTTCCCATTTGGTCATGCACCTATCGCCCTTTTCCCACTTACATTCTCACTCTTTCTATTTCCAGTCAGCAATATCTCTGCACTGAGTTGAATCCTGATCACAATGATAGTTGAACTGGCATTTGAATTGATAGTTAGAAGTCTGTCTCTGACTCCAATTTAAGGACCCAAGAACAACTGTACTGCATCCATCTAGTCCAACGTTCTGTTCATACCACGGTCAATCGACTGCCCACAGGATCCCACAAGCAAGATACGAATGCAAGAGCAGCTTCCCACCCAAGTTCCTCCGTAACTGGCGTACAGAGGATTACTGCCCCTGCTGCTGGAGGTAACATATAGCAACCAGGAATACTAGCCCTTGATAGCCTCTTCTTCCATGTATTTGTCAAAACCCTTTTAAAAACCACCTGAATCGGTGACCATCGCTACATAAGAAGTGTGGAAGAGAATTCTATAGTTTAAGTATGTGAAGAAGTGCTACCTTTTATCTGTCCAGAAGCTACTTCCAATCAGCTTCCTAGGATAACCACCCCACATTCTAGTTTTATGGGAGACTGAGAAAAAATGTCCCTATCCACAATCTCCACACCATACATAATTTCATACACTACTATCATTTAATGCTAACTATAGTTTCACCGGTACATAAAGTTATCAGTAGATTCCGAAGGAGATGAGTGGAAGGAGAAGGAAGGAGATGAGTTTGTGATCCTGAATGTTCCTAATCTCTTTAAGACAGTGAAGCAAGTACACTTTCATTACAGTTGTACTAAGCCAGTGTTATGGACTAATTTAAAAATCATAAAGAGAAATTGTGTTTTAAATTTTAAATAATTTTTAATTTTAAAATATTTATATCTTATTCTTTTATAAACTGTGCTGGGAATATGATTGAAAGGTTTTATAAAATAAGGTTTCCAGAGCTGGAAAATTACTGTTAATATTCTAACTCCTTTGGAAAATCCTGTGTGCACTGAAGGGAAGCAAAAAGGAGCTATGCAACTTCAGTTGACTGCAGGAGTTAGGCAAGAGATGCTATTTGATGATAATTCACAGAGAGGTCTTCGTTAGGTGCTCTCCATTCTTCACTAGTCTGCAAGACAAACATCTCATGCAACCCCTTTTAAAATATACAGCGGTACCTTGGCTCACAAATTTAATCTGTTCCATGACACTGGTCGTGACCCAAATTGGTCGTGAGCCAAGTCAAATTTCCCCATAATGTACAATGTAAATAAGGTTAGTTCTTTCTATAACTATTTTTTTAATCCCAAAAAATTGAAGCAAAGTGACAAAGAACAACAATGATCATGGCCATCTCCCCCTCACCACACACACACAGCACGACCGCAATCGCATCTGTGTTCCCTGTCCAAGCGCAACTGCAATCGTGGCCATAGACGGGTGTGATCATGGTCGTGCTCGAGCAGGGAACACGGGTGTGGATGCGGCCATCTCCCCACCCCCCCAGCACGATCGTGGCCATCTCCCCCCACCCTCCAAGCAGGACTGTGATCGCACCCATGCAGGGAAGACGGGCACAATCGTGATTGTCACCCGATGTGGAGTTTGCGACCTGAGGCAAAATTTTTCTGACATTTCTGTTCGCAACCTGATTTGGTCATGAACTGAGGCGTTTGTGAGCCGAGGTTCCACTGTACTATAAATCATGCCCATGATATATCTAGGCAGGGATAAAGAACAGCAGAGTGTGTTCACATGCTACAGTTTAAAGAAAGCTTTTGAATCCAGTATTTGTCTCCTTCTGTGGGAGGTTTCTGATACAGCATCTCAGGTTAGCACTGCTGCAAGCCCAATGTATGGAAACAACTCAATGCACAGACTTTTTGGGTACAAACAAAAGAAACTAAATTGTGTCTTGCTAACCTGTGCCACAGTGAGGCAGAGAGGGCAGAGATCTTAAATATCTAGAGGCATGTTCAGCTCAGGAAAGTATTTTCCTCCAAATAAACACAAAAAATATTTAACTCAAAACAGTAATACTTGGATGAAGGGGTTGTCAATTCTTTGACCATGCTCACCTGATGATACTGTGCAGATGGGTCAAGTAAACAGTAGTGAATGACAGTTGTAATGCCTTCCAAAAGAGTAAGCATCATATCTGGTGGAGTAACTGAAGCCATCCAAAGGGGCCTAAAACATAACATTAAAATGGTTGCAATTTTGCAAGGAACTTATCAAACATTTTAAAAATATATTTCCAAGTGGAAAAGAGAGGGGGAGAGAGAGAGAGAGAGACATGCCTACTGTCAGACAACCCCATTTCGTATCTGTACTGCTGAATCAGGTTATCCAGGTTCCTGCAAAGCTGGAGGGTCACAGAAACCACTACCCTTTGGAGCACTTTCCCCATGTAAGGCAGAGATGCAGTGATTAGGCCGATCCACTGGGGATGCATTTTACAGGCACAGTGCTGGTGTAACGCTCGGATCACGGCACAGAGAAACATGCCCTGGGAGGTTATTGGCTGGGAGTGTAGATACTGAAGGGATGTCATGGGCTGCTGGGGGTTGATGTGCTCCAAGTCCGTAATGACAAACTCAAAGCCTGTTTCATTCTCCTCAGGCACAGTCATGACTCGGTGCTCCAGGACAATGAGCCGCTGAAGAACTTTTAAGAGCTGTGACTGGAGGGTGCTCCCATTGTCGAATTCATCCTCAGAGAAGTTGATAAGGCTGTCTTCAGAGAAGCCTTCCTCGATGGCTACGATATTCCTCCCAGCCACCTTCTCACTGTGCCACTTTTGGGCACTAAAGATTGAGGATAGCAAACAGTGCAGGACCACCTTCTGCACCTTGCATTTGGACAGCATGTCTGAGATGAAGCTGGGAAAGCCCTTGGCGGAACTCTCCACCACCTTCGCCAGTTCAGCAAAGAGAAGAGTCAAGATTTCAATGCTCATCATCTGCATATTGCGGTTACCAATCAAGTCTTGTGAGGAGACTTTCACATGGGTGGGATAGTGGCTCCGCATGTAGTACAGACACAAAGAAATAAGGATCTCTATGTACATGGAACTCCGAAAATTATGGTTTGAGTCCACTGGGATATGGCTGTAAAAGTCTTTGCCCATAACAGATATGCGATGCCTGGCCAAAAGATTCTGAAGTAAGGACAGCTGGGGAGTGTAGGCATTGTTGACACTGGTGGTAGAAATGGCATTCACAAAAGCAGAAGGATTGGTTTTAAGGATGGCTTTAATTGCAGAAAAGGCATACAGAGTCCTTGAGGAGTCGTACACCTGAAGATACAACAACACATGCTGGTATAAAGGATGTATGTTAAAATGGGTCGACTTCCGCATCCCTGGGGATCCTGCATCACTCTCAATTTCTGAGATTTCTCCTTCTCCACAGCTGTACCAGTTTTCCAAGTCAAGGCCATCACTGAAGAAAACACTGGTTTGTTTAAGCTTCTCGGCCTGGGCTTTCTTCTTCTCATCATCTTTCCTTTTGGCAATTTTGACTTTAGGCTTTGCTCCAGGCTGCTTACCAGACTCTTTTACAATCGTTTCTTTTTCTGGCATTTTTTCAGGCACTTTTCCTTTGAAGCTGAACTGGATGCTACTGTGACTTCTCTGTCTAGACTTCGTTTCTGTTGATGCGAATGTCTGGTCATCGAGAGTCCGCTGGCTTACAGAAATGCAAGGTGAGGAGTTGTTTCGGGAAATCTCATTGGAATTGCTTTCAAGTCCCATCTCAGTTGAGACAGATAACAATGGAGAACTGTCATTGCTAAGCAAACTGCTCTGGCTGTCTTGAATACTCGGATCTTCAGTTTTAGTCCCCTCTTCTGAAGAATCCAGTGGGTTTGATTTAGCTGAGGTGTCTTTTGGATACAGGTAATGTTTGACTGATTCAGTATCTTCATCAAGCCCACTGACCACCTTGCATATTAAGTCAGTGACAACCTGCTGGACTATTTCATCTGGTGAATCTCCCCCCAAAGGCTGAGAACTATCTGGTGCAGTCAGGCTTTCAGCTTCCACCTCATAGCTTAGATTATCACCAGCAGATGACTGGGAGCAGCCAGAGTCAGAGCTCTGCATTATTTCTATCTGATGGTCAGGAAGGTCGAAATCAGATGCAGCCAGAGGAAGAGTTTCACTGCTGGTACTCAGTAGGGAGATCCTGTCACTTAATGGATTGACTGTAAGACTGAAGTTCTCCATTTCATCCACAGCAAGCTGTTTTTCATTGTTTTCTTTAGCTGAAATGTCTTGTTCTTGACTTTCTGGCATATGGACAAATGCTTAAATAGAAAGCAAAATTAACAAATGTGAACCTTGTTGCATTTGGACTGTCACTGAATTTATCAAAGTCAGTCATAAAACATCCCCCTCCTCCACATGGTTTTTAAAAGATTAATCACCCTGATAGGTTGCAAGTCACCCTATTCACTTATTCTTAGCATCTCTCTGGCTGCCTGAATACTATTTTGAATACATCTGATTCTAACTGGGGAACTCAGCAATCTACTAAAAACACATTCTACTAATGTGAAGTCTGTCAGTCCTTGTACTACAAAACTACATTTCCATCATGTCTTCCTGGACTCCATACAGTCCCATCCAAAGTTAGTAAGAACATGCATATCCTTGGCCCAAGCTATTGTTTTATGAATATGCTCCTTATCAGCTGTATTTTTGATATGGGAAAGCAAAGTTAATTATCAAGTACACATATGAAATTAGGTTCTTCACACACACACACACACAGAGTACTTACAACTACTGCAGTTAAATTTCTGCAAAAAATGCTTGTCATTTTCCTCTTCAGGGTAACAGGGAGATTTGTTCCAGTAGCATTCAGCTTGTACCCTCTGGACAGAAATGCGTTGGGTTTTTGGGTGGAGAAGCAGCAGAAGCAAAGGTTCGAGAACTCTTGCAATATCATGACGTTGGAGTACTTGATTTAGCCAGGCTTGGCCAACTGACCAGGTAGAGCCATCTAAACTGTTAAGGCTATCTAGCATGATAAACAAGGACCTGCAAAGGAAAAAAATCAAATTAAAGTCAGTAACTATAACCGTTTTAAGCACTGTCACTGGAAATGTCTTCAGTTGCTAAGAGCCAACTCCATTTCCCATTCCATGGTATACTGTTCTTGAGATCTATTCCCAAACATTTGGTTTTAACCACACTCTCTGCCAAATCTAGCCCACCACCTCCTGATATGCTGCCCCCAAAAGAATTTCCCAAGGGAATGTGGCATTTCATAACATACAAAAAGTTATGAAAGAATCTTTTGATCAATCAATCAATCAATCAATCAATCATACTTCAGTCCAAGGAGCAGGCTAACCATCTCATCAGTGGGTTGAATTACTGTTTCTCTAATATTACAATTAACTGACCTTAGAAAAAGCTGCAGTTTCAAGAACTATGTTACAAGTAAACTCTGAAGACGTTATTGTCATCTGCCCCTACTTCACTATCTGCATTGTCATGGGTGCGTTATTTTTTATCAGAGGGCATACAGAAGTAACATTTAAAAAGAAGCTGAAATAGATTTTTCTTTTCTGTAGGTTGAGTGCACATCTGGCAGGCCACATGTGCCCCATCCTTGCCTCATAACGAACACTGGTCTTGCCTAAATTGTGTCAGCTGTAAAATACAAAAGGATTCCTCAAGCTGAAGTTCCTGAGCAAAATTTCCACAGTGAAAATGAAAGCTGCAACTGTTAAATATTTTTTGTACTGTTTCTGTATTTGGGTATTTAACCTACCTGTCAAATGAACGACCATATGATGATGACTTGTTAATATGGAGATCTCTGGTAAGGTGCCAGAGCACTGCAAACTTTGCATGAGCTTCCATCCTAATTTTCTGCAGAATAAAATGACACATTAAGCCATACTTCATATAATCAATTCCTCTATGAAAGTACATCTATATATCTCATCACAGCGAACAAAACAATATAAAGTATTCATGTGTTTCAATTACAGAGACTGAGTTTTGCTTTAAAATGGTTCTTTTTGTATCCATTAATTAAAAATACTGATTAGTTTTCATCTGATATTATAGTAGGGGAACTTTAATTATTGGAAAAACATCAGATCAGATTGATCAATTCATCAACAATCTAGAATTCTCTAATATCTTGCTTATTTAGCTCAGCTGGCAGATTTGGTACATTTTGGAAAGCATGGTAAAGTTGAAGAAAATTTTACCTTGTCTCTGTGGGTTAATTGCTGACTGATAACATCTTCACAAATGCTAGATGATGGAACGAGATTGTGCAATTGGAAAAAAAGCTCCACACTCTTCTGGTGATGTTGAGGAGTTCCATCACCCAACTGGTCCCACAGGGTTAATGCAACATGCTTTGGAAAAGAACACAGCAGGATCACACCAACCCAGACAAAGTTATATTTTTGAAAAAGTCTGTCTTAACAGAATTACCAGCTGGGGGATAGTGTAGGTATGCATAACTTAAGCCCCGCTTTCACAGAAAGGTGCTCAAGGTGCTCTTATACAAGCGGAATGTGGCCCTCTCAAAAACTGCCAATTTCTTCCTCCTTCAGCCTTGCATACAATATGTCACAGATGCCAAAGGGTCCTCTGGCTCTCAGGAGTCAGGGGTTGGGAAATCTACATTGTACAAACAGGGTTCCATTCATGTATTTTTGGTTCCAAACCTCTATAACCTTACTCTGAAAGCTTCCCCAAAACTCTGGAGCAGGTTTGGAGGGTGCACAGCCTCCCCAGTTGAATGATTTAGTAGCTTTAATTAACTACTTTGCCTTAAGAATCATAACTAATGTAGGTTCCCTTGTTATCTTCAGAATCCATCCTCTATGTTCCTAAATGAATCACCTAACTTGGAACATAGGTGTTAGAAACACACTCTAGAAACAAATGTAAAGTTGATACCTTTACATTTACAGAAGCTGCATGACCATTTTACTGTACCTTGAAAAAATCTGTCTTTTCAGCCATATATCGGAGGTTGCCTTGATTAAGAGGAGGTCTGATGACAACAGCCACTCTTCCCTGGTTTGGACTAAGAGGCTGTGCTGTTTCCACACTATTCAGACTTTCTCCAGTGACAACAGCAACTGACTGAGCTAAGCCAACTAAGTCCATTATTAGAGAAATTGTAACACCTTGGATGCTAAAATCATTTGCTTGCCTGCAAGCACTCATAAGAGTCTGGAGCCACAAAGGGGGCTGCTCTTGTTCACAATCTGAAACAGAAAGAAAGAAAGAAAGAAAGAGAGAGAGAGAGAGAGAGAGAGAGAGAGAGAGAGAGAGAGAGAGAATCTCTATTAAAAGCAGATTCAATAAAATATAAAATCTATTATTCTTCTCTTCCTTATTTATCTACTATGACACTGTCATCATCTTTGTCAACTCTCCTTCCCTTGGAGTTTTAAGATAACTAAAATTTATTTGCACTATTATTCACTCATTTTGTATTTAGTAAGATTAAAGCAAGCGTTTCAAATCTGGTAACATTCAATGATAGGCTGTCTAACTAACTAGAATGCTAACTAAAGAACAGCACAACAAACTCCACATAGATAGCTTTAGTTTTAAAAGCATATATTCAAACTGGGGTCCTGACTGAAATTAATAAGCTGTCTTCAGGAGTCACAGCTCAAAAGCAGTTTGTAATGTTAAATGTAGGGCGGCTACAAAGTCAACATTCATGCTAGGTTTGTCTCAGCCACTTCTGCATAGCTTTCTAGATAGCAGTATTTTCTAGATTTTTAAAGGACCCTATCTCAAGGGAACATGACAGGGTGTTATGAAACATGCTTTGTGCAATTTTATCATCCTTGTTTGGTATGATTCATAAGAAGCAGCAGCAAGCATAGAAACAGAACCTAAGGATTGCTAAGGCATGCTGGGAGAATGGTCAGGACATTTGGTACTGGAAAACAGAATGAATTGATGGGAATGTTGATGACCAGGTTGTGGTGAAGATAAGATTTAATTTAATTTAATACCACAGGAAATTCCTGTCTAGAAAGGATTACACAAAAAGAAAGAATACAACTGTCTCAGAAAATAGACCAGAGATGCTGGGATTAGCTAGGGAGGAGCTTGAAGGAATAAAATCAAGAATAGTTTCTTGAATTTCAGTTCGTATGGAATGTCTAACTAGGCGACACAACATAATAGAACAATAGTGACGAGGTAAGGACCCATAGGAAGTTTCTATAAGAAAAACTAGGGAATCAAAAGTGTAGGAAAGCTTGGTGCCAACATGGAAACCACCTCATCGTTCATCAGCTGATTGTACTGGATAAAGCTGCAGGACAGATAATATGTGCTGAGCTTTCTCTGTTTTTGCTTCTATAATGGGGTTCTTGCTCCCACTCTGTCTTATTTCATAGGTTACACAGAGTATAGTGTCCTTTGTTCTCTTAGGTGTGAGGAGTGTGACTGTATGATTTATGTTTTGCTGTCCTATAATTAATCCTGTAAACTGATGATAACTAAGTGTGGTTAGAAACTCTGCAACTGTTCTTTCATGTAATACAAGTAACCATATTCTACTTGTGCCAAGTCTTGTTTCTGTGCAGGGGATTGAGGGATACATTCAACAGACACATTGACACAAAAGATCTCATACCACTCAAGGGAGTTTGGGTGCGAACATGCACCCTATATGGGTACCAGCTCAGAAATAATCTATGTGAAACAAGGCAACAATAGCTTTTTCACTACATGCACAAGAGGGATGGGGCTTCACACATGAGTACTACTCGTACCTTCAACCTCCTCACTTGAATGGGAGTAGAAGCCTCCCGCAGATCTCCCAACACAGCACATGGAAGGTTGGCAACTTAGAAAGCAAGGCTGTTCCATGTGAGGAAGTTGGAGGCAAAACTTAACTCTAGTAGCTGCGTGGCAAAACAGTTAGGAAGGACCAACTACTGCATGATGTTGCTGTCAGTGAATGGATTGACTTCAGGAGATGGGCTGTTATGTCAAATGGATTTGAGAGAGGAAACCTCAAGCTGGCTGTTGAATGCACAGGCTGATAATCCTATGTAAACAGAATGCAGAAGTGATTTAGAAGAGGCCTGTATGAGATCTTGGTCTTGGGGAAAAAAATCACACGGCTCTTATGGGGACTTTTGAAAAGAAACTGCAGCTGGTTTTCAAATGCCCAGAAGGAGGCTTTGAAACACGAATGTATGAAAAGCTCAAGAGAAAATGAATACCTGTTCTTTGAGAATAATAGACCTATGCTACTGCTCCCTACAGCACAGACAAACTATGAACCTGTGCTTACTGCACAAACAGAAACTTAAAATTATTAAATACTCCAGATAGGAATTATTAGTGAAACACTAAATACATCCAGCAGACATCACAAGAACCAGCAGAATGAGCAAAAGCAACACAAAAAACATATTGGTGTAATTTGATGTAACCTCATGTTACACTGACAGAGTACATGTTGGTGTATTAAATGTGTAAGACAAAAGCAAACTCCCTTCTAGCAGATCACTCAGTTTAAGCCCCAACATACCTCCCATCAAACCTTTTCATTAGGAAACATTTTAACTTCAAAAACATGTCAAGCAATACAAATAAGCTGGTTCATCCTCCCACAAAATAAAGGACATAAAAAGGAAATGTAGCAAAACGCTGTTTTTCCCCAAGAAGTGGTGCTTTAAAGTCAACTCTGAGAGGACTTAGGGATAAATGCAGCAATCTACTCACCAATGTCTGTGTTCTCAGCATGTATTTCGGAGGTATGGTTTCCCTCTGCAATGTAAACTGGAAAACTTGAACATTCAAGGAAGAGCTGACATGCAGCAATAAAGGCAGAGAGGTATTCTTCTGGCGTTGTCTTCCTGGTTGTTTTTTTCCCTTTAGCTGCATCGCCTTGTGACTCTCTTGTGCACTGTGCCCCCTCTCCTCTTCCTCTAGCAAGATCCTCCTGAAGTTCTGTTGCCAAAGGCCGAGGCAAGGAATTGCTTGGAATGATGTACAGGTTGATAAATCTGGTCAAAAACTGTTGGACATACTCCAAACAGCACTGCATTGCAGTCTTCTGAACTGTCATTGTTTTCCCACTACGGGATCCCGTCACCTGGATCATCTTGGAAGAAGGCTGCACGATGGTTTCCTCTGAACCCACTGTGGAAGCTGTTTCTGTCTCTGAGGAGACACTGCCAAGCAGGGGGGTGCCAGGTGTTCCAGGACCTCCACTCAGTATCCTATCAATGTCATCGGTTGTATCTGCCTGGTACTGCACAAACTCTGTAAAGCCGCTTTCAGATGACCGGCTGCTGGGGGGATTTTCACCATCTTCAAAGACATCACTGGGATTTTCTGCAGAAACTAGTGGTAACTAATTCAGAGGGAGAAATGAAACAGCAAAAACTGAATAGCAAATGCTATTCTTCCTCTTTCACCAACCAAACATCTTACTGCATTTGTTTCATGCTTATAAATTAAGCATGGTTCCAGAAAACCAGTGTGCACAATACATGTTCTCTCTTCAATCTTACCACTCCCATTTAAAGGGACCCTTGCTGAACTTAAATTTGAAAGGATTCCATTCCCATACAACAGTATGGGGTCTTTGGACAACAAATTCACAGAAAGAAACCAATAAATGCAATGTCAAACATAATATGAGTTAGATCCAGATATAGAGCAGACCCCGAAATCATCATCGGACTTGGCTCTCATTTCAATGGGCCTATTCTCAATATATCTACCTCAGGTTTAACCTCCCTAACAGCTGAGTACTAACTATACCTATTCAAAGTACTACGCTTTCACAGAGTGCCTTTAGGTGGCATACAAAGTTAACTCTAAAAGCCAATGCAAGCAATTATGGAAGAAAAATGAGTATGCCACCTATTCTGTTCACTACTAATGTGTTACTACTACTGATTCTCTGTGTATGTTTTCACCTTGTTTGAATTCTGTAGCATGCAGCTTTGGAAGGAAGCTTTCTCAGTAGGGCTACTAATGTAATAAAATGACAATACACTTCAAAATACGTAGCCAAGAGTCAAAGGTAATAATCACTTTGGATGGTTGAGCTTTCTGCTCTGCCACTATTATTATATTTCTAGCTCCCTGTTACTAGATCAGTCACAGAGCTGCAATTCCACAACACAATACCCTGCACCTTTCCTTTACAAGAAAATTCAAAGAGGATAATAAGAAGCCATTAAAGAGATGATGAAAATATGTATTAAAATAAGTAGTATATTTTAAAAAGTAGTAAATGCCACAGAACAAAGACAACCATAGAACCACCGCAACGACAATGGAAATTTATAAGCAGCAGCCAGTATAGAGTCACCATCAGCAAAAACTTTCTGAAAAGCAACTACAGAAAGTGACAATGGAGCAAATGGCATTGCAAACAAAAGTGCCATAAGCAAGAAAGCCCAGTCACTTGTACTCACACTGAATCAAGGATGGCTGTGGGACATGTGAGCATAATTTCTGATGCTGATATGGGTAACAAAAGGCTATATGCAATAGGAAGCAATTCTTATGGTAGTTTGGTCCTAAACAATTAGGCCGTATCTGTAAGGACCAGCTGTTCGAGCAGGCCCCAGAAAAGAATGCCAATGGCAGAAACCCACTGAACAGGTTTTCATGATTGCCCATGCAGTTAATGAGCAATGGTAGCTTTTAAGTCACACTGCATGTGTTGGTTGCCTAAGTCTGGTTTGCTTAATTACCCTCCCTAGGATGGCTTACCATGTCATCTGAACCTGGCAAGGGTGGGTTGTTGCTTCAGTTAACAAATCACCCAGAACCCATGCGTTTTGGGTACATGCTGGTGGTTGTGCAGCTCAACCACCTCTAGCTTCAGGGAGATGTACTGTCCTATTGGCCATAAAGTTAGCCAATGACTTCTCTTTTTTCCTTTTCAGTTCTGGAGAACAGAAAACATACATATGGAGCCCCAATTCGTTAAGCCATCCAGTGTTCCTTGGATATACGCACCTTGGACTGTAACCCTATGCATGTTTAGATGAAAAAAATTGCAGAAAAGCCCACTGTAGGACTTTTTTTTCCTGTCTAAACATGTACAGAATTCTTTCCTTTCTTTTCCAATGCAAGCCTGCAAGCTACAAAATGGCTCACAGGGAGCAAGCTGTCTATTTGTCACAGATTTTTAAGCAACAGAATGGGGGTTGAGCTCATGGTGGTCATTTAAAAAATCTCATTGTCTTTTTAAACAAAAGATTACAGTCTGCTGAATTACCTTTTTATCTTCCCACTCCTGGACAGCTCTGTGCCTAGCTGGAAGCTGCAAGGCCCCATCAATGCCAGCAGATAACAGTGGCGGTTGAACCTTGCTAAGGATCTTTGAGCAGAGTTTCAAGGAATCTGTTAGCTCAGACAAGTGCAAAGTCTGGAGATGGCTCGTCAATGCAGATATCATCCTAAGTAAAAGCTGAGGCAGATGTTCAGTTTGTATCTCAATGTAGGTCTCCTAGAAACAAAATATAAATGGCACTGAGATCAGTGGTTTCTGTAACTTACTCTTGTCTTGGATTATAGCTACAATTTTTATATAATTCCATTCATAATCTAATTTCAACAACCAGAGAACCAAATTATTATTTTTTAGTGTTGGATTTGTAGAGTGAGGTAGGCCAAAGGTGTTTTTTGCATTCCTTTCTCTTCTTGCACAGACTCCCAGCCAGCATCTCCAAAGGGAATTGGGAATAAAGCAGAGAAGGGGGAGATAGCATATACCAGGTGTGAGGAACCTTCCATGAGCTTGAATCACAGAAGATGTCTCCATCTGGATGGCTCCCCCACAATCTACCTTAATCCATGAACAGAATTTCTGAACTTTTAGGAAAGGCTTTTGGATGAAGGGGGCTGATGTAGGTAGCTGCTATGGTAGCAGGGAGTGGGAAAATCACCTTCCAGCCACGCTGTTCTTCCAGAGTTTAAGTTCCACCCTGTATAAACTTGTTCTCATATTAAATCCTGATAATTTAGCTCATTCACAGTGCAATCCTATATGTGTGCATTCATGAGAAGCAAGCTTCACCAAATTCACTGGGGCTTACTTCTAGACAAGTGGGTATAGAATTACAGCCCCAGTCACAATATGGAAGGAATAGTCATGCCATGGGGATATATCCTCATGGGGATGTAAAAGAGGTAACAGGGCTGCTGTTTCCGTTTCCTAAGTACAGAATTAAAGTATGTTTGTATAAACAGGTGGCACGTGTATTTCATCACAAGGGAGATGAAATACACTGTATTTCATTAGTACAATATTAGAAGAATTTCTAGCGATGGTGATAGGATCTCCTCCCGACTGCTGGGTCTGCAGAGCTACTTCTTCAGAGCAATGAAAGCATTACTGGGAGAACAGTATTTTCACAGATGCTATCTGAGGGATTGCTTTTCCTGAATCTTATCATTGTGACTTAAATGCATGATGTATCTGCTGTGTATTGCAAATGGGAAACAAATGTGCTTTTCTTGCATAAGAAATGTTCATGTGCAAATAGCCAGCTATTACAAACTGATAATAATTCCAGAATAGTATATGAGGTAAGACAATATCCACAATTTTTCACTTTTAATTTTATCAAAATGAAAACTGCCAGAAATGTTTAAAAGGATCACTTTTGATTAAAAAGGGAAAACAGACTGAATATCATACCTGACAAAGCACTCTCATACTTCTAGTAGGCTTTGAAATGAGAAAGCAAAGAATTTGAAGATAAAAGAGGCAACAGGGGAAAAGCATTTCCAAGTGATTTCATTTCAGAACACACAATTGTGGCATGCACAAAGAACTGCTATGATCTTACTACATAAGCTAAATTGCATTGCAATACAGTCTACTACTAACCAGTATGGGAAAGTGGGAAGGGTTGCAACAAGTTCCAGGGATGAAGAAATGAGATGGATCCTGCATCCACATAAAAAACTGATCTTGGTGTGATTCTATGAAATTAGGTCCTCTCTTATTGCTTTTTGAATAAATACCTACCCACCTACATCTAACAGGGTCAAAGACAAACATTAATTTCTTCCATCCCACCTGGTGCAGTATGTATTTTCTAAAATAACAGAAGAGAAAGCAGGAGAAAAGTGAACGCTATGTCTTGTGATCAATGAGCAAGGGGAATCTTACCAAGGATACTATATCCAACAAAAAATCAACTAGCAGGCAGAAATTGGTAAGTGGCAGTTCAGCAGGCTCATTACCACCTCCAGACAGAGTCTGTAGACGGGCATGCAGTGTCCTCCTAGGAATTCAAAGAACAGTTTATGCATCAGCAGAACAATGTCTGTTTAACAAGGAAATATAAATGCAATGTAACAATATTTCCTAACAGTATTCTTCTGTGGAAGTAATGGAACTGTATTTCATTTAACTGTTTCAATACTCTGTAAATATTAAGGTGGTTAAGGATTATAATCTAAAATATCATGGAAATTAAAGGATTCAGGTTTTCTTTTAACAGCTATGACATTATATTTGCTCACAGATTCAGCATATCTGAATGGAAAATCACAAACTAGCAACAATAGACAAGCTTTATAAACACCTCACAGGGCTCAAACTGGAGTTAAACTTTCACTTGCAAGTCATCAAGTGCTGAGTAATCTACATAATGTACAGTTTCCAAGACTAAAGTAACATTTCCTGCATATTTTCTAGAAGACAGATTTCTGTCCACTTTGAGAACTTAGTACAATAAGTTTAACAATAAGTTCAGCAAAATCAGAAGTGGATTCAGTTTCCCAAAAGAGGACACAGTAATACACACATCATCTTCCCTGAAATATAACCTACCTGCAACATTCTTCAAACCAACGGGCAATGTAATCCCACATATAGTAAGGCTCAAATGAGTTAAACAAAAGATTTGCAGTTTTAATCAGCTCTGCTGTTTTCTTATTTTCCCTTAACTTGCTGAAATAAAAACAGAATAGCAGTATTTAGCATAGGAATATATATCTTATTCCAAATCTATTTCCGCTTTCTTCACAACAATTTCCCCGTTACCATACTTATCTACCATATTGTCTTTCTGTATTCTTCTGCTTCTTGCCATCATCTCCACAAATGATCTTTCCTACTGCCTTCCTCTGTTTCCAGAGGGATCCAAAAAGGTAGGCAGGATCAAAGCTTGCTGCCAACCACAGTTTCCCTGGGAGATGAAAGCTGTCCACCTATTTTACTGATGGAGCCCCTCAGCTGAAACTGCTCTGAATTGACTACAGTAATGGCAAACAGAACAAACACGAACGAGAAATCACATGGGGATGGTAGCAAGGAAAGAGAAAGAAGATGGGGGGGGGGGGGAGAAAAGGTGTGCCAGAGTGAGAGAAGGGGAGGAAGGACATCTCACTCACACTTGGATATGGCCTCCTTGACCACTGGCATGCACTTGCTACCATATCATTCCCAAGGGTACTTAATAGAAAGAAGACTCTTAGACTAGACTCTTCTCTTAGAGCAGATTTTTTTTCTCCCCTCTATTTTTTTTCTCCCTTTGACCTAAGGGTCAAACCTTCATCAAATGGAATTTGTGGCTTCTTTGAATAACTGATCTATCAACCTTACCACATGACCCACGAAAAACCGGTTTCTGCAGTTTCCTGCATTCTCAGCATTCTTTTGTCAAGTGCATGGTGTCCCAGAAACATAAATCTACAGCAGCCTTGGGTCCACACAATCAATGAAATGGTTCTGCAAATACAAGCTGCCTTTTACTTTCCATATAATCACCTGCTTAACTGTGCATGGTCCTTGCTGAAGGAAGAGTCCACCTGAAAATCCAGCTCTGCTTTGCACTGTGTGTATAATGTCCTAAATACTTCAATCAGTACATCCTCTAATATTACAGGTCCTAAAAGGAGCAAAAGAAGGAATTGCAATCATATGGATTAAGAATTATTCACTGACTACTATCTGTAGTAGTCCCCTAAATTTAATCCAATGGTATAATCAACCAAAGCACACATATTTCCTCTTGCATTCTTATTAAATGTGGCTATGTAAAAGTTACAGCTCTTCTTTGTCTATCCAAACCTAAATTTCAGCACTAGTGCATATAAGGTAAGATTGTTGTTGTTGTTGTTGTTGTTGTTATTATAACATTTCTATGCCGCCCCTTGCCGAAGCCTCGGGGCGGCTTACAACACAAAGTATTTGAGAGACTCCCTCTTAGCACTATATTGTATTACTCCAATCAGTACCAGTACTGCATCCTGCAATCAGTGGAATGGGATCGAAGGAATGGGGGAGGAAATTTTTCCAAGTTGCCATGTGGGTGTGGGCTACAACTCTATAACTTAAGAGTTGCAGAAAGACTAACACAATATATAAGAAGTAGAAGTCTTGTGTTATATACAAACAGTTATGGCAATTTGATTGTGGATGGGAAATATGGTTAGAACTAACAGAAGTTGCAGTTTGGAAGGCAGAACATTCCTCACCCCTGCTGTTCAGAGTTTTTACCATGTTATGCTGAAATATGTTCAGGAAGTCTGAAAGCTGTCAGAAAAGATAACTTTGCTACAACTAATGGCAGGAGAAACAAGATCTTTTGGTACTGAGCCACATACTAACATGATTCCTATGGCTGTGTTGATTTCATTAAAGCTTAATGTGGGCATGATGCCATTAAAGATTTAGGCTGTGATCTTAATCTGGAAAGCATCATGGTAAACTTGTTTAAGATCACACAGCTTGACTTTCAACTACAAGTGAGAGGAATGAATACAGATTTTTCCTTCAAAACACAACTCATTCTTGTTAGCCATTTTCCTTGTATTAGCTACATTATATGAGTTCAGACTTGCACCTTGATCCCAAACATGTCCACTGAAATTATTTAGCACAAGACGAGTTTTCAGTACTTCCTGGTACCTCCACTGCTCCTCCATAGCTAGTATAGGGCTATATCATCAAATATTTGGGAACAAAGTGGTGAGCGACTGGGACAAAGCACTCAGGAGTGCAGAATTTGATTCTGAGGAACGAATGGCATTTTGGAGAAGGTCTTGGAGTAGATAAGGCTGAAGGTCAAAGGTGGACTAAAACCTCAGAGTGCCAGTATACTGCATCTTAAAGCTCTTTCCACCAGGAACTAAGCCATTTCTGACTTTTTAGAATAGGGAGCAGGGGGGCTATGCAAAGGCCAGGATACCAGCACACAACTGCAGAAAAGGAGATGGGCCTCCTGGGAAACCATGGAGGGCTAGATTAGGACCCTCCCAGAGGATGGAACTTGGCTCCTGGGTCTGAAGTTCTACACCCCTGCTCTAACCCATTTCCTGGCCAAAAATGTCTTTGCATATAGTTCATGGCAGAAATATGGATGGAGAGGGCATCCAAATGAAAAAAAAGGCTCAAAGCTATCATGTCAATTTGATCATACATGTACTTCAGAACATGTGGATTATGGCTGTTTAAAAATGCTCACCTCTATCCTCCTCTTTGTTCTTATGCGAAGAAAGTTAATTATATGCATGCGCACGCACCTGCACACGCACACACAGCATGCTGGTGTCTGAGGACATACAATGAGTTTACAAGGGCTGAGCAGGGCTGTCAAGGGCAGGACATTTTGGAAGGCATTTATTCAGAGGGTGTCCATGTCAGAGACAATGTGGCACATAACAAACAGGCAAAGAAAGGAACAACAAAGAATAGACATATAGCTACCTAGCTCAGGCTTGTCTAGTAAACTGATAAGAATCCGAAAAGGCTTTAGGTCCTGCATTAGTGTACTCTCCTGTTCGTGCATGTTAATTTGCAAAATGCCCACCATTGCCTGTAAAAAAAATGACATTTTAGCATCAAGAGGTGAGAGAAAGAGAAAAAGAGAGAAAGTGTAAAATAAGTGACTAAATAAAACCAGCACTTATATAAATAAAACCACTTATATTGATGGGCTTGTGACAACAAACAGGCCATCAAGCGCTGCTTTGGGCTTTACCTGTGATACCTAGCAATCTCTAGAGAATATGTTTCTGGTAAATAGCAGTAATGTTGCCAATAAATAGCCAGCTGTCTGCTTCCATTAATATACTGAGCAAAAAAGGCAATACTCAACTCCTGGAACACTTCTGCTAGAAGAATGGAGAAAGCATTTTTTGTTGATTCCTTTTTACTTGATTTATTTATTTGATTTGATTTTGCCTTCCAGCCCGCTATGGCCACTGAAAAGGTGCTCTTGAGGGCTTGGAGCTCTTCTGAAGCCATGTCAGAGACTGTAGGTGGAAGGGGAAACAATAAAAACTGCATTCTCCCCCATCCCCAATTCCATTAGGAGCCTTCACTGGATCTCCATTCTTTCTGTTTGCCTTAGGAACCTCGCTTTTCATGAAAGGATTACTCTCATGGTCTTCTGTCAAACTGATTTCTAGAGTAGGCCAATAGGCAATATCAGGACAACATGAGGCCACACTTATGGACCTAGGAAGATGCATGCATATGGAAGATACATGTGCTGTATGTGTCTGCATGTGTCCATCTAGCACACCTGGCCCATGCAGCAATTTGAGCAGTTTTCATTTTCCTCATCATGTATGAGATCAAGTTAAATTCTAAGGAAAAGTTAAGTCTTTGGGGGGAAAAAGCAATTAATATAATACAAATCCACATTGGAACTGATATCCCACTGAAGGAAAGAAATCTAAAAAGGAGGAAGAAAAGAGATTAGGCCACCAGATACTGTCTAGACAAGCCACAGGAAAATTTGGACACTCAGCTCTGACCCCAGAGAAGTGCTCTGTGGCTGCAGTTAGGGTTTTGAGTTTAGAGTTCCTTCCTTCTGCCCTTGTGGTTCTTTTTGCACTGACTCTGCTACTGCTACCTCAGAGCTGGTTCCAAGATTACAGTCCAGGGAAGGGAAGGGAACAAGTAAGGCTCCCTGCCAGAATTTGACGGATCTGCATTGCCATAGCCCCTCCTCCTCACAAGCAGGGTTGAAACATTCAGGTAGCCATGTCTAAGTAGTCTGGAGGACAAGAGAAGTGCTGAGGCTCCTCCTGCCTTCCACCAGATGCAGCAGTCCTCCAAGTTTGGAGGGCTATGGCAGCCAGACTGGATGCTGCTGATTTAAAGGGTTTTTTTGCATGCAAATCAGGGAAAAGGAACATTTGGCCTCCAGATACTGTTGCAATGCATCTCCCATATAGCGATGCATGGATGCTGTAAAATCCATTCCATCTGTGTTTCAGAGCGTCAGGTGCCTTTCAATCCATCATGTGCTCACTTATGAAATCAGAATTTGCGAAAAACTGTACTTCTAGAAATGTGGAAGTACTCCCATGCATTTTGGGTCAGTGTTTTTTTTTTAATTTTCTTTTATTTTTCTACAATTAAATTAGATAAAATCAAGTTAAAAAGGTAAAAAAAAAAAGTTTGCAAGACCACAGAATGGATGGGGCTCAGGAAAAGTCAGTTCTTTGCAAAATCCATGGTCCAGATTATTAAAATTCAAACTCATTTGAGTCTGCTATGGATTTTTCCAACAACCCTGTTTCCATTATCATCTCCAGTGATCATGTTGGCTGGGGGTGAGATGTGATTGGAGTCTACAACGTTGAGGGCCAGACATGCTTCACCCTGTTGAAAATGTTTTAATTCGATATTACTCTGTTTGCAAAGACTGGAATACACAGTAGAGCTCTCCATTTTGTGCATAACCAATCAAATTTCCTGTGTCCAGAAAAGGGTATTACTTTGTTGACTGAAAAAAAATTTGCCCTCTGCACATTTGTAGCCTAGATATCTGATATATTGCAATTATATTTTATATTGCGATTTATATCCTGCCTTTTTCCTACAAAGGGCTCAAGGCAGCTTACATCTTCTCTCCTCCTCCATCTTATCCCCACAACAACAACCCTGTGAGGTAGGTTGGGCTGAGAGGCTGTGACTGCCCCAAAGTCACCAGTTGGCTCCACGGCCAAGCGGGGACTAGAACCCGGATCCTCTGAGTCCCAGTCCCGTGCTCTTAACCACTACGCCACACTGGCTCTCACACTGATATAACATTATGAAACTTTCAATGTGAAACAGTGGCATACAAAACTGCAGTCAGAGCATCAGATGGTACGTTTACCCCGAAACGTACAGTGCAGCAAATCCTACAGTGTGCTTGTACAAAGTGAGACCTACCAGGCCAAACACAACCCATCAGCCATTGAAGGCAATTCCCCAAGGAACACAAAAATGGATTTGCTTGTTCAGGGGAGTCAAAATCTTTATGGGACACAATACATAACCGATGGACCATATTTGGCTTGGTAGATCCCTCCAGTTTTATTGGGTGAGATCTATAGCCAGTCCTACAGGTTGCAAAAGTTTGAGTAGCCACGAGGAATAGCAATGTCATTTGCTTCAAGACCCAGCCCAGTTTATAATACATTGAAAGAGCTAGATATTACCCCTACACAAAAAAATAACAGCAGATTCTGATACTTCACATACCCCCATCACACAAATATATTAAATGCATGACTACCTGAACTAGCATTTCCTTAGAGAAGGTATTGAAATAGTATGTAGCATGCTCTTCAGGATTGCTATGTCTTGTGCTCCTAGGCCCTATAATGGCACCATTGTTATCAAAACCTTCAAGCAAAGAAAATGAAATGGTAAATTAATACAATGCTTAAATAAACTGGTAGAGAACAAACAGTGAGAACAGCAGCTGAGTTCTGGTAACTTACCATTTTGCCGTCCAAATATTGTTGGCAAGAGGAAAGACCATTTTAAATTTAATTTAATAAAAGGCAACTAGTTGCATTAAGAGCAAAATATCAGGCTAGTTTTGCTGGTACAGAAATTTCCAGCATTCTGGATAATGAATGCTAAACTTAATTTTTTCCAGAAAAATAATAATGTAGGCTTGACAAGAGTTGATAAGGAAATGATAATATAATATTAACACTGATGTAGCTCTTCTGAATGCTTAAAGTCCTTCCTTCATTAGCTTATCTTAACCCTTATCTTAACCTTTTACAATATAGGTAACTTGCCTAGAGCTTGTAATCCTATGCATGTTTAGACAGAAACAAGTCCTGTAACTGCTAATTTCATGGATCAAGTGAGATTTGAATTAGGATATTTCTAGTTCATAGCTCCATCTCAGGCTGTGATCCTAAAAGATGCAGTTATACAAGGGTGCTATGCAAGTCAAATTCAGCTTCAGAATTTGGTGCTCCATAGCACTAACATGGCCATTTAGGAGTCGGGTTTCCCATGCCTGTGAAAGCAAAACATTGCCTACCCCTGCTCTCAATGTACAGTCAGTCTAGCTACGTTAAATGTAATTCAACCCAAATAAGATATTTCAAAACTAAGGCATCAATTTCAGGCTGGCTGACAGATGGTCCTTATCCCCGCACCCCTTAAGGTGCATACCATCTCACAGAGCTGCTTCACTCTATGAAAACTGAATACCTTTCAGCCCAAAGGTTAAATTAAGTTTCAGAGAAACTCTCAGGGGCCACCTTCTAGTAATGGATATGCGGTTGGAGAGGGGGAAACCATACCATCTTTTAGGCTAAAACTTATACTGCCAGCAATTATGCCTTAGAAGGGACATTTCAACCTTGAAGGAGGCAAGAAGGACTGCACAACCCCCCGCAACTGCCCCACTAAATAATCACACTTGAGGGAAAGGGAGTAAGCAAAGGGAGTGTGACCATCTGGGAAATGCCAGGAAGACAGACTGGAACCTCTGAGAACAAACACCCTTGCTTTAGCCTTGAGGTGGCACACTGAGTTGGTATAATTGGCACATTTATTTATTAAATAATAAAGGGCACATGACACCATTAAAGATAATGCAGAAAGGACGCTCAGCTATCACTTAGACAATTCATTCAAACACGTATATTGAAATTGCATAATGATAAAACATCAGATAAAAAAAGTATCAAAAGCAAAGCTCCATAAAACAGCTTTCTGCCTCACCTTTCAAACAACTGCTGAACTAAAACTGAAAAGAAAACCTATTTTTTCTCCAAATGGTGAGAAAAGGACTAGTGGGGCTTTGCCGAGGGAACTCCATAGACAGGTTGCCAAGAACCACCCTGCTGGATCTGACCAAAGGCCTATCCAGTCCAGTAGGCAACCATAAAAAACTAAAAGCCGCTAAAGACATACAGTGAAAAAATAACCCTGTAAAAGAAAATAACCAAGTACATCTGAAAAAAGCCTTGGCATAAAGGGAATTGTCAACATTGTGCAAAAAAATAAGGTTGGCACCAGGCAGGCTTCAGTGGGGAGGTCATTCCATAAATTGGGGGCAGGGGCACCAGAAAGGCAGCCCTCCCTCTTGAAGCTGCCCTCTTGGCACTGGCATCTGAAGGCAGGACCTGGACGCTGAGCATAGTGTCTGGGTGGATTGCTGTTGGGAGAAGCACTCCATCAAGTATTTCAATTCCAAGCTGTGTAGGGCTTTATAGGTTAAAACCAGCACTTTGAAATTGGGCTTGGAAGCACACAGGCAACCAATGCAAGCAGGCCAGAACTGTTTTTATGTGTTCAAATCTATGGATACCAGACATTAATCTGGCTGTTGCATTATGCATGAGCTCCAGATCCTGAACAGTCTTCAAGGGCGGCCTACTGTAGTGTGCACTGAAGTAATCTAATTTAGGGATTGCCAGAGCATAGATTACTGAAACCAGACTATCCCTTGTCTAGGTAGGGGAATTGTTGCACCACCAGCTGAAGCTGGTAGAAGACACTCCATGCCATTTAGGCCATGAAGCTCAAGTGACAAAGACATCAAGGAGGACCCCCAAGCTATGAACTTGCTCCTTCAAGATGGAATGCAACGCCATCTAAAACAGGTTGAACAACCTCCATCCCGTTAGAGGAACCACGCATCAGCAGAAATTTAGTGAGGTCTGGATTGAGCATAGTGATGGCAATGCACTTCAAAACTTTGGATGACCCCCTCTCCCACCAACCCCTAAGGAACTACATGCTGAAGAATCCACATGGTTGAACAATATTCCCCAACAAACATCTTCTGGAAATGGCCCTTCAAGGAGTTGAGCAACTACAATGCAGTACCTTTCACTCCAACTTCAGAGAATTTGCCCAGAAGGATGCTATGGTCTGAGGATACTATTCTCTTCCTGGAGAAGAGGAGACTCAGAGAGGATCGGTTGGTGACATACAGGTGTGTGAGGGGGTATCACACAGAGGTGGGTAGAGATCTGTTCTCCCCTGCAGAGGAGGGCAGGACATGCTCCAACGGAGCGAAGCTCAGGAACCAAGGTTCAACTTGGATGCCAGGAACTTCCTGACAGTTAGGACCCCTAGGGTATGGAATGGGCTTCCACAGGAGATGGTTGAGGCCACATTGGTGCGGGTGTTCAAGGACAGGCTAGAGATGCACATGGTGGGCATGTTGTGAGCGGAGCTGGCTGGAGCCGGGAGTCAGGCTAGATGGCCTGGAAGGCCCCTTCTAACTCGATCTGTTTCTATGGTCGATGGTACTGAAAGCTGCTGAGAGGTCCAGCAATATCAACAGGGTCTCCCAGGATAGGTCATCATGTGGGGTGACCAAGGCTCATTCCTTATCAAATCCAGAACCCAACGGAAATGGATTTAGGTAATCAGTCTCATCCAAGAGTTCCTGGAGCTGGTTAGTCACCACCCACTCAAGAACCTTGCTCAGGAAAGGAATACTTGCTCCTGGTCTAAAGTTATTAAAGTCTTCCAGGTCAAAGAGGTTTTTTTTTCAGAAGTGGTCTCATTTCTACCTTTTCAGGGTGTCATGGAACCACTCCCTCTCACAAGGCATTAATAACCTCCCTAGCCCAGCTGGTTGTTTCTCCCTTGCTGGCTTTTATGAACTAGGAGGAGTAAGGATTTGGTACAGAGGAGGATGCACAAACATAGACAAGCACCTTGTCAATATCCACAAATCTTGCGAAACCACAAAGATCAAGACAATCCCAAACACTAAAAGTAGTTCCTAACATAAATCTTTCTTTTCTACTATGGTAAGTGTTTATTTGGCCTGTGTTTAGTTTTACTTGGTAGAGAGCAGCTACTGCTTCAGTTTTTCTTATTATCTTTGATGTTTTAAATGGCATTTCTAGATTTCTTTTAAAAATCTGTTTCCTGTTTTAAGGATTCTTGCAAACTGAAAAGAGAATTCTAATTTTTCAATAAGTAAAAGTATAAATTGTGCACCTACCTAGAAGCCAGGCATAAAGTCTTCTATTGAGTGACATATCTCTGCGCAGAACTACATGAAGAGATGCGGAAAGAATTCTGATCATGTCTGGTCGAGTTGCCTAAAATTGGGAAGGTTAAATTAAACAACAAACAGAAACATGTTACACATTCAAGGGTTCCCTAAAGATGAAGAAAAAGATTTTAACTTTTTCACAGCAACTCAGTATTCAAATAGGGAAAACTCTGGAGCCTAACAGAAGTAAAGGACTTCAATTATTAGTAGCAACCCCTCTCCCTAAAGTGGCTTGTGCCTCTGCAAGTATCAGCAGGCAATAAAGTAAGGCCACTTAACTGTAACTGACTTTCTTCAAGTGGTTACCTGTGCATTCACACCTATGGGCTCTACAGCGGTACCCATATGTGTGATGCACAGAAGCCACAAAGAACCACCACATTTTGCGGGCAGTGCTACCGCCCCCATCTTAGAATCACATTTTATTTGGTAAAGTACACAGTACAAGGGACCAAAAAACAAACTCAAAAGTCTTCTCCTTTACCCACAATTTTAAAGCAAATGTAAAGTTTTGTGAATATACCGATCTTATATAAACAATGAGGCTGATCCAAGGTATCTCAAGTCATCTGAGCAAGCATACATTTTTGCATATTAAATGAAACAACAGTCAAACAGAAGTGTCTAATTCTGGGTTCATACAACACAGCAACCTATCTTGTGTAAGCCATGGTAGTTTGTTTTGTCAGGCAAATCTGGTCTGCTTCCGGGAAGGAAGTTTGTCCTGTGGCTTCAATTACATTACTTCACTTTTACTGGATGACTGTCAAATGGTGAACTGACAAGCAGATCTTTGCTTGACAAAGGGAGTGGTGACAACCTTGCCCTCTTTGCAGCAAGATCCCCTGCCACCCTTTCCACCCCTTCCTCAACCTCCACGTGTGCAGGAAGCTGAAAGGTGTAGTCACCTTCCCATCCATTTCAATCTGTGTGCACAACTTACATACACATTCCTATGCATGCAAGCTCTACCTCAAGATCCATGGTTTAACAAAAAGTCAGATAAACTAAAACCTGACTTTCAGAATTTCTAATATCAGTTATTACACATTCAACTAGTTAAAAATCAATTATTTTATTATATTAATATGGGGAACATGATTAACAGGTATGAGGGCCAGGACCAAAACTCTCTCTGCCTCTCTCTCACTCACACCATTTTCAGCATTTCCTTTGTAATGGCAACATTTTATGCAATCCCAAAAATCACCAAGAAAACTCAGAGGACTTCCTGCAGCAGCGTTACTGGAGGCACAGCTGGGCAACTTGCAGCCCTACACCCTACAATGCCTCTCATCCCACACACTTGGCTAGGCTGGCTAGGGCTTACACCAAAACATCTAGAAGTTTATAAGCTGCCTACCTCTGCATGAGGAGTGGCCACTAGAAAAGAAGTTGGGCTAATGGACTTCCTGCTTCCCATTCTGCGCATATGAAAGGGCTTTGCTATATATATCCCATTCTCCAGGTCTCACTTAGGAGAAGTGTCAAGATAAAAGCCTAGCACCTGGAGAGTTAGTCTGTTATCACTTAGAATACACTATGGTTGAAATTTATATCCATGGGTCTATGTAACAGGTCATTTAACTGAATAGGTTTTTAGTAGCCTTTTACCTGACTCATGTGGAATGGAAAACAGAAAAGTATCAGGTCCAGGGTGCTCCTCTGTACTAATACACTGGAATCTTGCACTGAAGTGCTTACTGCTTCAACCTGAAACAAAATGGTAGAAACAGTTGTTTCAGAACAAGCATAATCAGTAATCCTGCTTTGTTTACTGTGCAAACACACATACTGGAGTCACTGACTCCTTTTAACTGCCGCCAAGTTTGGGGGATGCTGTCCCATGATTTTTCATGTTGCTAGCACCCTTCTTCTCTCTGCACAATCTGGCCATGGCTTTTAGACCTGCCCATCCTACATGATGTCCAGGGCAAGCACGCCAAACAGGTCAGGAGGGAAACCATGGTTTTGTCCCTCCATTACTTGCAGAAGAGAGATCAAGGGAACTGTTCTCTAAAGGCAATGAGCCAAACTTGGCCATTAACAAAGTAATGTTTCAAATGAAGAGAACAGAAAGAAATGTGGAGATCATGGAAATAACATTACGAAACTTATGAAGGTGATAGATACTCTCAGATATTCAGGCTATAAACCCATGGTATCCAATACAGTAAACACTAGAAGGTTGTGGAACAGTATGCCCTACACATACACATATCCTACTCCATGGGCTTACAGTAACCACATTGCAAAAACAGGTAAAGACACAGATAAAAATACAGGTTAGATGCTGCTTCCGCCAACAAGAGATAGGACAGTCCACTGATTGTCATGTCTCCAAGTGGAACTCTGCAAGAATACTCTTGCTGCCAGCAATGAATAGAGTTCATTTTCAGCGATTCCACTCCACTGAAGCCTGCAGTGCCACTCCCCACTGTGCCATTGCATCACCCAACTCTCCAAAGCAGATTTCTGGGAAGGAAGCAGTAAAGATGGGAGAAATCAAGGAAAACTGACACATTCCCATTTTACCAATGAGATTTCCCTTGATGCATCAGTAGTCTTCTGAAGAGTGAAGAGCCTTCCTGTCCACAAGAGACACTTCCTGGATGTAACTCTTCAGCCTTTCAGAAACAGTTTTTAATTACATGTTGATAGCATAAAAGTCTGAATTACTTGAAAAGTAGGAAGGATTACTTGGCTCATCAGGCTTAATTTATCAGCAAAATCCAGTCTAACTAAGTCCCACTGATCTCTGTGGAAAAGGCTTGATTCTCATACTGAACTTACTGCAACTTTAAGGTACTCAAATTTATAGTGTGCTCTTTGATTCAGCCTGATGAACAAAGAAACTTACCATACTTTAAAAGTATTTTCATACTAGGTGGGTTGCATCTACTGTTTGTTAAAAGAATAGAAATTTCCTTTGCAACACCATAAAACTGCTCTGGAGGATTGGGGGACCATTTGAAGAACACTCTGGGAGCTGTATAGGGTTGGGCTGGAGAAAGCAAGCAAGAGAACTTCTGTTGAGCAAGCAGACATGTAACATACAAATACTCTACACTTCAGCTTCTGCTACAATACATACAGAATGAACTCCCTTATGTAATTGCTATTTCAAAAATTAAGTTGACAAATAACTGGGGCTGGACAACCACAAACATTATGCTTTATTGACCCTTACCATCAGTTCAATGTCACTGCCTATTATATAAAGCTGGTCTTCCATGGAGAGCTTTCTGTTCAGATGGGAGAGAACATAAGTAATTCCAGGCAGCCGAACTGCAGGACTAGTGAGAAGGCTACCCCACAGAGCACTGTAGAAAGCTGACTGGTCCACTGCAGCAGCTACTTTCTCCAGTAGAGTGTTTGTTCTGTGACACAAGAAGCGACAATAAGAGACCAATAAAACTGAAGTCTAGATAACGAAATAATCTTAGGGTACTTCCAGATGAGGCATTAATTATGAAACTGTGCTGGCTCCTTCAGAACTTTTCATAGGGATGAAGACATCATATTTTACTTGTAACCTTTCTGTTTTTCTTTACCATTTCTTCAATCTTTTCCCTTTCTATTAAAAAAATCTACTAAGGAAAGAAGCCCTAAGAAATCTGCAGAACGCATCTGTGATAGGAGCCCTCCATCTGAGAGCACCCAAAGAATGAAAAAGACTGTGTTCTATTGCAAACAGGAAGCTAAAGTTATTGAGAGTTACAGAAACCTTAGCCTTATGCATATTGGTTGGGTATGCCAGACTTTCACCAATTAAAACCACACATACACCTCAACACTAGAAAGCATACTTTGGTCAGAGGTATCAGGAAGAAGATGAAGATTTTGACACAGCCAGTGAACTACAGAACACAGAAAACATATGTTACCTAGAGGAAGCTTTGACCTTTCCCTTTTGTGCAGCTAGGTCCCATGAAACAATCAGCCAAGAGGCTCAAAATTCCACAGAGGACAAGTTTTTATAGTAGCATTAATTACATTAAACTACAGCCTTACCTCTCATAGTACTCAGATCCCTCTTCCAAACCAGGAAGTATCCCAGTTAATAACCCCTGCAGGCCGGGTTTCAATGTTTTGCCCAAAGGAAGGTAATAAACTTCATACAAGCTGAGTAATGCTGGTTTGACAGACATAGCAGCATTGGCGAGAAGAGGAAACAGACCGGAACTATAAAAAGAACAGCAATAACAACAAGTGATTGAAGAGTCTAATATAGCAGTTGTGTTGAAGGGGGACTAGATTGATTTATATGCATCATTTTCACAACATGGTTATAACCATGAGACTGGCTCAACCACAAGCAAAAGCTCTCCTTCTTTTCAGAGATTAGACTGAGATCCTGTTGAGATTCCAGCTGAGGAAGAGCAGGAGGAAATTTTTCTCTTCCCACTGCAGTCCTTGTGACAGAACAGCTTTTTGCGTGGGGAATGACAAGTGAGAAGGAGAAATTGGCAAAAACTTTCACCCTTCTTTCTAGTAGAACCATCCCAAGAGTTTTGCTCACAGTAAATTCTTATGGAAGTTTCAAAGACTTGAGCAATGCACATCTCTGATTTTTAATTGCATGATTAAATGTGTATGTTATGCAGTTGGTTGTCTAAAACCATTTTTTGCTACTCTAGACTGGCACAAGTTTACAAGTTGATATTTTATTATATTTACAACCAAGGCAACTTCCCTCTTGCAAATTCTGGCTTTGTTTTTTATTACTGTTTATACAAATAAAACAAATAGTATCATTATCTATTAGAAAAAAACAAAGAAAAAACTGGAAAAGGCTACTGTAGAGGAATAAAAATAAGTTAAATTGTTCCAATCCAATTTTTTGCTGGTATCCAGATATATATATATATATATATATATATATATATATCACAACAACAACATCCAAGCAATTTTTTTCACAGCAGGATACCAGCATTTATTTACTAACACATTTATTTAATGTTTAAATTTATATGCCACAACCTATAGCCCAATTTAGGGCTCTCTGGGAGGTGTACAATTACACCAGTTTATGGCAAAAGAAAATCAGGCTTTTCAAAACACGTATCTCTACTTATTCACTCATGTTATTCTTTCTGTGTTATAGAAGAACATTCTGCACTGAATTTTCTTCAAAATTTCAACATTACACTGGTTATACAAAACTACTATTTCTGCAGCTGTTTTAAGCAAACAGAAATCAGCCTCAATCTGGCCACTTGGACAACACAGGGCTTTTAAATTATCAAACGTGTATCTGTTGTTGTTAGCTTTTGATCTGTCCTCCTAGAGAAGAAAATTAAGTTCAATTGCTTTAACTTTTTTCCTGTATTCGTGGTGATTCACACAACTAGATTTCTCCTTATTCTTCCATACAGCTACATGGAGAAATGCTTAAGGAAACCAGCTGTACAAACAGCAAACTGGCCATTTTTTGGTGTGAGGTTTGGTTTTATAATGTAGCCATGATCACAATGATGACCACTGCCTCAAGGAGCAGTTCTGCATGCAAGGAAGCATCTGTAAAAAGTTAGTATTTTGATCCAGGCCTTGAATACATTAAATTGAATGAATGGATGGATGAATGCTTATCATCTGTCTTTTAGGATGGGAAACACTGGTCACTGACAACTTATACTGATGTCTTCATTTAATCACAGCAAGACAAAAGAATCTTCAAACTGCCTACTTATATTTTTTCTCCATTTTCCAGAGACTTGCTTTGTATAAGCCCTATGAAGTCCATAGCACTTCTCAATCATTTCAAATGATAAAATCTCCTCTTTCAGATGAAGAGACGTGTGGTGGTCAGAGTGTTCGTCTGGGGATCTGGGAGATCTGTGTTCTAGTCTCCACTCAGCCATGAAACTCACAGGGCAACTTCGAGCCAGTCACAGATTCTCAGTTTAACCAAACTCACAAGGTTGATGTGAAGATAAAAATGGAGCAGAAGAGTACTATGTAAGCTACATTAAGTTCCTTACAAGAGGAGAATACACAGCACATAACTGTAGTCTAATAATACTAATAATACTAATACAATAATACTAATATTGACACATGTGTGAAATATTTTGATTTATAGAAGCAATATAAAAACATTTTATTCTAACAAAAATGTGGTTAAGACAACCAACTCAAAATGTAACGGTCATTATTTTTACCTGTATAAGAAGAGATCTTTGGCCAGACGCTTGGGCCCAATGAGTTTGAAGATGATCTCATATGTCTCAAGTGCCTTCCGGTGAACCCCACCTGGCAAGGCAGGGTGAAGGCATTGTGCAAGGCGCTTTCCTATGGTCAGCTTTTTTGGTACTACTTGGTACTTCGCATTGTTCTGGAGAACCTGACAAAAAACATTGCAGTATATTTTGAAAGTGCTGATACATTCTATAGATACTGAAAATAGGGTATTCGTTTTAAACCTACTAATCTAAATATGTTCTGCTAAGCCATATATAAGCCACTTCTCATATAGCTACCAAAAACTCCGATCTAGCAAATTTACTTTTCTAATTTTTAGCCTCACTAATATTAGAAAATTAAAAATAAGTAAAAGAATTAATGGCTTATTTTTCTGGCCCTTGTGCTGTATTTTATCAATCTAAGCAAATACAGCCATATAATCATTTGCCACATAGATGCAGGGCTTCCATGAGGGGAATCCTTGTTTAAATATATTTATAGAAATACATATTTAATATTGTGCATTTATATTGATTGCCATTGAAGATGCAGGTCTAGAGAGCCAGTGTGGTGCAGTGGCTAGCATTGCACTGTAACTTGGAACTATGCACTGGTTAGGTACTGAAGACTTCAAACACAGAGATTCATATTCAACTTATATTTTTTTAAAAAAAACCCAAATACCCTTGATGTGTGCACCTCTAGGTTCACCTTAGTATTCATACCAAGTTTGAGGCATCTAGCTTTCATGCTGTTGGAGCTATGGCATGGACAGACACATATACATCATCTATTTTTAGATAGAAGATACGTAGATCTTTAGATAGAAGATAGATCTAAAGATACAGGTGAGAGTTTGCCTAGTGTGCAGATTAGGAAAAAGCATCTGCTTCACAGAAGATTCTGTTACGCCAGAACTTTGACTTCCACTACATTAAGCAAAAGCCTGAGATCTAAAATTATCTGCCAGCCCATTTTTCTTCCAGTAATTCAGAAAAGACACCAATGCCATAAATTTTATAACTACATTAATTAGAGTTAAATCCTCCCTCAAAACTCAGTCCTCCCAATTCTTTCGAAAACCTGCTGCATACCTTGTTTAGCTTTCCAAGCGATGAAATTAAGTCAGCCCACTCACTAGAGTACTCAAAGCTCTTCAGAGCCTTGTCTACAGCTGCCACATAGTTCCTGTACTTGGAGTCACCCAGTAGCTCCACCTCCTCCGCATTCATCCTCCCGCAGAGTCCCACTAGAGACTAGCTTGCAATTCATGTAAAGTTGTTAGCTGGAAGAGACAGAACAATAATTTATATTTTCCAAACCATACCTTGTAACTGCTGTGGAATTCAGACTGTCAATCAAATGCAAAAAGCCAGGTGAGGTATAAGTATCCTGAAGTCCATAAAAACATTGGCTCAGAAACAGAAAGGCGCTGGTTATAGGTAAAGGATGATTTCTAAACTTCACTGCCTTCTGGAAGTGCCCGCCCTGCCACAGCTGCAATGCAGAAGGCTGAATGGAAGGGGTGGGGACTGCCCAAAATCACACAGCCGTCTTTTGCTGGAACAGAGTTCCCAACTCACAGAAGTTATGAGTTGTAAGTTCACCTAATTTTCGGCCACCATTCTTCTTACAAACTCCTGAATATGTTCCACAGTGCACCCCTGACCATCAGAACCTGGGAGGGGAACTGTCACTACAGGGACAGTGGGAATGTTTACCAAAACTTGCAAAAACACCTATCATAAAACAAAAATGTTAAGATGCACAAACTATTTAAAACCAGTATTTTCTTGTAAGCAAGGCCAAAAACTGAAGGGCTTCATACAACTCAAGCAGATAATATATTAGGAAACACTTCTTAGTCTGTTCAAAGTATGCCCATCCTTCAATAGCTCCTATGGACTTTTCTGATCAATAAAAGGAAACATTTGATGCGTACAAGATGTTCCCAGGTTTAGACTGTGGTGCTAATAACCCAATCTGTACAGCCTGACTTCAATAATTTATGCCCAAACAGACTCTGTATTACTGCAACATACTGTATGTGAGGCTGCTTTCTGAAACATACGGAAAACTTTACTGGATACAGACATGATTGCTGGAAGTGGATGTGTTATGAACATATAACATGCATGTTTTGCTGTCTCTCGTTTCTCAGTACTTTCTAGGAAATTCTAAGTGTTAAAGTTATTTCTGTTTTAGGATCTTGGTATCTGGAGGATCACTTCTTCCCCTATGATTGCCATTCACACAAATCTGTGTCTTGAAATTATCATGAGCTCCTCTATTCAACTCTTATACCTACATCTAATTTTTAAGGCAGGCCTCCTTCAAGTATTCCTGCAGAGAGAGGAATATGTATGAAATGGCCATTGGTTGCTCATTTTTATTTGTGAAGCAGACTTCCAAAGAAATCCCACGTATTTTAATGTCTTTTCAGTAGCAACCAAAACCCTTTTGTTATTTTTGGCAGGTCTTTAATATTGTCAATATAGGTTTTTATCATTTGAGTTCCATTTTTTTAAAAACAACCTCTGTGCTTATTTTATTCCTCTGTTCCCAGCTTTTAATTATCTGTTTTAGATATTTGGAATGCTTTATTTCATTGTACTTTATTGCATGTTATTCTAATCTTATTTGTTGAAATAGTATTCTGCAAGCTCCTGTAAGTAGTTCTGGTTACATGGCGACCTATAAATTGCATTCAGGCATTAATAAATAAAGCAGTGCTTTCTAGATGTGAACACTTCCTTGCCACTGATGGAGGGGGTGGGAGCAAAAGTGGTAGTGATTAGATGAAGCATCCAACTAAAGAAGACAGTACAGGTCCATCAACCTAACATTTTTACCATAGGTCCAGCAGAAGGAGAAGGTTATGAAGCAGATACCTATGTCCATGGTGTTTCTAGCAGATATATTTGCAATGAAAAATACAAAACAAACAACCCCTCCTTTTTAAAATTGATGCTGGGAAAACTCATTTTTACACTTAGTAATATTATTTGGATTCAGCAGCATGGAAGTGTGTTATTCTGCAGCTACCAAGTACAAAAATTTACATTAGGTCTGCAGCCGTATGCTAAAAACTTCACTCAACAGTGCTAAAATTGAGTGTAAAAATCCAGGAAAATTAAAATATGAAATTAAAACTTCTTGAATTACACGCAGCTGATAAATGCCTTTGTGATACAAGACTCTTGAGATATAAAAACTAGGCTGCTATCCAAGCTGTCTGGCAACATCCTTTGGGAAATAGAACTAAACTGAAACAAGCAACTGTAACAAATACTTCTCCCTGATGTTCCTAGCACAGTCAAGACAGCGAGTACACCTAATCAATGTTACGAAAATCAAGCAACAAAATCAATACAGTGAGCTGTTGGAGCTTCCCTTTCCCTCTACGACTGAATGGATCTTTTTGAGCAGTTCAGTTAGACAGAATGCATCTACCACAACGGCAACAAAGAAAAAAAGATTCCTTTTCTGCCAGTACTGCTACCTAATGGGCTCTATGGTACTCAGTGTTGGCAAAGTCTTCTTTCACTTCCACTTTAACTTAAGCATTTCAGTATAGTGTGGAACCTGGGAAACAAAACTGGCTGATCTGTAAAGTGAACAGCTAATATTCCACTGAGGAATTCTTTAGCCAATGAGATACCCATTTTGGGATAATTTTTAAATCCACATTCTGATCTCATCAATTTAAGGAACTATTAGGGAACCCATAGCCTGTTTATCAGCTCCTACACCTTTCCCTGCTTTCATTTTATTTATTTCCTATTCAAGTCCTCCTATGAATGCAGAGCTATAGGCAAAACAGCAGTTTGCCCACACAGGAGGAATGTATTGGCAGATTTGGGATAACCTTAAGGTTTGTGAATGTTCAAAGTATTTACAAAAGGAACTGAAGGAAGAGCCTCCCCTCCTAAAAGTTCCATATAGATTCAATGGCACAGAATGCTAACTCAGCAGGAAAAAAATGCCATGTTGGGAGGGAGAATGGAATGGAACAACATGGAAGGAAGGAGGAAAGATCTGAAAGGTGTACAATGAACCATTTCATTGTCTGGGTATGTCATTTTCTATTTAATACTGTGAGGCTTCTTTAAAGTGTCTCCAGAGATAGATGTGAAAGTTGCCTATAATCATCAGTGGATACATCAAATGGGTACAAATGTGTCTGTCCTACCCACCCACAAAACAGCAGCAACAACAGAGGAATGACCTCAAAACAGGCCAGTGAAGATCTGCATGTTCACTGGGTATTGCTGCCTGACCATTGAGGGCAAAAGAAAACCTGAAAATAGCAGGAAAGAGAGTGGGTATAACACTGAATGTAACATTTTATTGCATGGCACACTTTTTTTTTCTAAAATGTAACACTTCCAGATAACAGAAAGCTACAAGTTATTCATAATAGATAATCATGGGGGTGATGCAAATGCTCCCCCCTTGCATCTGAGAGGAAAGTGCTTCTGTTCACACAAAGAAGTGGGAGGAGTCAGTCTACTTATTTCAAATATGTAGATTTATACCTTTTCCCATACTGTTTACTACTGTATTTCAGCATAATGCAAGGCCAAGCCTAAACAGCTAAAATTAACTAACATTGTTCTCTATTATTACTCTGTCTTTGCCCAATAGCATTACTTTTTGTTATGTGTGGTGGAAAGGTTTTACTCACATTACAAAACTGTTCAAGTATAGTATGTTACTCTATGGCAGGCACTGATTCATATGGAGAGATGTAAATCCATGCATCCAGGGATTTTTCCAGGATGGGTAGTAAACCTGATTCTTCTCCCTGGGGATCCCCATATCTAAAGGAAAAAGATGGTATTGCCCCTTCCACTGCTTTTCTTCTACAGAAATCAAAGGGATCAGCTAGTAGCAGATGAGATGGAACCTGGAAAATGCCATTACTTCCTATACAGAATATTAGTCCACTGACCTTGGGCATTCTCCATCCCTGAATGTGGCATTTAAACAAAAGATTAACCAATACAAATGTTCAAATTTCAGCAACCATCTTAGAAATTCCATCTGATGACAGACTAAATGACAATGTTTGACAATGACAAAAGAAGGGATAATGTTCTACTACGTAGTCTGGAGTAAGAATACATAATATATTTCTGGGAAGCCGCCCTGAGGCTTCGGCGAATGGGGTGGCATAAAAATGTTTTAATAAACAAATAAATAAGAGAATGAAGGGCAGCATCCAAGCACACTGAGTTATCCAAAAGGCACATTTGAACACTTGGCTGTGTTCAAGTAATATTCAATATTGCAGCTTGTTATTGCTCTGTTCTAAGATGTAATTTGACAGATGCTTTGAATATAAAATCTTGCACAACTTGTTCATTCAGTGCAAACCATTAGCTTTTTCTGCTTTTGTCCTCTGGAGCATCATCCATATCCATACCCCTTTTGGATAGCTTAAACAGTTGGGATGTAACTTTACAATATCTCCTTGAAATATAAGCATACAGACTTTTTAAACCTCTTTGTCTTTAGCAGCATTCAATTTCTAATTAGCATCTGCTGCCACACATTGCATTCAACTTAACGGGATGCCTCCTACCAACTACCAATAGCCTATCATCAGACAAAACGCTTTCAGCTATTTGGGTTACATCCAGTTACCCCAACCTGCACTCAGAATGGCTTCTGTCAGCAGGATGGAAAGGGCAGATTCTTTTTCCCCCACTATGTGTTCTCAAAATCTGCTCCACAGAGTTGGAAGAACCTCTGAAACAGGTTTGGGGAAGAGAAGACTACCGGGGGAAAGAGCAGAAGTACCCACTGTGTGAGCATACATCCACTTTCATGACACTGGATTTCACCTTTCTGTGTGCAGATCCTCATTGCCTGCCAATATAATTTTCACCATAGTTTCTTTTCATCCTGTTGATATATACTGCATGATCATGCTTTTAGTCTTGTCATACATCACCATGCAATTTAGAATAAAGTATATTAAATTTATATATATATATATACAGTATAGAAATTAAATGTCTTTCCAAATACATAGCTCAGTCTTCTATAAAGCTATAAACTTTGAAACCTATGGTTTCATAGCTATGAAAGCTATGAAAACGAAACCTATGGCTTAGAAAGGGCAGTGCAGGGAAGGACTACTAAGCAGCAGACCTTAAACATCCTTACTGGGCGGTAAGGATATACCACCTCTTAGGAATTTAGTACATTGACCATTGTTATAGCTGCTAGCTATGGGGAATAAAAATGTCACTTGTAGCATTTACATTTTGTAGTCATCCTGGTATTTTTATATAATAGGACAGCATACAAAGGTTTTTAATAAATAAATAAATAAATTTACATGATACTGTTGAATATCAAGTGATTTAACATACATTAAATCAATAATCCTTATAGCAACTTTCACCAACCCAATGCCTTCCAAATGGGGTGGACTAAAGCTCCTTTATCTCTAGCCAGAGTGGACAGATTACAGAAGGTTGCCTTATACAAATCATACAAGCTAGTAGAGTAATACCCATATTGAAGATGGGAGGTTTAGGCTGAAAAGGAGACTACCTTGCATCCAAATCAGATATTTTCTAGATTATATTTTCAGATACAGCACTGTAACAGCTAATTGAAAACTGGCCATCAAAACATTTATTTTGCCAAATATGTTCACATATACCGTATTTTTCGCTCTATAAGACACACCTGACCATAAGACGCACCTAGTTTTTAGAGGAGGGATCCATGGAAAGCTTCTTGATAATCACAGGCACATTCCCCATCACTTCCCCATGGGCTTCATTAAAGGACGGGTTGCCATTTGAAAACACACACTGACCTGTGATTAACAGTTCTCACCTGCGCCGGAGGAGGGGTGCGGAGCAGGGCGCGCCGAGCGCGTGCCGGCCAGGTGTGGTGCAGCCGGGCCGGCAGCGTGCCAGCTGTGGTCTTCCGGGCGGCGCAGTGGCAGCAGGTCTTCTCAGGTGGTGGGGGTGAGCAGTCCGTCTCTTCGTGCAGCCGGCGGATTAAAGCCCACGGCTCCTCCTCCTCCGCAGCAGGTCTTCCCGGGTGGTGTGGGTGAGCAGTCCGTCTCTCCATGCGGCCAGCGGGTTAAAGCCAGTCTTCCCAGGCAGTGGGGGTGAGCAGTCCGTCTCTCCGTGCGGCCAGCGGGTTAAAGCCAGTCTTCCCAGGCAGTGGGGGTGAGCAGTCTGTCTCTCCGTGCGGCCAGCGGGTTAAAGCCAGTCTTCCCGGGCGGTGGGGGTGAGCAGCCCGTCTTTCCCTGTGGCCAGTGGGTTAAAGCCCACGGCACCTCCTCCTCCGCGGCAGGTCTTCCCGGGCGGTGCGGGTGAGCAGTCCGTCTCTCCGTGCGGCTGGCGGGTTAAAGCCCACGGCACCTCCTCCTCCGCGGCAGGTCTTCCCGGGCGGTGGGGGTGAGCAGTCCCTCTCTCCATGTGGCCGGCGGGTTAAAGCCCGCGGCTCCTCCGCGGCAGGTCTTCTCGGGCAGTGGGGGTGAGCAATCCGTGTCTCCGTGCGGCCGACTAGTTAAAGCCCGCGGCTCCTCCTCTTCCGCGGCAGGTCTTCCCGGGCGGTGCGGGTGAGCAGTCCATCTCTCCGTGCGGCTGGCGGGTTAAAGCCCGCAGCTCCTCCTCCTCCACGGCAAGTCTTCTCGGGCGGTGGGGGTGAGCAGCCCGTCTTTCCCTGTGGCCAGTGGGTTAAAGCCCGCGGCTCCTCCTCCTCCGCGGCAGGTCTTCCCAGGCGGTGGGGGTGAGCAGTCCGTCTCTCCATGTGGCCAGCGGGTTAAAGCCCGTGGCTCCTCCTCCTCCGCGGCAGGTCTTCCCGGGCGGTGGGGGTGAGCAGTCTGTCTCTCTGTGTGGCCGGCAGGTTAAAGCCCACGGCTCCTCCTCCTCCGCACCGCCCCCCCTTGAGTAGCACAGCTCTCACCTGCACCGGGGGGGGGGGGGCGGAGCAGCGTGCGCAGAGCGCGTGCCGGCCAGGTGGTGCCACGTGGTGCAGGCGGGCCGGCAGCATCCCGGGCGTCAGGCACAAACACATTCGCTCTATAAGACGCACAGACATTTCCCCTTACTTTTGAGGGGGGAAAAGTGCATCTTAAAGAGCGAAAAATACAGTAATAACAATCTACAATTTTTCACGAGAGCAGAATTAACTACTGTATTTGCCACATCAGCTAGAGACAAACAATGCTATATTCTTCAAGTACATAGGAAAACATGAGAACAAAAGAGGGTTTCATAAAACTTAAAAGCAAGCCAACAAAGGGTCTTCTATACGCATAGGATATTTCTAACTACAATTACAACTGCAGAAAATTTTAGTATGAATTCAGCCTTTGCAAGATAAGTGCTAAGAGCCTGCCTACTTTACTATCAACAAAGCTGCAGCTTTTACAGCACATTTATTACATTTATTCTAATTACTGTTAATTACTGCTTAAATTATCAGCATTTGCATTATTCACATTCCAAGGCAATTGCTTTGTGATCCACGGCATTATACGTGCTGACAGAATTACTGTTTCTTCTGCAAGTTAGGAAATAATAAAGATTTGCTTTCTATGAACTCCTGCTTTGTAAAATATGATTTTTCCTTGCACTTACAGCTTAAGGATAATTCTACATAGAGTTATGCCAGCAGGAATACAACTACTAGACACAGCTCTATTTTTTAACATGCTTTTGAAAAAATATTGCTACTTTATTAACCATTACTTACTCTACCCATCTTTTAAAAAGTTTTCAAAAGCAAATTTCACCACAAGTCCCAAACTGGGGACAAAGGTTTATAAATACAGTCACCAGAAGTAACCCAAAATGTAACATTGGGGATTTTGTAATTTACACCATCACATTTAATAAATATATTTATTTAAATAGTCACCAAAATGCAGGAAAGATACAATGCCATTTTTAAAAAATGTGTTGAGCACATCATCAGTATAGGCTGCATGGGAATTGCTAGAAATGCATTTACAATCTACTGCTCACTCTTTGTAAAATCTCCTCTCTTTGCAGCAGACATAGGATCATGGTGCAGGCAAATACCTCAAATGCTTTTCCCTATAGCTAGACCCAGGTAAAGGGCTCTTTGTAACAGGGGCTTGGAGGAAATTCTTCCTTTATGCAGTTTAGCTCTGCATTCCCCTACCAAGCTAAGACCCAGACAAAGAGTCGTCACTGCAAACTGAAGTACATATACAAGGAGTACTGTGTCAAACTGTCTATTGCTTTCCTTCCTACAGAAGAAAGGGTTAGAGAACCATGTGCATTTTGCCCTTCAGCCCAAATACCACCTTAGCAAGGACTCAAAACATGATCTCCCACAGTATTTTCCTCCTCCTTCAGTATAGCAGAATTGCTATACTGTTCTTGCTAACTGGAAAGGAACAATTCAGCAACAGTGATTTCCCCTTTCTTTCTTCCTGCAAACCAGTTCCTGTGTTTACTTTTCCCTTTCTCCATGAACACTGCCATAATAAAAAGTTTTCTCTTCTTGACCCAGCATGCCTGGTTTATTCAGAACTTCATCTCCAAAATTTACTTGCACATTACAGCTTTAATACAACTAACACACACATTTGGGAATCACTCATATTATTCCTAGGATTTTGTGGAAGTCTTTTGTTTGGTAAGAAAGAATAACTTAATGCTTATGGTGCAACAGACATCATCCTGCAGTTAATTTTATACAGATAAATACCTTTGTTAGCTGTATCGTACTTGTTTCACAATTAGCAAATATTAATGAAGTCCCATTAATTCATTTGTATGAACATCCCCATCATTTTTGCTAAATGATCAGGTACTGTAATGAGAGTAGATAATACTAGACAAAATGGAGCATATATTTGCTCATCCATGTTCAAGAATTTTAAAATAATGATTTCTTAGGGAAGCAACCAGGATTTTGTTTCCCCAACCAAGTAAGGAATCTTCATTATGACTTTATTATCAGACTGTTTTACCAGCAACAACTGCAGTGTAAATTACCTTTGCTACCAATACGATTCTCTCTTCTTGTATTTAACTTCCTTTGAATACCTTGTGTCAGCAACGAGCTTTAAAAAAAAACCAGGGAGAAATTCCTTTAAATTGTACAAGTCAAATAAAGTGGTGCTGATAAAACTCCTACACAATGAGCTCTCATCTCCTATCAAACACATCTTAGGTTTAGGGGTTTATTATTTCCATTTTAGGCATATAGTATACATTCCTACGCACACTTAGCTGGGAGCAAGTCCCATCAAACAAAGTGGGTCTTACTTTTACTTCCTTTGCACAGGATGCACTGTGAGAAACACAGCACCTTGCTCAAGGACATCTAGTTTCACAATTGGTGGATTATTCACAAAATTACCTAAGCTCGAGGACTGGGTGTGTTGACACCAGATGTCAACCAGCATGTCACTAAAAAAAAGAAGAGGGGCAATTGTTGACTAGCAGCTCCAGGATTTTTGCTTTGCTTATGGTTGACTTCAAAATGGACTTCAAAATGGTCCATCAAACAGAAGACTATCCCCTGAAAGGGAGGACACCTGGCCACACACACCTCTTCTCAAATTTTCCTATAGGAGTAAAGGACAGAAAGTTGTGTAAATATGATCTCCTAATCCAAGCCATGCTTTACAAGACAGCCAAGAATGGTTCTATCTATATAAGAAAGTACATGAACAAAATTCAGAGATATTTAATATGGTCCTAAGCAGGTTTTCTGAGAGGGCTCTCCCCAGAGTTCGGTTGTGTTTGCATCTTGGTAAGACAGTGACAGATTCCAGAGGTAAACCAGACAATTACAGAAGCAAGAAAGAGAATATTCCAGTGTCTATGGACATACTAATCTTAAAGTTGCTATGCTTTGAACGAAACAAACTCACACAAATCCAGGAAAATTTTTAAAAGCGATACAATAGAATTCATGAAAAACTGCTATTCTCTAAAATAAAGCTTATGGATTTTCCCAAAATGTTCCCACATGGTATTTCAGCTATTATTTTTATTCAATCCTTGAAGTTCCAGAAAGTATGATTATAAATTATAAGAGCATAACAGGTATAATGGTCCTGTTCAGGTTTGCAGCCACTTCAGGGATGACCACAAATGCATTATTCACTACACTGTATAAGCTGAAGCTCAAATGCTGTTGAACTCAACAAATTCAGTGTTCTTCTATGATATTCTCTTGGGAAAACGCAAGGTATACAAAAATCATATAAAGCTGCAATCCTAAGCATATTTACTAAAGAGTAATATGATAGAGAGTCAGTTGACTCATAACAAGAAATCACCATGAGTGAACTTTCCCAGCAGTCATGGTGCCAGCTATCATTTCCATAATTCAAGCCATGGCAGGGTGCACCTTAGTTTGTTGTTATATATGAACTGGAAAGGGTGGGTTGGTTAAAAAAAGTTATGATATAAATTAATTTAATTTAAACATGTATATGCCGTACTTTGCAGCAGCCTCAGGATGGCTTACAAAAATCAACTATACTTAGTCAGGGGGCTAGCTCTGAAGGAGAGGTCACTGAAGAAATGAAAGAAAATGTGAATGGCAGTGCAATCCTATGCAAGTTCATTCATAAGCTTTACTCTCTCATGAATGGAATTGCTGAACGAATGAGATGGGATTGCAAGTAATTACAAGATCACATATAATCAACTTGGAATAGTCATTAACTACTGTTTGTTTGGTTACCACTTTACAGACATTTGAAGCAGCAATCATCAAGCTGGTACCCCCCCCCCCCCGCCCCATGTTTTGGATTACAATTCCCTGGTTTCCTGACTATAGACCATGCTGGTGGTGGCAGACAGAAACTTATATTCACAACATCTGTACAGCACCAACTTGGAGAAGCTAGTTTAAACTGTCCCTCTTTGGTGCATAGATCTACATTAAATATTAACAATAAACATTCACAAGAAGCACTTACTTCATATCAATCATATATGCATGTACATACACATGGCAAGATTTCTCAATCCAACATATAAAGGCATTGCAGGGAAGGGAGTTAGGAATAGGGTTGGGTGGAGAAGAGAAATTCCACCTATGCTCATGAATTAGAGCAAGAAATGGTAGACAAGGCCATATGGGTTTGGGCTTGGCTATCAGGTGTGCCTTGCAAATGATTCTGATCTGGTGGGTAGCAGCAAAACAGGTGCAGCCACGGAAGATACTGGTCGCTCTTGTTCTTGCTGCTGCTGCTATTATTATGGAAGCCTATCTGGGCTGTCGTCCCTCCATTTATTTTCAAACTTGCAATAGGGGGAGGAGTCTCAAAAAAGAAATGGTAAAGAGGCGGAAGGATGGGCAAGCAGACAAGCAATCAGGAAGAGACGGAAACACATAAGCAGAAGGAACTGTTTCAACAGCACTATACAGAGAAAGAGAACCAGGGAGGCCTCCATCCCACCTCCCGAGCCCTCGGAACCTCTCGCCGGGTCGGGGGTGGACAGGAGACTCCAACGGAAGCCCCCAGACCAAACCGGAGGAGCGCCGCACGCTGCCTTCGCATAACTCTTCCCGCATCCCAGCCCGGCACCAGCGCTTCCAGGACGACGAAGGCAGCGCGACCAGGGGGCGCCCGGGGAGAAGCGGCGGGGAAGACATCGGCAAAGAGGGTTACCTTGGCGTCCCGAGCCGGAAGAGCCCCGCCACCCAGCCACTCCAGAGAGAGCACTGACAGCTCCCGGCATGCAGCGCAACTTCCTGCCTCCGCCTCCTCTCTCCCCCTTCCCACTCTCCTCCTTGCGCCACAGCGCCACCTGCCGGACCCAGCAGCTACGCAGCGCAGTCTTGCCCGCAGCATCCTTTGCAGCTTGGAGAGCGCTCGCAAGAGATCGCATCTCTCATAATTATACTCACTTACCAGGGAGCAAGCCCCATTAAGTCAGGGGCACTTGGTTTTGAATAGATACCTACGCTTGCATAGTAATCCTTGCACTGGTCTGGAATTCGACTAAGATAATACTAGTAGCCCCAGTGTTGTATACAAAACAGAATGCCTGCTCCAAATTTTGGAGGCCCTGGGGTGACATCCCCTGAATGGGCCCTCTCCTTCAGCATGCCAACCTTCCCACCACCACTGTTGCCACCTGCCATCGGTCCTCATTCTCCTTCCCCTCATTGCGTCCACTTGCAATCTTGAGAAGCCGAGAACCAGGAGCAGCGGCATCTCCTCCTCCTTTGTCATTCCCACCATCATCTGGGCCCAAGCAGAGCCAGATGAACAAGCGGGTAGCCATGGGGAAGAAAGAGAGCCTTGTCAGTAGGCTGCTGCTGGAGCCTGACCGTGCCTGCTTTCAACACCAACCTTGTGTGTATTGATGCCTCACGTGTGAATCACTTCTTAGGGCCCCATTACAGTCTAGCTCAGCTTTCTGTAATCAGCCAAAGAGCTGTCTCTGTGTTAAGACACTCACATGGTAATTGGGAAAACGAAAGCTTTTCCTAATTGTTTGTCCCTTCCTGATTACTGATAATCAAAAAGCATGCTTGCTTCTCAATATGAGTGCAGTGCAAAATAGCCACGGTCAATGCATGAATAAATAAAATAACGAAGGTTGCACAGCTCTGTTCATATGCAGCAGAAGGACTACGTCTACAACTTACTTAGAACTAAGTGCCACTTAAATTGTTGCAATTTTCTTTTGAAAAAGCATATAGATATCACAAAACTTCACTGTTTTTAATCCTAAAAGGTGAGTAGCTTGTAATTTATTACACCACATTTACACCCTGCTTCTTTTCCTCCTGAAAGGAAATCAAGCAAGTTTACAGATTCTTACGCATTTCAAGACTAGCTTTTCGCTGCAAGCTAAAAAACATGGCTTCCTTCTGCAAATATATATACGAATTGCCTTAAGTCTTGTCATCCTACACAACACTTACATGAAAATAGATACAGAGGAATATAAGGGCTTACTTCTTGAGAGGTCTGCATAGGATTGCAAACCAGCAAAGTTGGCAAAGATTTAATTCCGAGTAATATGTACATATAGGATGGAACGGCTTCCATAAATAAATAAAGGCTCTCGATACGAGGTGATTGAAGGGGAGCGGGCCAAATAAATTCACAAACACAAATAAACACCTCGGTGCCAAACTGGTAAACCAACCAAACAACCAATTTCACTATACGGAACTCTTTCCTTAACTAAAGCACTCCTGAATCCACTTGATCCCAAATCGGGGAGAGGGATTAAGGATTCTTCTTCGGAACAACCAAAGCCTTTCAGATTCTAGCCTCAAGTTTATGGGCGCACAGGACGGCGCAGGCACATTTCCATCTCGAAAAGCGGAGGAACTAGCGGCTGAAACTCTCTGCTGGAGGCGACTGCCTGGCTGGAGGTGCAGAGGGCGCTGTGCAAAGGCACCAGCCTTTCCTAGCGGTGGCAGAGCTCAGGCGCTTCCTGGGCTGGACTGCGCGTTTCCTTTCCCACGTGTGTTCATTCGCCGGAGGATCTTGAATCTCGAGGCGGGCACTTGCTTGCTCTCGGCTCGACGCCTCCCTTCCAGACATTCCCGTGATGGACGGCGCAGTGTTCCTGGAGATCAGAGAGAGGACGCAGAGCGGTTTGCTGATCATCCGGTACTTCTTAACGGGTTGACCCATGGCATTCTACGATCCCATCCCATGATAAGGGATAGATGCATTAGTTACGCTTGCGTGCTGCCTTTCTTCCGTGGAAGGAGATCGACAAGACGGTCTCCAACTGATTCCCTATGCAGGAAATAGGGTCAGCTATAGCTTCAGCAATGTTGCTGCCCGTTTGGTCTTCAGAAGTTAGAAAGCTTGAATTGCATGTCGCTTCTGAGCGATCAAACTCTAAACCAAAATAATAGCAAGAGACACCCAGGGGCTTGTGAGAATTGAAAATGGGGCGAAGAGAGCAGTGTTTCTGGAATGAAAGACACACTAGAACTGGTAAAACCTTTTTGTATAAAGGGAAAATGTACTAATTTAGGATGGAGAAGTTAAGCTGCTGCAGTATTTTCTCATATGTTCTCATTTCTCTGCCATATATTCCCTGTGATTGCTGAAATGGTAGCAGCTTGTATTCAAACATATCTACAAGTCATACTCTTATTTTGGTCACATCCCTAATTCCAGATGCATGGGGTATTGTATTCTGAACATGCTTAAAGCTCACAGTGCTCTCTTTCTGTATGAGTTCTGGTAATAAAAGCAGGAACTGCAGACAAGCCCCAGTGAACCCTGGATCAAATTAAGGCGTATTTATCAGTATGGCATGCAAGCTGCAGTTCTTAATGTATTAAAGCCTCTATCCTCTGCATCTTTGGCCCTAAACTCACAGTATCCCTCAGCCGACCCATGGGATTTTTAACCTTTAACCCTTTTGCTGTAGGACCACATCTGAAAGGATTGCTTGCCAAAAGTTGTTGAATTTGGGCTGACAACAGAAGGTTGCTCATCCTTGCTAGTCACACATACTGGTGATTCTAATTTTGAGGATGCATGCTTAGTTCACTGCCCCCATATTCATCATCCCCCGCCCCTTCAACAGCATCACCAGTAATGCAGGGGACAGGAATTTACATTAATGATGCTAAATCTTTTTACACAAAACACGTATGAACAGGGACATGTACAAACCCTGAAGTTGGCAAATCCTACTAGAAACTTTTCCCTCCAAAATATCATTGTTTCCTGCTTTACACAGCTGTAAACATCTTTGTTGAAAAGTGACCTGCAGATCTTACAATACTAATGACATCTTCATACACCTGAGTTCCAGTCCACACAATTGTATTTATTTACTAATTTATATCCTACCTTTTTCTTTTTTCAAAGAACTCAAAACATCATTCTCCTTCTCCCTCACTCTTATCCCCACAACACCCCTGTGAGGTAGGCTGGGCTGAGAGTCTGTGATTGTCCCAAAGTTACCCAGTTGGTTCCATGGCTGAGCAGGGACTAAAACACAGATCGCCTGAGTCCCAGGCCCATGCTGTTAACCATTACACCCCACTGGCTCTCAGAACAAATTGGCTAGGTGCTAACTGGTACCTTTTGCTACCTTGTCCTTGAAGTATAGGGCACAGGTGCAGAACCTCTTTTAGCCTGAAGGTCCAATTCTATTTTGGAGGAAAGTTCAGGAACTGCAGTCCAGGTATGGGTTAGGGTTAGACCAAGAGCAAAAGGGACAAAGCCAAAATTACCAGGAACACCAGAAATGTTAGCATATTTTACTTTAAAGCACTTTCTGCCAGTAATTCAGTCCAATGAGCGTGCTCTGCCTGCTGCAGTGGCCTGAAGGTTCTTTGGAATCTCAGGGAAAGCAAATGCTGGGGCTGGGTTTGCTTACAAGGAGGTATACTGAGTGAACTGAAGAGCTTACAATGATAGCATGTTCTCAATAATCAGTCAGCAAAACCAGCAAAGCCTGCTGCTTTGAGCAAGATACCTGAGTAAAGAGAGGGTTGAGCCAAGCACCTGGTTATCCTCTCTTTGCTGCTGATGGCATGAAGCCTTGCAATCTACCTCTAGCAAAAACAACATGAAAGTTGCTCCCCCTAGCAAGTCCAGCTGTAGCTAAGCAAGCTGCTGACAAGCAGGACTACAGAAGGGATGGCAGATTGCCACAGGCACATCTAGCTGAAGTGCAAGCTAGTTGGGTGGGATGCAGGCTCTCTTATGGTCTAATAGCAAACACCTGCTCATCAATTGGTGTTGATATTAGGAGGTATCCTTTGTCCATTTTCTCTGCTGAGCCAGTTAGGTTGGAGGTTTTGTTCACCAAAATGGAAGTGATCCATGGCCTGTAGAAAGTTATTCTATCTTTTAGAGGGGGCTAGGGATCTCCACAAAAGCCAAGAGGGTACCTAAATTATTAATGGTTGAAGGAAAAGGGAAGGGGTAAATGAAAGTGGATGAAGTTGGGATTTGGGTACCAAGTTCTGTAATCCTGGCATAGAAATTTACAATACAATCCTAAACAGATTTACCATGTTAGTGCCATTCAAATAAATTATTTCTTTTATCCATGTATTTATACTATTTGTATTCTATTCTCTAGTTCTAGGGAGAGTCTAGAGTAGTGAATAGTAAAGAGATAAAGCAGATAAAAGAAAAAAACAGATCAATTAAAAAAAAGGTACCATTAAGACTATGGCTTGTCTGCTAGATAGTTTCTTGGAAAAATGGTATGTTCAGCAGGTGCTAGAAATATACCCTCTAGAGGCAGGGAAGTCCACCATACTGAAGATTCTTCTCCTGTTATTACTACATTGCATATTAACCCTCCCCCTTTTTCCCTCTTTAACTTTACATAATTCCCATCTCTGTGTTTAGCTTCACAAAACAATCCTGTGAGGTAGGTTAGACTGAGAGTGAGTTACTGGCTCAAAGTCACCCAGTAAGATCCATGGCCGACTGAGGACTAGAATTCAGACTTTCTTGGTTCCCAGTCCCACACTCTAGCCATGGTGCCATTCTGATTCCTGCAAGAGTCAGGCTTCTGCCTTTCCTTTATGCTTCTCATCAGTTCAACATCCTGCATCTCTCCAAAAGTACAAGGCTGCAGTGAGAAATAAGAATTGCCCTCCTTTGCGAGTGGTGTAAGTTTACAGCATTTGCAGTTCCTCTCTCCTATTGCAGCCTGATTTCACCCACTGATATTATTAGTATTGTAATCTCTTCATTGCATAGGCTGCTATCTTTTTTTCAATTTGCATTGTAAATATATGTAAAGAGAAATAGGTAAAAATAATAGATTTTTCAGATTTTCCCAGCTCTGTCAACTTATTACAGTGTTCTTGCATGTAGAGGATAAATGCTCTCTTTGAATTATTTTTAGTCAATTAAAGCCGGAAAGCTGGCCTGCTGATATTACAGTGCTGCCATCATTGCTAGAGCTAAAGAGTGGCGGAGGCTCCAAGTCAATCCCCCTTCCACCAGAGGTCAGGATTGTTCCTTCTTCCTGCCGAGGACTACAATATGTGCCTGGGGATGGCTTACATATGAGACTGCGCGTTCAAGCAGATTGCAGTAAAAGTAAGACGGACTTGCTTTTATTTTTGGTTAGTTATGTGTTGTCTCCTTCAGAGTTAGCTTCTTGTAAAGAAAGTCGGTCATACTGTGAAGAATTAAGCTGCAATTCAACTGAACAGTGTAGGACTGAGGAAGGTTTAACTTTTAGCTGCAAGATTGGTTTAATCAGATTTCATACAGTGAACTGCTGCCTCTTCTTTCTTTTGCTTGCCTCTGAATTTTTTAAAATTCTTACTTGGATTTTATTGGATTTACTCCCTGTGCTGTGCTGTGCTGAATGTCATTAACAGTCTTGCTTCACAGGAAAATGAACACAGGGCAAGAGAGTATCACTGCATGAAAATAGCAGCTTTGTAGCAGCTTCTGTGTTTTTTGAAACATCTGCACTTTTGTTCTCTGTCTTATTTAAGAAATGCAGTTGTTTGGTTTACTGGTTCACAATGCCTGAAATCAATGCCCATAGTGCAAACATGGGTCAACTGTACATACTTGCAAGAAAACACCTACCATTTACCTGAGCTGAGGGTTTTTTTCTAAGCAAGTATACAACTGCTCTGTAATTGGCATGATATGTGGGCTATATATTGTTGGTGCAAAGGTATAGTGTCATGGGGAAATACTCCATATTGGCCCTTCACCTCTGTGGTTGTGTTGTGCCAGGAAACAGAACCCACTGTGGTTGCAATAGCAAGCTGGCACTTCCTAGGGCAGTCCCTGAAACGAAAAGAAACACTCAGTGAGCTCCATGGTTCTGTTCCATTCTGGAAGCCTGCCTTCTGGCTTGTTGCTAGTTGTGTCCTGTTGCATCAGAATGGGCCTGCTGGCACGTGGCAATGTTGGATACTGCCCATGATGCTGCTTTTAAAAATCTCAATAAAGTGGTTCTTTATTCCGACTTGGCTGCCATAAGTGCCTTGCCTTGAGTGGGTTATATCCTTAAAGACAGCCTCAACATATTTTAAATAAGAGCTCCACTGGATCAGGCCACATCTGTGTTATGACCTTGCTAGATGGCCATTATTAAGTCAGTTTTAGACTGTTAAATATTATGTGGATGTAATAATACTGGTCTACCTTACAGAACCATTGTGTCACTACTCATAAGGAATCATTTGATCACTGGAAATATGCTGCATACATTTTGGAAATATACTACTTAATTTTCATTTTTTTCCCTGTGAATGCTGTACTATGCAAGATGTTTTCAGGTGTTAATAGGATTACTGTTCATGTTACTTTCTATTACTTTACATTTAGCCAGTGTAGTAGTTGGAATGTTGGACTGCGGATCTAGAAGTTCTGGGTTCTAGTCCCCTCTTGGCCATGACATTTGCTGGGTGACCTTGGTCCAGTTGTTCTCCTCCTAAGCTACATTACAGGGCTTTTGTTGTGAGGATAAGATGGAGCTATGTAAGCATCCTTGGGTTCCTCACTGGAGGGGAAAAAGCAGTAGATAATGGAATGGAATAATAACAGTGCATAGCCTGCCTTTCTTCCTCTTGCAAAGAACCCAAGGCAGCTGACAAAGTTCTCTTCCTCTCCATTGTATCATCACCACAACAGTCCTGTTGTTGAGAATCCACTGGCACAAAGTCATCCAGTGCTTGAGTGGGGATGGATCTTTGATCTTCCAAAACCCAGTCCAGCATGAATTATTGTGTCATACTGGCTGTCTATGCTGCCAATATTTGATTTTTGTTGTTTAAAGTAATAAGAGTTGTGTTCATTGATATCATTTTAGAACTGATGCCATCTGTTCACAAGAGCCTTAAATCTAAGATGAGTTGCACTCTTTATTGTCAGTCTTGTGGCAACAGTATAATACCTGGTTGGTAAGTGTTGTGCTCTATTACTTCTTCTGTGGGTGAATGTAATTTGCGTTGTGCTCGTGCTAAAGCACATCTGGGAGGCATGGGATTGGGGAATCCTGACCTGAGAGCACCCTGAGCTCTAGAACAACCCACCATATTGACCTGGCCTGGAGGCAGAACATGTAACTGCAGAGGTATAGATGACTCACCCCCCACCCCCCAAGGGAGCCTGTGATCCCCCAGTATGTGCCGTATCTAGTATGGTTACAATAATTTGTGCTCGCCTTTTCCCTTACCCCAATGTTATTTTTTTAAACCATGTTTTATTTCTTCCAGCTTTTTTATTTGTTTATTTTGTGTGCTTAATTATTAAATTCTGCCTCTGATAGTATTGGGCTAAAGAATGAGATATTCACATTTCTAAATATAACATCAAACTGAAGTTAGATTTGTTCATTGTCTTGGGCTTTAAAAAATTGGCCCCAATAAATATATTTATGACAGTAATCTGCTGCTGAGTAACAAGAGTTCTCTGGGTATCTGTTTTGGATTTTTAACAATGGGCAGCAGGGCAATCTACAGTGGAGTGGTGTTGTCAGCTGTGTTTCTGCACAATGTTTGATTTTTCAGTAGCAGGAAAGAGAGTCTTCCCGACCCCTTCTTCCCCAGTTTCTTGGTTAGGAGGCCATGGAAAGTTTTTTCTTAATCGGAAGCTACAGAGAACTTGTAGTGTTATGGTGGTTAATCAGGGACCATCTGTTTTTGATGCTGAAAGAGATTGTGAAAAAGCATGGCTGTTGAGCAGCTGTGAGGCCGTAATACCTGGCTGGTGATCTTTGTTCTGCTTGGTCAGCTGCAGTGTATGCAGGCTACTTTTATGCATAACACATTGGAAAAATGCTTTTCATGGTGTTGCTTTTGCCATTCAGTGGCTTTCAAGATCTGAGCAGGGTGGCATTTAAATTAATTTTCCTCAGCTAACTTTTTCTGGCATTGACCCTTCCCCATTAATCCCAAATATCACTGCACATTTGCTTTATAGGTACACTGAAAAATGAAATGCAGAAAGTGTCATCTATGTAAGCTTCAGTTTATTGCATTACATTTTGTGTTGAAGTATTAATTTTATGACATACATGAAAGACTTGGTACAGTGTGCTCAGAAAATGTGCCGATGCTTTAAGTTTTAGCAGAATCATGAGATCAAGCTTTGTTTCATTCTATTTATTACAGCAACTAATCTGTATATGCTTTTTGTAAAAAAAAAAAAAAAAAAAAGTCTTGTAGAAATAGGAACAGAAGTGAATACATAAAAGGCCCTGCAATTAATGTTTTGAGAGGGGTTTCTTGCAGCTTTTGAAAAGGATTTGTTAGTAGGCTCGTGGTATACGTTCCTAAGCCTTAGCTCATCTGATTTGTGTCATGAGCATTCACATAATAAGTTGGCAAGATTGGGCAGTGGACATCCTGGATTTCTCCTGAATACACCTGACTATTTACCAATTAATCTTCTTGCCAGGTTTTTGCATGCCATTTGAGACATTATATCAGGTCTGTGTGTGATTTCAGACCATATGAAACTGTCCTTCTTGAACAATATGCCCATCATTCACTAAACTACAAATATCGATGTGTTCAGAAACATTGCATTACACAATTTGCTGTAGTCTCTGCTATGGTCACTGGATGTCTGAAGACCCAGTAGTTTTACCTTTAGAGTGGGGTAGGGAACATGTGATCTCTAGATGTCTTGGTCTTCAGTTCACTGCTTCCTTCATTAATGGTGGTATTGTCGAGTGTTGATAGGAATTGTAGATACAAACATCTGGAAATACGTGAATTATTCACTCCTGTGTCAGAGTGTGATGCAAGTCTTTGGGTGGCTTTGCCCATCTATTAAACCACACTGTGAGTAGGCCACAATGAAGTTGTTGTTTCCTAAGCAACCCATGGCATAGCCAAGAGAAAGCTGGGATTGCCATCGTTTGTTCTCTCCTTCTATCTTGCCTCATTGCTCTAATACCCTCCCTGTTCCAATTGTGACTCCTTATTTTTCTGGTGCTTGAGAGTATGCAGATTTGTGTGTGTCTGTCTATATATAAATTATTTAAATTTTATAAAATGTTATATAATTTTTAATTGATTTATTTTTACAATCTTTCAACAAAACCAATCAGCCAAAAGCTACTGAGAATATAAAACAAGTGCATAAACACAAACACACACATACAGAAAAAGGGGGGGAAATGCAGCCCCACATTGGACTCAGTGTCCCCTTCCCATTTCGCACTTGTTCAAGTCTCTAGAAAGTGTGGAAAAGGGAGGCACGGGTCCTCCTCCCTTTCCACAATTGTTATTGCATCTAACAATAGCCTGCCCCCTAATGCCATATCTTCTAGCTCTGCAATAGTTCCTGTAGCTTTGCTTCTTATACATTAAATCTGGACAAATGTTCCTGACAGTGTTTATATGTTAAATAAAGGCCTCTTGCACACTAGTGGAATGGTATACAAAAAATGGGGCAGCCTCACCAGCTGTACTTACACCACCATCCTGCCAAGGCCCCCTACCTCTCTGTCCTATGCAACCATCTTCTCAGTTTGTTTTGGACTATCAGGGAGATTCACACACATCAGTTGACACATAGTAGCCCTAGCAGTAGCTGCCCTGAAAATATCTCAGGATTCACCTCCAGAGATGGAAGAAAATGAGCCCTGAATTATTATTTTTTAAGGAACAAGATTGCCAAATGTGTTTTTGCCTCTGCAGCTGTTTCAAAGGAAAAGTCTTTTCCATCCCTGCTAATGCCATTGCCCCCAAATGAAACATCCACTTGTCTTCTCTGTGCTTTCAGTGTTATCTGACTTGCACAAATACTGCCTCAGTATTCCTGGAAAATGCTCTGGGAAATGGGCCATCTGTGGCCGGAGCACCCTGGAGGATCCGCCAGAGTGTCAATGGGCAATCTGCACAAACTCACCACTGCCACTTCTCATGTGTGCAGTTCTGCACATCTGTAGCGGGTCAGGTTCAGTGTAATGTCAGTTCCTGCTTTTTCACCCGAAGGACAATGGACACAACTGAAGTCAAAGCAGCACCGTCACAACAACTGCCCTTCTCTTTGCTCTGTCTTAGGACATTTCTTCGGGTTCTCTCCCTTCCTGATGAGAACTGGAGTGATTTGGTGGAGGAATGGTGTTGTCATGCCAACCCCTTCCATGAGAGCCTGCTTCACCCACAAAATGGCGACTGTTTTCTTGCACACAATTACTTCCTGGTCAATTCAGGAGAAGAGTTGACTGGGCCAGGAGCTGAAGTCCTTCCCCCGGAGTCTCAGGATGCTGGTTCTCCCAGTAGCAGTTGTATTTCGGTGAGTACAGTGGGTGGGGAACAACAAATAACCCTGAACACTATCTTCCTTTTCCTCCTCTCATCTGGGAGAATGCATGTTTTGGGGGGCATAAGGGCACAGGCTCCTGCCCTGATGTCCCTGCTTAAAACAGGCCCTCTACAGCAGGATTCCTTAACCTTATGGCCACCAGTTGGATACAACTCCCATCATTCCAAGTCAGCATTGGAGTTGCATTCCAGCATACCTGGAGGCATCAAATTGGGCAATTGCTCTAGATTTTCTTGAACTCCAGCTCCCCTCAGCCCCAGCCAGATTGCTGGAAGTCGCAGTCAGTCAACATCTGGAGGAATGCAGGTAGCCGGACCCTGAGTTAAAAGGATTACATTAGCACTGCTGGCAAAAGGCTTCTACCAGCTACCTTTGGGCATGGGAGAGAATGCTGGCCAAGAAGGGCCAGTTGTCTAGTTCAGAAAGCCCTTTCAGAGATCGCTGGTTGCTGGTTTACCTGCACGTAGCTCTATCGCAGAATGCAAATCGGAAGCTATTTAAAATGTCTCCTCCTCCCATGCTAATCTTGTGGGAGTTTACTTTGATCTGAGCTGCAACTATGTATCTTAGAAACTTCTGTCTGCATATGGAGAGCGTCTTGGCATTGGCCTAAACACAACAAAGTAATACTTCCATTTGTGTAACTTGTAATAAAGCATAAGACTAAAGAGTGCTCCGCGGAGCTAGGTTTAACAAGCCTTTGCCTTAGGCAGGGGCTGTGGTTCAGTGCTTGATGCCCTGGAGAACTGTTGCTATTGGTCCGTGTTGACAGTTCTGAGCTAGATGGACCAGTACCTGGACACAGCACAGGGCAGCTTCCAGGCTTCCTATGAGGGTTAGCGGAAATCTTTCAATATTCAGTTTATTTATTTCAAACATCCACACATTTGCATCTTACTTTTTAGCCCCAAGAAAGGCCAGATCTTTACAATTATTATTACCTTGCATTTACATCCCATCTTTCTTTCTCTTCTGACTTGCATACTTTATTTTATCCTCACAACAACCCTGTGAGGTAGCTTAGGCTGAGAGTGAGTGACTGGCCAAAGTCACCCAGAGAGCTTCATGGCAGGGTGGGCACAAAAGCTGGAATTTCCAGATTCCCCAGTCAAATAATCCAACCACACTGGCTGTCAACAACCTACAACAAATTAGTGAACTAGAACAAATTTTTAAGTGTTCATTAAAACCAGAAGGAGAATAAAGCACTAATTGAAGCAGCAAGAGGCCTTTTCCTCAGCTTCTGAGGACTTCCTTTGCACTCCCAACTTTTAAAATATTTGTGCTACCATTAGAAATCCGTAATTTCCAATAGCTTGTAGGAAAAAAGTGATGTGTCTATTACTGGATAATTGTATGGGTAAGCAGTAACTCCCCGTTGAAACAACCATCACACAGAGAGTGCTCCTGACCAAATTCTCTGTAGCACTTGCCACATTATTAGAGTGGTTTATCCATCATATTTACCCTACTGGTCATATCTGCTAAATTGGCCCTGAGGGTAGCTGATCCTGCCCTGCAGTTTTGCTTCCTTTCTCTGACCTCAGCAATGCCCCTAGCCTCCAAATTGTCATTTAACACATTTTTAAGCACATTGGGGTCACACAGAATTCTAGCAGTTATCTCTGGGGGAAAATAGTTTTCCCAGATATTATCAAGATCCTTTTGGAGTGGACATGTGAAAACATATTAAGAGTGTGCAGATGGCCAGCAGCTGAAAGTTGTCACACAAGATGCATTGGTTTAATTTGTGTAGCAGGAAGTATTGCCACTTTGTTTGAAGTCAGTGAAAACATGGTGTCACAGCACATGGTGTTCTGCTATTCCAGATAGTTTTAAACTAGGGGGAAATGCATTGGAAGGTGATGTTGCAGCAGAACTTTGTGAACATCACTTCTGTATACAGGATCTGAAAAGAGATTTTGTCCACTCCCTGCTTTTCCCCCATATAATCTTGCACGCAAATAATGCAGATGCGCTGAGGTCTGGCTCCATCCTGTATGCAACTTCCATAGAGCTGCAGTATAGGAATACTAATGCCAGCCCATCTTTAAGAGTTATTGAAATAATATATCAAGTTATTTTAATACTTAAGTACTGTATACTGCTAGATACTTGCTTGTTTCATTTTTATACTGCTCAGTAGCCTGAAGGCTTCTGGGCAGTTTACAAAGTTACAAACCAGTTATAAAACAGACAGCATATAACAATAAGGCAAAGCCACTAAAAAGCCAGCACAACAACAAGCCCACCACTGCCATAATCAGATTGGATCACAGGCACAGCAGTTATATAAAATACAATATTAAAATTAGAATTCAACTATTAAAATACCTGGAGAATAAAAAGGTTTTCACCTGGCATCAAAAAGAGAGAAGGGTAGGGATCAGTCATACTTCTCTGAGGAGCTCATTCCATAAATGGGGTGCCACAACTGAAAAGACCCTTCTGGTCACCACACTCCATACTTTCATCGGAGCGGACTCCTTAAGAAGGATCCCAGAAGATGATCCTAAGGCCTTCTATATATGGGATGAGGCGCTTCTTCAGATAACCTGGTCCCAAGTCATATAGGACCAAATGTTAATACTAGCACTTTGAATTCGGCCCAGACTTCAGCTGGGAGTCAGTGCAGCTGAAAAAGGATTGGCATAACATGATCTCATGGGCCAGTCCTTAGCAACAGCTGTGCTGCTCTATTTTGAATCAGTTGAAGTTTCTGGCCCATGTAAAGGGCATTACAATAATCTCTCATTTGGACTATCAGAGCACAGATTACTGCAACTAGCCTCTGTCTGTCTAGATAAGGTCATTGTTAGCATCTCAGCCCAAGCTGATCAAAGGTGCTCCATGCTACTGAGTCCACTTGAGACTCAAGCCACAGTTCTGGATCCTGGAGCACCCGCAAACTCTGATCATCCTCCTCCTGCCCAGTCAAGAAAACCAAATCGAGAGTGTGTCCTTTTACGTGTGTCAGGCTAGTAACATGTTGAAAGCGTCCCATAATTGTCACGGTGTTTATGGCATCCCGATACAGACAAAGCAGCCTTGGCATGGAAGTCGAGATCACCCAGAATCATCATCCCGGAGTCCTCAACTCCAGGTCCAAGACCACCTCTCCCAGCTCAGGCAGGGTGGGCAGTTCTCCAGCAGAATCCCTAGTCTGTCCCCAGTACCCAGCACAGGTTACAAACACTCAAGACCTGCACCCGAGTGAGCAGAAAGTCTAGGGAAGGAGATCACATTCCTATAGACCATGGCCACTCCCTCTTCCCGATCCACAAGGCAATGTTAGTACTGCACTGAGTACCGTGGCAGGCCCAGCTGAGTGTGACCCCTCTCGTTTCACCCACCCAGTCTCATTGATAAAAACCACGTTGGCTCCCTCATACATAGTTAAGCCGTTAATGAGGGGGGATCTTATTTTGGTTGGACCTGGCATTTAACAACAGCTGGTACCCTGAGGGTAAGCTGGTTAAGGGGAGCACCAGAAGAGAGAGCAGCAGTAAGATATCTGCCCTCCTTCATTGGCTTGTTGATCACCTGACGTCATACTGCCCCCTACCTCTGACCACATTAATGGGAGAATCCCCTTGCTCCCCAAAGACCCCAACAGCAATAACAATTACTACGTATTTTTTCCTCATGTATGGAGCTCTAGATTTGTGATCATTTTGTGTTGCAATTGCCAGTACTTTTTCTACTCTGTCAGGTATGAGAGTGAAATTCATGCATTGTGTAAGCAATTCATGTTTAACCAACGAAAAACTATACTCCCATTTCTCTGCAAATGAATCTTCATCTGATGTTTGCAATGTATCTAACAATGAGCCCTCATATTCTCTATTTGGACTGCCTGTCACAGACTGTAACAGAGCTGGAACCAGGTGGAACAAATTTTAAACATTGACTCCTATGATAGTTTTTGTGGAACAGTAATAACCCTCCTTAATGTGGTCATGGTAACAGTTGGAATTGGAAATGAAGCCATTTGTTTGGGGATGGAGAATAAAACCAGAAGAAAATTGTCCAGTGGTTCTAATTCTTTGTATAGACTGCGGCATAATTTACTTAACGGTCCTCCCTCCACCCCTAATTTTCTAAAGAGATTTCAATGTTGTTTCTTTGCCCTACAGAATTCAAAGACAGATAGCAGAATAATTTGCAAGCGCTGCAAGACATTGTTGGGAGAGGTTATGTCCTCAGGTACGAAATTTGAGAAAGAATGTAAAAACTAAATCTTGGTAGGCTGCTTTTGCCAGAGCCTGCTAGAGCATGGTGCATGCCTGTGCGTGTTTGTGTGTGTAAGATTTAAGCATCTTTTAATGCAGCTTAGGTTCTTTCCCTCAGAATGTTACTTATATATCTAATTAGGTGTCCACAAATTATGTTTGGGCTTAGTAAACAAATTCTGCTAGCCATCAAGACGACAGAAAAAGTGTTCTGAACACATGCAACTTGCTTTCCATCAGGGAAGAGAAGTTTGCTCCTACCATAGCATTAAGGCAAAAGGGGACATTGTCCTCCATAGGCCTGAGTCCCTTGCAGGTCCTTTCCCCATATTAAGTAGTGTCTCTACTCTCCAGACAAACTTCAGCATAGCATGGAAAACATCAGCTTAAACTAGGGGGCAGTTCTTCTCTCTTCCAACAAAGCAGCTCCAGACTTTTCTCCTTTTCTGCCATAGTTCCTTCACAATCTCCAGAGAACAAAACAGAGGCCCCTTTTCCTTTCTGGTGGGAAAGAGGGAAGTAGGAGAGAAGCCAGTTGCAAATCAGGCTGGGCAAGGGAAAAAGGTTGAAGGAAATAAAGAGGGGAATTGAAATAGCTGCCTGCTTTTTTCTAACCAGGCAGTTGATCCATTTAGACATTCTTTAAACAACTTCTCGATAGAGTAAAGTGGCACAGGTGCTAGATGACTAGACGAGTGAGGGGTTGCACAGGCTCTTTAGGGACTGTTGCTATAGAAACAGAGACACAGGGAGAAACACTGGTGAGGGTGAAACTGGGAATGATGAGGCAAGTCACCTCGCCATCCCTGGTCAGACCACCAACTACATTTCAGTTTTCTCAGAAAGGAAGGAGAAGGGGAGAAAAAGGTTGTTGCGCAGAACTGGAGAACACAGTTGTCTTCCAAAATGTACTCCAGGATTTTCTGGCAGCATAACTTAGGTGCTGTAATGCATCTTTACTCCCTGAGCATTTTTGCTTTTCTAGCTTTCTGGCCTGTTGGACAGCGAGTTTGCTGAAGGCTGAAAAGCTCTTGGGAAACACAATTTACATCTTTTTTTAATGGCCCCTGCTGCTGCTGTGCTTTGAACAGCAGTCTGACGAACAGATTTAGCAGGTAAAGATTTTCCTTATCACTGTGCCATGAAAAGGCTTGCAATGAGGTCTGGTAGAAGTGATGACATCCATTTTTATCAGCCTTGTGTAATAGAGCAAAACGTATGACATCGGATGATCCCTGCTTGAACCAAATGAAAGGCCCATCTTGTCCAGTACCCGCTTTCCCATGGTGGCCAGCTGCATATCCCAGCAGGAAATCTTTTAAGCAAGACTTGCATAATAACTCTTCCTGTCGTTGCTTCCCAACACCAATTATGCAAGGTGTATAGAGAATGCATCAGGATGTTTTCTCCCTGTCTCCTAATGTGATGATCTGGGGTCATCCCTTGAAGCTGAATGAGAATAGTTCAGGACTGGTAAAACGAAGCCCTCCTTATAGTACTTAGGTTTGACAAAGTGGTTAGAAGATTGGACTGGAACTCAGGAGATCTGGGTTCTAGTCCCCACTCAGCCCTGCAGCTCATTGTGTGGCGTTGGGCCCATCACACAGATTCTCAGTCTAAGCTACGCAGAGGAGGAGAGCCATGCAATCTGCAGTGGGTTTCTTGCAAGAGAAGAAAAGAGGTGTATAAAAGCAATCATGTGGTGGCAGTATAGATAAACTACAGAATTCTCTACCACGAAATGTAGTGATGGCCATTAAATTGGGTGGCTTTAAAAGGGGATTGGACAAATTCATGCAGGAGAAGGCTATCTTTGAGGAATGATGATGGCTGTGTGTCGCCTTCTCTATTGAAAGCAGTGTGCCTGGGCAACATGGGTGGGAGGATGCTGACGCTCTGATGACCTATTATTATTATTATTATTATTATTATTATTATTATTATTAGAACATTTCTATGCCGCCCCTTGCTGAAGCCTATTTGTGGGCTTCACAGAGGTGGCTGGTTGGCCACTGTGTAAATGGAAGTTTGGACTAGTGGGATACTTGTTTTGATTCAGCAGGGCTATCTTATATTCTTAACTTACTTCTGAATCCTTTCCATGTTTAGATCAAGAAAGTCCTACTGCTCCCAGCATTAGCCAACCAGGCTTGCTGACTGGGAAGTACTGGGAGTTGCAGGACTTTTTTTTCTGTACAAGCATGCAGAGGATTGCACCCTTAGTCACTGTGATGAATTATAGGTTGGCAAACACAAATCCCTTGATCTTGGTGAAAAGTGATGCTTCTCAGCAGGCTCAGAATCATCATTTCAGGTTCTGAGGCCCAGCTGGTGAAATAGCTAGCTGGGCAGGTGCTCTGTTGCTCCTGCTCAGTGCCGGTTGCCTTCACTTTCCAAATGATAACAGTTGGAAAGTTCTGCTAATAAATAGCCTGGAAAAACATGCAGGAAATGAAGGTTGAAAAGCAAGTGCCATTTTGACATATGATCCAGATCATTCTGACTCCCCAAAATGGTTGTAGGTTTTTGAGCATGCATGGGATACACATTTCATGCATTCTCCCTCAGCCCATTTAGATACTTCTCCTCTTCCCAGTTTCTTGTAGTTGGCATCAGGTTTACGTAACTCTTTGTGCCATTATCATGATCCAGTAAGACTTACGTTGGTTCATTGTGAGTTAATATAATATAAAGATACTTATTTAATTTTATTTTTATCTTGCTTCTAGGTGTCGCAAAGTACTATTTCACTGAACTATTTGTTCAGCCATCTGAAGATGTTATCAACATGATACCAAGGTGTTAATGCAATTTGCACATTTATATTAAAATGTTCCTCATTAACCATCTAAAGCCAATGATGTTGGACTGTAGCTCCCATGATTCCTCACTATTTACTATTCTGACTAGGGCCAATGGGAGTTGCAGTATAGAGAGTCACACATTCCCTACCTACCCCATTCTTAAGGTTTGTGGTACGTTGTAGTAATTAAACCTCAGTCCTGTATCCAGGAGTAATTACCTGGTAGTAAGCCTAACTGAAATAAATGGACATGACTTTGGCGTAGACATGTATAGAATTGTACTGCAATCACACAGTCCTGTGCAAGTTTAGACAGAAAGGCCTTCAACTCCCACTGGCTGGAGCATTCTAAGAACTGTAGGCTTTTTCTATCTAAATTTGCATAGGATTGTGCCTTAAGGTTGCATTTTGCATTTTCTCTAAAATGTGGCATTACTGAAGAGAATCATTAAAGTCAAAGCTTATTTGAATCTTATCACTTGTTTAGATGACTCATACGACTGATTAAGGGATGCCAATTTCATTGTTCCCCAGTGACCAAGAGATAAAGCAATCTAGAGGTAGTATATTTCTTCCTAATAGGAAGAAATATTCATACCATTCCTTATTCATTTACTGCATTTGCATAATGTTCCACATCTAGACAAATTCCAAGGCAGTGAACATTAAAACAGATAAAAGAACAAAAACAATGCATTAAAAACAGAATAGTATTAAAACTTTGGTCAGCAAGAAAGGCTTCCTAGAACAAACATGTCTTCAGCAGGCACTGGAAACAACATAGTTTTGGAACCTCCAGAGACAGGGAATTCCTTAGAAGTGGAGCTGCTATGTTGAAGGTTCTTCTATTGGACTCCAACTGTAGGTCCATGTGGAACCTCTAGGAGAGGATGAGTAGTGTCCTAGTTCCAAGTTGTTTAGTATTTTCTACACTACTGCCAGAAACTTAAATTTGGCCTAGTAGTAAGAGTTCCTACATGTTCTTCCTTGAACTGAAAGTTCAGTTCAGGATTCTAGCTGTATCAGATTATGTTTGGATAGTCCATCTGTTCAGCAGAAGGACAGATGAGAGTAGGTGGAATCCCCTGCTTTGCTTGTTTCCCTAAATCAACCCAACATGATACCTTCTGAGTACAGATCCCATCATCAACTACCAGGGTCGTTTGGCCTGCTTGCTTGGGATGATGGACATTCTAGTCAAATGTGTCTGAGAGCTGACACATTGGCAAAGGCTGCTCTTGGGATGGTGGGAAGGGATGGTATTGAAGAAGGTCTGACAGACTGTTAGTGCACTGCTGAACCACTTACATTAAACTCCTGATGGTCAGGACTTTCCTTTTACATATGTATTCTTCTTGCTGGAGCAGAATTATTGGGCCTTGCAAACCTCAACCCTTCTCTTCAAATAGCATGTTTAATCATTGTAATTCATCTGTTATAATTTTTTACTATGTTCTGCCTTTTTTACTACCACCCTGAGAACCATCAGCTGGAGCCCAATGTTAAAGACAGACACTCAAAATTAAAGCGTCCTGAGGCTAGGAATTTGTTTTCAGTAACAGAACTGAACTTGAGCTCTCACTGCTTTCCACAAAAAGCTGCTCCTCATTAGCAGGCCAAATCGCAGAGCCAGAGGTATAGATGTCACTGTTAAACACTTGAGAAATCCCGATCACCCCAAAAGTTACTGGTAGATCTAGCTCCACATGCTGTTGATCCCTCTTGTACATTATAAAATATAATACAGTGAATATATTGCAAAGCCAAATCCACCATCTTATTGGAAACACAATTCCTTTGTTTTTTCTGGGTTGCTACCCCAAAACAGTCCCACTTCTTAGTCTGCCCTTGAAAGCCCTCTTAGCATCTTTGCAGTGTCCTTGTGACATCAATGTTTGCAGCATGCTTACAACAAAATTAATAATTCCCAACCTGAACATTCATTTGCTCTTGTAGCAAGTCTTAGGGTTAATCAGCATCGAATTATGCAAACTTAATGTTGCTTTAATTAATTTCTGCCATGAAACATGTAATTGCCAATTACAAGCTGATATCTAGCCATCTTTTTCTAGCCTATGCAGTTCTCAGCTTCGATTAAAGCATTCAAATTTTTAATTGGAGGACCTCTTTTAAATAAAACATTTAGGCAAGCCGGTCTGAAACCTGGACAAATGGTGGCACATACGACACCATTGCCGCAGTACGCTGTGCTCACCTTGCAGCACCAATATTATATGATAACTTAGACTTTGTATACATGTAAAAAAAGTCAAAAAAGATCTTGGCATATGTTGTGCATCCATCACGCTGAGCATCAGAAATGTAGCAACGGAAAAGAATAGGGGTGCACCAGGGGGAGCCGTCACAGGTGGGAGTCCATAAGATTCGGTGATGCGCAGTCCGAGGCTGGCATAAGCTCTGTTGGAACGTGGGGCTCCAGCTTGCCTCAAGCTGTGGGCCTCGCAGCTGCACGCAGCAGGCTCGCAGAAACAGATGCTGGCTTTTGGTTTTGTTAATCTGAGGCCCTTGCCTTGGACTTGTGTCCTAGCAGAAGATTAGATTAGGTGCGGTGGTTTATTATGTAGTCAGGAGGAAATGTTCTTATTAGCATAGAAGAAAGATGAGAACAGAGAGGTGAGGAGAGTGGATTCATTACTCTACTTAAAGAATTCCTCTGCTTTTGTTTCTGGACAGTAGCACGATAAATAGCACTTTGTTTTAAATATAATAAATTATGTAAAACCAGCTTACCCCACAAGGTGTCTTGAATGAGACACGACATTCATCCTGTTTTGCTACCCTGTCTTGTCTTTTTTACTTTCTGCATGTTTGCTTCTAAATATTTTTGCACAATTTCTACTGGTTGAGATGCTGCTAGGAAATGCAAATGTCTCATCTTTCAGTGTAAGCTGGCCTGCAGTTTTCCTGTTTTATAGTAATTTGTTTTTTCAAATCATGCCAGTTCTGAATTCATTATGTAAACTGCCTTTTCTTTTCCAAAATAGGTCTGATTTTATACAGAGTGTTGTAGCCCAGTGCCTTGTAGAGCTGTCTGCTGCAAGAAGCACATTTAGGTTCAGCATACAAGCAACCGATGGGACAGTCTACATCTTGGTAATTCACAGATTTATATAGATACATATTTGTACAAAGATACCCAGTGATCTGACACTGAATCTCTTTACCACATTGGTACAAAACTGGCCAGTCTGTCAGTTTTGCTTTTTCCTGTGTGGAGTTTTTAAACTTGAGATTCTTTTTCCCATTTATGAAGAAATTAGTGAATTTTGTAAGTTCCTGTTAGAAGTGATTCTCACCCCTCTACACTAGCCAAATTGAGAGGGTACATCAGTTCTCACCCTGGACAGAGCTGTGCTGTATCTGTATGTCATTCAGCAACTGTGAAAGTGGCAGGACAGGGCTGTCAGAAGAGAGACGTGGCAACTCTAATTCAGCTCCACAAACCACAGTGGTGTGCCAGAATGGTTTGGTAGTAGCTAGAATGCTGGACCAGCACCCAGGAGATCCAGGTTCTCATGCCGCTTACCCACTCTCTGCCTAACCTACTTCACAGTGTTGCTGCGAGGATGAAATGGAGACAAGGAGGACCACGTGGGCTACCCCGGGTTCTTTGCAAGTGTCAGAAAGGCAGGATATATATGTGGTAAATGAATATATGTGATAAATGAAAGTATGAAAAAGCCAGACTTTTAAGAGCAAAGGTAGCCTTCCCCAATCTGGTGGTCTGTAGCAATTTTGGACTTCAGTTACCCTCATCTATGACCTTTGGGTATGCTGGCTGGGGCTGATAAGAATTGTAGTCCTAAGCTGCTGAAAGTCACCGTGTTAGGAAGACTGATCTAGGCAGGGTCCAGTAAGGACAAATTTGTTAGCTTCACTTTCTGCTACAGTCATGATGCTAAAAGTTCTTTCCATCTCCTTCATGAAGAAATTGTGGTTAAGTTGCTTTCTAAAGACAAAATAAAATTCTCAGCCATCACTATTGATATCTTTAGTGTGTCACCTTTGCTAAGCAGGCATACCTTAATTTTACCAATGTTCACAGTTTTAGAATGTTATTCTGTACACATTAACCTGGCGGTGACCCTTATCTCTAAGTAACTGCGTATAGGATTCTACTTTGTGAGCTATTGTAGGTGAGTGAGATTCTGTAATGCGGGAGTTTCTTTTCATTTCCTCCTCTCCTGCATCACCTGCACTTTATCTCCACTCGTTCTGTGGAAGATTGTTCAGGGATTATATATTGTTCAGGGAGTATTCATTATCCCAACAGTGTCCATTCCACTAATAGATGGACACAACCCTTAGTCTGTAAAGGCTTGAGACATGTTTAGGATTGCACTGTAAGTACATTCTGTTAGAAATTTTAACATGTTATTCTATTACTATGGCAACCCCACTTCACCTGAAGGGCCAGAATTTCTTTCCCATTTGCTATAAAACACCATGGATTTGTAAAAATTTGGCTTTTAGTAGACAGTCTATTGGTTTGCATGGGTAGTTCACTAGACTGGGGATCTAAGGCTGCAGTTCTAAGTACACAACCAGAAAGAACGCTCATAGAATCTGGTGGGACTTGGTAGACCTGCAGAAGTATAGCTTGAAAGTCATAATCTTGGGGCTCCTGGACTTCAAAGATTCACTTCTCTATATGTTCGGTTATATAAGTGTTCTCCCTCCCATCTATGCATGTAAAACAGTAAACTAGGAAGAGATTAAATGGGGAGGATCCTGTTTTCCTTTTTAAATGCAATTTGAAGAATTGTCTGCTATTGACAGGTGTGGCTGCTGAATTCTGATACACTGTTGATGGAATCTGCAGGAAATTTGGAATCCAGTAATGTTTTTACATTACTTGAGTCGACTACATCATCTGATTCAAGGTCATCAGAGATTTGGAAAGCTATTAAGGTTCTTTACCATCCGTGCATTAAAAACAGAAATAAGGAGTAAGTTCCCACAGTACATGTATCTTCTATAAAATACTGGAGTTGCTGTATTGCTTTAATGTGAAATGGAATTGCTACAGTTCATCCTCTGTTCAAGTCAGTGAAATATTTTGTTTCATCTAACAAAAAAAAGGAAAGAAAGGAAAGTTTATCACTGCCCTGTTAATGTTTTGCAAACATGATAACAGCATGATTATATAGTATCTTTCACTGATGACAGAACTACTAAACTACTGGTTTTCTTTTCTACCTATTAGTTTCTTGACTCTGCCTTTCTTTGGCCTTCTGTGGACACTATGAGGTCGTAAGAAATTGTCTGCAGCGTGCATGTTTCAGGGGTGCATGCAGGGTCAGCTGAATACATCTTGCTGCTTGAAATGGAGGGGCAGGAGTGCCCCCTGCCTGCCCTTCCCAGTCAGAGTATCAAAGGCCAACCATGCTATTTTGATGCAGAAAATGTCACCAACATTTCTTCCACAGCAGCAAAAGCACAGTAATCATTTCACACCTGATCCTGCACCCGTCTCACTCTGCTTAATAGGAGGCCTCATTCCCTCTGATAATAAACTTAGGTTGCTGATACTGATGTTTAGGAATGGAATGGGACCATCCACCCAAAGGAACTGATGTTTGTATATTCAAGAGACTCCCTAGTATGCAGAAATTCCTAAATTATTAAAGAAAAAAAACATTTTGTCCTCTGTGAACTGAAGCGTTAGGGTATGGAGAAAGATTTTCTGCCATATAGTTATATACCATCTTTAAGGAAAACTTTATAGGACAGTTTAGAAAAATGTAAAACCATACAGTATCACATAATAAGAATAGTAAGGTTCAGAGAAAATTATAGTAGTTTGCAAGCACAATCATGAGGAGCCCTCCCAGGGTTTCCAACTTGTGTTTAAAATTCCTAGACAGAGGGGCTTGCCAGAATTCCCCAAAGAGAGAGCTCCATGGTCTGGGGGCCACTGCAGAAAAGGCCCTAACTCTGCAAATGAAACCGAGTCAGTGAAGGACCAGAGTGCTGGGCTTGGCATCAGCTGAAATCCTGAGTAGATTCATTTGGTGAGAGGTCATCTATTAGAGCTCAGGATTCAGACAGAACTGTGATAGTGAGAAGATATTGACCCAACTCACTTAAAATATGCATCTTTCAACGTGTGGGGATGAGGATTGGTGGACAGTACCAACCAGGATCCATGTACTTTCCATGGCATACCAGGGGAATGCCTTGGAGATAGAAGGGAAAATGGCTCATACTTCCCTTCTCCCTTGCTGAAAGTGCACCCCCCCCACAATACACACAAAAACTTTAAATGGCATATCAGAGTTGCTATTCCAGGCTGGTTAGGGAGCTGAACAAGTGTTCTTTCAAGAGCTGGAGTTAGATATTGCAACATGCTGTTGCCCGTTCCATTTGTGGTGTTTAGAATTTGAAGGCACACCTTCCATCGACACAGAGGCCTGCTTCATGTGAGTGGTGAAGGAAAAGAAGCCATGGTGGTTTCCTTTTCCTGCCTCATGTATGCCATCACATGCCACCTCAGTTCCGTACTTACCACTGCTGAGCGTGGGTTGCCATGTTGTCGAAACCCAACAGGTGGGTGGCAGGGCGGCTTCCAAACCACCTGGTAACCCATGGCTTGTTTTAGAGTTCTTGGTGATTCAGAAACCACACCTGCTGCTTGCCTTTGTGAGTTTAACAAAACAGCAACCCACACCTAGCACAGCCACAGGCTCATGAAGGGTGGCTTCCCTAGTTGCCTTCCCTAGTTGTGTGAACCCAGCCAAAACTTCAGATAGCTCCTTTTCTCCTGGCAAACTAGCACTTCAAACTATGGTTTTATTTTAATCTTTAAAGAATTAAATTGCTCTTTAGTATTATGCCAATCCTCTGGGCCTAACAAAGCACTTCTGTGAATTAAGTTTCCTTTACAAAATGTAAGCAACAAAAATGCAACCATTCCTTTCCTGAAACCAGTAAGAACTCCGGCTGCAATTGCTTTCTGTCGTTCGCACAGAAACATAGCAGAACTTCTCTGTATGACACCCACGGAGCTCTGCTTTTTTGTTACTGGCAAAGTGCAACTGACACCCTCTAAGCTGAACAGAGAATGGGAATCTGCCTGGCTGGTAAGTTTAAAGCTTCCCTTGAACCTCAAAGGAAGAAGCTGCAAGCCTCCTCAATAGGCATGGATCAGCACGGCACTTTTGCCTTTTCTAATCGATTCCCTTACTCCACTTTGTGATTTGTACCCATTGTGCTATCTTCAAGTCTGCTCTCCTCTTGTGTGTTGAGAGCACAGTCATGGCATGCACACCCCCACTTCTGCATTTGCCAGGAGATGTGCACAGCCATGGACAGGGGTTGAATCTTAAACTGTACTAAGTATATGTAACTCAAGAATCCATAGCTGAATATGGATCCATCCATATACAATCATACAATTGTATAGGCAGTAGTTTCTACATGTTTGCAGTGCATTTTTAGTGCTATGACAGAGAAATCTAATAAATTCAACATGGAACTGGTCAAGAGGGAAAGGTCATCTTGACCATAGGACTGTATTTAGAAACCTGTGCCATTTCTGATGCTAAACACCCACACCCCATCACAACAAACATGTACTAGTATTTGGATGAGCTCTCAACTTGAAAGCCTTCAATTATTTCTGTTTTGAGTTTCAGCCTTATCAGTTCATGGTGCAGGACGTCAGGCATCCCAGTTTCGTTCTATGAGGGTCTCTAGAGGACTCCATCCCCTGATATTTTGGTTGTTCCATAGCTTTTGCATAGGTATTCTCCCAGTCTAAAAGGTTGAAATGCTTCTCCTGAGCTACTGGCAGTAACTACTTCAAGCTGGTGGTTGCAGTATATTTCTGCAGGTGGCATGCCTGCAAAAACACCAGTTGCCAAGCCGCTGGGGCGGGCAAAGGTCTTGCTTGAAGGATCTTGTGGACAGCTGGCTGCTTTTATGTGAATGGAGTGCTGGACTGGATAGACCAGAAAAAGTGCTTGCACCTGACACACCCAGATCTTCACGAAGCACTGCATGGTCCTGAGATCAGGCAGCATCAGTGTATTCTTGGGATTATGGTGCACTAAAATATAACAAACAGATTTTCCTGCTCTAAGATAATAATAGAAAGGTGGGGATAAAAACACCAGAAGATAACAGGGCACTAACCATGTTGTATGAACAGTCAAAAAAAAATTCCACTAACTAGATAAGATGACAGCATGTTAAAAGTCATATTTGGAAGACTCCTTGTTAAAAAGAGAGTTGCACATCAATAAAAGTATCCATACTGCTGGGACTGGGCTTAGTTTCACTGGGTTTTAATTTTCCTTGCCTTGTTCTCCGTTTAATTTAGCATGTTTGCATTCTCTGACTTGGAAAAAATATTGTGTATCACCCTTAATGTGGTAAAGAACCAATTTACATGCTAATCCTTTTTGTACTTCTCAAAGCAACAGATGTAGTAGAGAATGTCTTTAAATTTGCTGATGGCTGGCAGGATTGCTTTGTAACTTTCCCTTCCCCCATCCCCTTTTCTTTTTTTTATCACCACTCCATGCCTGGGCAAGGATTTTCCTGATCTTTTTGTTACTTTAGGAACACACACTGGAGCTGGAGCATCCTTCACCAGCCTGGTGCTCTCTAGTGTGGTAGGGAAAAAAACTTCACTCTTTGTTTATATTTATCCAAGTGAGTGGGTTTACAAAGCAAGCACACCAGCGATTGCAGCGGGGGGAGTGGAAGCAGTCAAATTGTCCTGGACAGCAACAAGTGTCTCTCCCCTACACATAAATGCCCTTTGCTTATATAAACCGAGAGAAATAGAAACCTTTCCAATTACTGCATATGTAAATTACAACATTCAGAGATGCTCCAATAACACATACTTATTTTGTTGCTTTGATGTTGATTTACAACAGGCACAGATTCCATTTTCCATCAAAACAAAATGTGAGATTACATCGTAGGTTATCACAGATAGGTGTGATTTACTGTATCCTGAGTTTTCTAATGGCCTTCTCAACGCATACATGTAATCTACATTCAGCTGGTCACGCTGATCAGAAAAAATATTAAAGGCCTGAAATATTTCCTACTTCTACATCAGTTATGTTGGATTACAATTCCCAGCAACTCCAAGTCACTCTATCACTTGGGGTGGGGGAGGGCACCAGGTTGGAGAAGGCTGCTTGAGGGGTCTATGAAGAATATATAACCGAGGAACTTTTTGCCTCCTTTGTATTTTTAGCCTAATGGACATTTCTCCTAATGCTTAGGAGAACCAAGAGGATGTTTTGTTTTGTTCATCTGAGTGATTAGACTGTGACATGGGCTGACATATGTGGCGAAACAAACTGTTTAGCCTGAAATGTAGCTGAAGAGGTGCAGGTTGATGTGTTCTATGAGGAACAGCTGAAAGAGCCAGATATGTTCAGCATATTGAAGATTAAAAGGATATGTGATGGGTACTTTCAAATATCTAACAGCCTGTCACTTGGAAGATGGAACAAGCTTGTTTTCTGTGGAGGACAGTACCAGAGTAGGTGGAAATTGAAAGAAAACGCATTTTGGCAGAATGGTTAAAAAAAAAAAAAAAGGATTCCTAATGGAATCCTGCAATGTTTGCCATTTTGGGCTCAAGGGGTAGGGTATAGAATAAATAAATGCATAATAAGAGTTATTTGAAAGTGGAACAGACAGCTTCAGGAGCTGGAGGGAACCTCTTTGCTGGATGTATTTATACAGAAGATGGACTCCTGTCTGTTAGGGATGTTGTAGCTGCAAGGTTCCTTAACTGAGCATGGACCTCCACCTCTGCTCAGGTGTTTACCTCTATATTTTCTCTTACTACACTCCCCTGAGTTCAGACTGAGTTGATTATTCATAAAGCCGTCCTGAGACCCTAGTGGGGGACAGGATAGAAAAGTGTTTAATTAATAAATAAATAAATAAATAAAATGCAGGTGCTTTAAAAACAAAA